GCGGCGATATCGGTACCGGTATAGCGGAATAAAACCCGCCACAACTGCAAAGGTGAGAAAACCTTCAATGCTGATTGGTGCTGCAATTCTCCCATGTGACAACTAATAGGAATATTTTTTTTGGATCAGGGCATGAAACCAAAAAGTAAGTGTAATCTTTTTATCTGCTAAAAATGTTGTTTATTTCTTTGCCTAACTACAAATTAAAAGGAATATAAATAGGCTCTAAGTACTTTTTTGTTTCAAAGTTAAACTTTTAAGGTGAACCGAAATTACACGTTCTTTTCGTCCTCTCAGATCAAGCACTTGATTCTCGTTACCAGGCAGGGCGGCTCTATCGTGATTCGAAGTCCTGATCTTGTAACCAACTGTTTTCCCCGCGTGCATTGTATTCCGTCCCAATGAGATCTCCCCTGCTGCTTGGATCTTCTTACAAACACACAGAGGTCCTTCTTTTCAAAATAAACAAATCCGTATTCACGATCAAAATATTAACAAGATCATAAGAGCTCTTTAAATTATTCACATGAATGACCTCTTTGTGCAAAATTTCTCCCCGTTTGCTGCTGACGTAGTTGAGATCGTTGTATGTGTCTGACCACCACTAAAACGTTTAGTAAAAGCAGGAGTAGGCTCCCGGTAAAAGTTTGTCTGTTTTCACTTTTAGCATGTCTATGATTCTATAAAAACCAGCGATCATTTTAAGACAAAACTGACGACCGTCGCGTGACCACACACGCGGATAAAAACAGCTCTGGTGGCCTTTCTCTTGAAAAGACATGTTTCAAAACATGCAACACACTTTTCGGGTTTTGATAAAGAATGCGAAATTTGTTTTTTGAACTATCATGGGAAATAATCCCATAAAATGGACCGTAGCAGAACCTTGTTTATTTAGATTCAACAATTTACTTAAATTTATACAGAAAATTTATTTTGCCCAGTCTGATATTTCTGAGGTGATCGACTGACAAGACACTGTCATCCTCTTTTTAATAATCCAAATCTACTTGCAACTGTGACTAGTTGTTTAAGATTCTGGGTATGTCAAACACATCGTTAGTACCAGCAACTTTATAATTTTTTCTATTTTTTTTCTTTTTTTTTTTAGATTTTGAACTCTTTTTGCCTGTTCAGTCAGTGATAATTAAATAGGCTATAAATCGGAGTTAGCAAATAAAGGATGGCAGTTTTTGCCCTGTGCAGTGTCCACGGTCAGTGTCTGACACGTTTCCAAAGCAAGCCGAGAGAGAATCAACATAAAAAAGAAAACTTGTTTGTGGCCGGGCATCTCTTCTAATCATAAACGGTTTTAAGGTAATTCCCTTGAAAAATATTATTAAAAACAACTCAAATAAAAGCCATTTATAGGAATTGAAAAACGGCCATAAAAAGATGGGGTCACCACGCTTGTAATCACTTTGCGTGCCCGTCAAAATCAAAGTTGACATTAAATATCGCTCATCATTGTCTGATAAGCTATTATCTTTTAATTTTCAGTAAAGTGAATCTTGCACACTCCCCTAAAACGAGGAGTTGTACGCTATTACTACTGATAATAAAACATCTATAACCCCTTTTTTTCTCCTTCATCTACCTTAAACGATTTAAAAAACACCAAAAAAAGGGAGGATCACCGGGCTTGTTTCATTGCATCAAGACGACAAAGCCCTTCGATTAAAATGATCTATTAATGAGAGGAGACTGGGGCGAGTTTTAAGACCAACTTGACATCATTGACCACTCCAGAAAATACCATGAGATACCATAATGCACTTTTTTTGTCACCCCAAAATTTTGCATAAACATTGTTTCTCTTGGGGTCTTTTAACTCCCAGGTAAAAATTCGTCCGTCCAAAAATTTGTCCGAACCCCTGTAACCGTTGTAATTTACAATATATAGGTGAAACTAAGAAACCTCTCAAAGACAGATTAATGGACACAAACGTGTAGTCGACAAAACTAACATTAAATCTAAACCCACCACTGTTCAGTTCTAAACACTTTCTCTCTCACTCTAACCATTCTCATACTGACATGCAGTTAATGATAGATAAGGCCATGACTCTTGAACCTCATGGCCTAAACCGCGGTGACGATTATTGTAATCCATATCCAGATTATTTTTGCTTTCCAGTGTTTGTATTGTACGTCATTTCCGCCTCTCCCTTTTAAACAATTTTTATTGCGACATTCTCCATCTATATAATATTGTGTTTGCTACATAAGTTCAGTAACATCGGTAAACCTGAAGAAGGCTGGTATGGCCAGCCGAAATATTGTTATAAAAAACAATACACGTTGTTCTGAATCAGCTTTGCAGTAGTCTTTGGACTTCTCGTTCTTGGTTCTTTATATTTTGGCTGATGAGATCTCTTTTTTCCAACGTTTACAACTAGCAGGACCTTCGTCCACGGTTTTTCCAGTTAATTTAATTCTAAATCTCTCTATCAGGGACCTTACTGGACGACGGCGACAGCTGACGGCGACGGCAGCGGGAACGGGACCGTCAAAAAAACAATAGGTTAAGATTTGCAAAACAACAACTTAAATAGGCTACTGAAATCGGAGTTAGCAAATAAAGGATGGCAGTTTTGCCCCATGCAGTGTCCACGGTTAGTGTCTGACACGTTTCCAAAGCCGAGCGAGAATCAACATAAAAGAGAAAACTTGTTTGTGGCCGGGCATCTCTCCTAATCGTAAATGTAAGATCTTCGTCCACGGTTTTTCCAGTTAATTTAATTCTAAATCTCTCTATCGACGACGGCGACGGCAACGGGAACGTCAAAAAAAACAATAGGTTAAGATTTGCAAAACAACAACTTTACACGTCCATCATGCTTTTCTGTACATTTCTTTGCCGTCACAGCACGACTACGACGTGAAAGTGCCGAATTTCACGTTTTATGGAGGAAGTAAACAAGCTACCGCGAAAGTTTCTTTCTCTTTCTGAACTTATTATGGTTTATAGGAATTCAGCGCCAGGAGGTTCGCCTAAATTTGACCAAAGTTAGTTGGAACTGTCGCGATGAAGATTGAAAGAATGCGAATTCACTTTTTAGGCGATGTTTTCGCTGCCCTCGCCTTCCTCGGATCTTACGGGGATGGCAATACTCCTGCTTCGTTCCCAGGCTCTCGCGATCGCGATTTACCTGGGGGATCGGGGAAAGAGGAGGGCGAAGGCAGAAAAATATGGTTAGGAATTTTGGTTGTTTGTAATTTTAGTTATGTGGAAATAGTTAATATATTATTTATTGTATAAGACTCCAAATAAAAAACATGTATCTATGTATGTATGTATGACGAGAAGGGAACATGCCTTCCCATCATTCCCTGCTCGCGCTAGCGATTTCCATGTTCCTCGCTTCACTTTGCACGTGACGAAAAGTATCGTCACGTGCAAGGTCAAACACGAGCTGCGAGCAAAGCAACGACTCTCGCGGTCTTGAAAGACAACTCTCCTGCTTAGCTTGCGTGCATGCAAGCGGCCGAATTTGCAACGACAATTGACGAAAAAATCTGTTCGGAATCGTCGAAATCTAGAATTTTCGGAACATTTGTTGTAAAAAGCCTCTCCTAGGATTTTCGAGCATAAAAATGGTACGAGCTATTTTTGAGAGCTAAAAAGTCAACGTCTCAAGCCTTTTTCGGTCACGAAACACAATTTTCGGATCCTGCTTTTAGCTTGAATGCAACAGATGAAAAATATTCAATAACGCTTTATCTCCACTTACGGCGAATTTAAGTGGGCATATGCCCCTGGCTTGTCTCCACTTCGGCGAGTCAAAAGCGCATATACGGGACTGGAGCTAATGGTTAGGACAATCAAGAGTCAGGATATCAATGTAAATGAGATCTTAATCATCACTACTTTCGAATTGTTTAAAACGAAGATTACCCCGCAACACTGGCTAGAAACACTTGCTAAAATGGCAACCGTTACACTTGAGATTTAGGGATGTCGCGCGCGAGGTCTTTGCGAGAGACGTACGCGAAAGAAGACGTTCGCACGCGCGTTTTCTCGCGGCTTGCTTGGTGCAAAGTTTCGACATTCCTCTGAATGCACTTTGTCATTTGCAATAGATGCGACTAGTACTTTTGCTCTCTGACAAGGAGAAATGTCTCTTTCAAAGGCATTTTTTCACAGCCCAAAGAAGAAAATAATACCTTTGGATGGAGACGAGGAAAAAGTCTGGACAATCGTGAAGTTTGGTTTTTTCACTAAATAAGAACCCGATGAATTTTGCAAAAATAAAGACAATAAGAAATGATAACTCAAAATCAACTGGAGCCTCTCAAGCCTTTAAACCCTATTCTCAAGACTGACCTCCTCACATTTCCCATAGAATGAGTTGAGAGAATTTGTTAAACAATAAAAGCATTTTCTCTTAAGCTGGGCTGTCAACCCCCCAAGTCTTCAAATATTGAGAATTGATGGGGAAGGATGGTAGATGACGTCATAATGCACGGCACATGACGTCATTTGTAAAAAAAAACGTGCGAAAAAGATGTTGTTGGAATTGTAACATTTGACCTAATTGGTTTACTTCCCACCACTCACATTATTGCTTATATCACAACGGCATACCGGAGTTTGTGAGGAGACGTTCGATGTTGACAGTGAGATAGCTCAAATAACGCAAAATATTTGAAATTTCATTGTCAGAAAGTCGAATCTACAAGAAACGGCAAACTTTGGCGATTATCCGGGAGATTTTAGTCTCTAAACTGGAGACCAAGAGAAACGGTTCAAAATCTGGGGTCTCCCGGATTATCCGAGAGAGGTGACAGCCCTGCTTAACTGATCATTTGATTACTTCTCATAACATTTTTTCTTGAGCGCATATTGATGTTGTCAGGAGAACACTGTTTTTGATCACTCTTGGAACTTAAGAGGGTTTAACATGACACCTGACAAATGGAAAAGCCTGCTTAACATAACCTATTAAAACAACCAATTCAGATTCATTTTATTTTCAGAAATGAAATATCTCTATTCTGGAGCTTCAAAGAACTTATTATGAAATAAAAAAAAAATAACACATACATTTTACCTTGATAAACCCATTAAAGAACATCTATTATTACATTTCCAGACACTGCTCCTGGCAATATACAATAAATATCTAGTAAAAACTAGGTATGTACAGTTTATTTATTCAATACTACTCTTTTAAAAATTCTGTAAGAATCCGTGGAAGAGGTAACTCATCTAATTTGTCTTTATCTTTCACCCATTTCAGAATTTCAGCCTTGCAGAGTTCTTCTAAAGTTCCCACTGTAGAAATGAATAGATCAATATTAAAAGAGTTTTATATTATCATGTCGACACAAATTATAACACTGAGCAGTTTAAGATGCCACACAAAGGCAATACGAACACCAAAAATCGACAGTTATAACAAAGGGGGGATGGGGGGTATTTCCTATAAAGGCCTATGCGGGAAGGCAACGAAAGGGTATACTGGGATTTCATTAGTTCAAGTAATGTGAAAGGGTAGGGAAATCTGTCATTTTAGGCTGTAAAAGGACCTTCAAGAGCTGACAGAAGGACTTGGTTTCCTCGACATGCATCTAAAAGCTTTCGCTGAGGTTTTGCTAGATAGTGATTTAATATCAAGTGAATAGCTATAAATATTATGATAGGCAGGTGGACAGCATAAATAAATAACCCTTGAGCAACTCTTGACCATGGAATGAAATTCAGGCTTAAAAATTAAAGGTTGCTTCATATCTTAGGTCCTTAAGCCGATAGCCTAAGAAAAGAACTTTATTTGAGTGTCAATGTATGCACAATAGTACTAATAGGGGAAACCATTTTTACATCAGCTACTGGAGATGGGACCACCATTTTACCTGGTCATCCCAGGCACTTGAAGGTCTAGCCACTTCCAGGGAAAATTAAGGCAGTACCTTCCTTAAGACCCTAAGTATTCAGGGCTCGAAATTAACTTTTTCGTTCGGGAGCCAGCTGGCGACTAACGGAAAAATTTTGGTCGCCAGATCGTAAATTTTGGTCGCCAGCTTATTTTATATATAACTTAGACCCTGTTTACATGGAGTGGGGGACCCCAGTCTAGTGGGGTAGGTTTCTTTTGTTTTGTGTCCCCCAGGGCGTGAAAACAAAAGAAACCAACCCCACTAGACCAGGGTCCCCCACTCCCTGTAAAGAGGCCCTTACACAAGAACACGATTTTATACGTTACTTTGCATGCAAGAAAAGTCACAACCGAAGAGCGAAAACAATTAGAAACAACATGAGTAACACTTAGTTATAAAGCTACCGTTGTTCTCAGGTGATATGTCTCAGGTCCGAGGGTGATGGTTGTCTCCATAATCATTTTAAATGAAGCGAAGCATAAAACGTTTAAGTCCGTGGTTTTCATTCTGAGACAAACACGGGTCCTTGCGTATTTGCCCTTTGCTACTTCTACGAAATGGCGTTCTTTATTTTCGACTTGCTTTCCTCGACGCCTTTCGCTGCAGACAAACAACGCCATGCTTGGCCCAGGCCACCACATTGCTCGTACCAGTCTCCGACCGGGAGGAAACATAAATGGGCTTAGTGCCGTTTTTAGGTCTTCGTTTCATTTTAGACAGAACGTTGTAGGAAAGTAAAACCTAAAATATTGCGGGAGTTTACGGAAGCACCGCTTGAATTGAATCGCTATCTCCTTACCTTAAAGTATAAAGAAACGTTGTTAAGAACTATTCACTCAGGTACTTTTTCTGTTAGTGATAGTTATATCCATTTATTAACCGCCCACTTTCCCTACATCAACAACTGATGAAGGATTCAAAGTTTGGATTAACCTTTTGGCTGAATCTTCATTCCCCGCACGTAAATACTCACATATTTCCTTCAACTGATTTGTATCTGCCGCCATTTTCGCGCCAATTGAAAAGCACATGGTGTTGAAGTGCTCCTGCGATCCCAGTTTCGGAAGAAGCCACTGAAACAATATGGCGCGTCGTGAACGCAGTATCGACGTTTCGAAATACATTCAATTTTTTCGATTATCTTGTAGTATTCAGACATTATTTTACTGGGGACAGAAAGGTGAGTTGGATACTAGCTACCATGTCCGATTGATTTCCTAATATAAAGATTTAAAAACAAAAGTTGTGTCGTGGTTTTCTTTAGCCATCGGACAAAACGCGAGTCGCCAGCTGGCGACCAGTTCTGAAAATTTAGTCGCCAGTCCTCAATTTTTGGTCGCATTGGCGACCAGTGAGTCGCAATGTCGAGCCCTGGTATTGGTCCAACCCCAGGAATCGAACCCAAGACCTCCTGCTCTGCAGTCAAACACTCTACCAACCAAGCTAATCCTGCCACAGTTAAAGAAAACCGCCAACATTTTGTGATGCCACCACTAGTTTATCTGCAAAATAAGGTCCATAATTCCATTATGATGAAGTGTCACTACCCAGATCTGGGTAGTGCTTTTGAATGCTTGACGCAAATTTCGCTAGGAAGACCAATCAGAAGTAAGGATGTGGGTAGTGACACGTCATCAGTATGAAATTTCTCTACTTGTTCCTCAGATGACATTTTGCACAGAAACTATTAGTGAAATTGAAAAATGTTGGCTGTTTTCACAGGCTACTAACAGTTTGTCATATACACACCTCCAAAGTATTTTATGGAGACTTGCTTTGTCCTACCGTAAACATCAAACACACCAAAAATTTCCTTTTTAGAAGGTATACCAGACATTGCAGTTCCTTGGTTGACTCCATTGACAAAATAATTTAAGTTCCCATCACAAGTCACTTGAACTCCGATAAGGTCATTATTTTTAAGTGTATGAATGCTAAATGAATATTCTTTTTCCATTTCACCATTGTGAATCCGAGTACCCGAGAGCATCCAATAGTCCTTTCCCTCCGGGGTGAATAAATCTGTAGCAGCCCTTACAATCCTTGTGTGAGGACAATTGGGATTTCTGGTTGTGATTCCAAATCTCTGAAAATATATGAATAAAAACATGGATTAAATTCATGAATCTATTTTAATTACCAGTAAATCCTCTATTAGGTCCCCCTCTCAAATACAGTGTAACTCCCCCCCCCCTCTAATAATATTAGCACCCATTTTCAGGAGAAGAAAGTTAATAAGCCCCCCCCCTCCCCCCATTAATAAATGATAGACTGTACTAACCAATCATGACTGTTCAACTCAGTCCCCAAATTATAACACGGGTGTGGCTCAGGACATTAAATACAGTCTCAGTCTTAATTATTGTAAAACACTATCAAAATACACTGTTTTGACAGAATAATCTTGATGGAGAAGAAATACATGCAAAAATGCCACTTGAATGTTTAGGGAAATAAACTACATTCTGGAATCTGAGGCACAGAAAACCTTAAATTTCAATTTTAGAGGCTGGGAGATTTGCGCTGTATCCAGGATACTCCTAGATAATCTGGGAGAGTTACTATGTATGCAGTGGTTTCCAAAAAGCCAGCTAACTTTTGCCCCGCTGGAGTTCCAAATCATATGCTGGGCACCCTTGATTTTGATTCAGAGGACTGGGCTCCCTTCAATTTTCCTTAGAGCACAGCCTTGCATGTATACATTGGTTTCAAAACAAGCCGGTGACTGCCGGAGTTCTGCCGGCTACTTGGTTGTACCTTCAGGGGCCTTGCAGCCCCTCGATTGTCACAGATGCCTACTTCAAAACATTTTGAAATCCCTGTGTATGAACTTGACAGATGACCTCTATGCTGCTGTTCACCCTAGCAATAATTTTAAATGTTCTTAAAATGAAACTCCAAGAAATGGACAACAAAGGGCAGTCTGCCAAGTGCCTGTATTACAGGCATCAATATAATGATTGGAATTATATCAAGTTAGAAATTATTGTGGGCAAAGGAGAGATTCATTTTTATAGTATGATTAGACTGGATAAATTGACTGAAGAATGCCAGGCACCAACTCTACAGTGTCCACTTCAAGGGGACTGTTATCTTATGGAGGTGTCAAGTGTCCTTTGAAGTTCCTTGTATTAAGTTGATCATATATACTGTGACACTCTGTGAATACTTGGCCTTCATAGTGATGAGTGTGTTGGCAGACATATTGGCCAACATTACAGCCACATATTGGCTGAAACGATTGCAAATACCTGGCCAAAATATTGGTTGATACGTGGTTGGTTGGTGCGCCAGCGGACACTCGTTTGCTAGTCTGCTAGTGTTACATTACAATGAGATGTCGGCAACACACAGGTGGCATATCTCTCCACTTTTGTATATTGTGCATTTTAATAATTTATGGTATGGTGCTGAAGCATGCAATGCTACCATTATGGTGTAAAGTAACGTTTGAACAGAAAACAAGCATGGACGCTGGCCTGAGTAGCAAGCATTTAGGTGCAAGTTTGCTGAGAATTGCTCAGCAGGCTATGCAGACACATGCAATACTCTTACATTTAACAGGTCAAAGCTGCCAAAGTCCCTTAACCCTTTAAGTCCCAATATCCACAAACAAATTCTCCAAACTGATCTCTATACATTTCCTTACAAAATTAGTTGGGAGAAATTGATAAAAGATCAGAGCTTTTTCTCTTTGTGATCATTTGATTAATTCTCATAGATGTTGCACTTGACAATCTATGGATATTGTTAGGAGAAAATTGATGTTGGTCACTATTGGGACTTAAAGGGTTAACAATAATTGCTGCCTTAGCAACAGAAACATGAGTAGACAGAAAATAATACCCAGAAGAAGAGTCAACCAGGTATCAGTAAAGTATCAGCCATATGTCGGTCACCTATCAGTAGACATGTGGACTAATAATAATTATTACTGGTCAACATGTCGACTATCGATATTTCGGCAGATAAGCAAAGGACACGCCCACCATCTCGACCAACACTCCACCTTCTAAGGTATACCAACATATCAACCAAGAGTTTAACAAGACAACATTTCGACTAATAGCTGGCTGATGAATGAATGAATGAAGAGTCGTGGATGAGAGGACAACAGACGTGCCCTCTTACAATATATTTTAACATGTGAACAGCAAGCTCGGACGTCAGCATACAAAGGCGCCAATGGCAGCTGCTCTCACTCCATTTATGAGCTTACTGTACCCACCCTACCCATGATGTGATGTATGAAGGTTGACCACAACACCAGGGTCTATGTCCCCTACTCTTTTTGTGGTGGTGGTGTGGGTTCTTTTTCGTCCCACAGGAACCAGATAAGTGTAAGTGCTGTGAGATGGGACCTACGGTTTCTCGTCCTTATCCGAGAAGACTAGAAAGTCTAACTGTTTGCAGATGTCATTACAAAGGCAGCACTTTCTTCTCAGTTATTTAAAGACCCTGAGTGTTGGTCCAGCTTGGGTTCGAACCTGTGAACTCACACGCTCAGCAGACCGTCGCTCTCCCAACTGAGCCAACCAGGATCATATTTATGTTGATTGAGATATGTTGGCCAACATATTGACTGTGTGTTGTCCAGTAATATTGAACAATATCGAATAATATTGGACAATATTTGTGCCTTAAGTACACAAGATCCAATTGGATTAAGAGGGTTTTGTCTGAGAAAGCCATAAGTGAGGCAGATCAAACCCTGCAAGATCTGCCCAATTCTTCTTACCAATTCAAAAATATTGTTTTATTATGATTAGGATTAAAGAAATACTGGGCAAAAAAGAAACAGCTTAGGTTGATAGAGAAAACCAAGAGTGGAGAAAACAATATGGCCAGCGTTTAAAAAATCACCAGAATGAAAATTTGACCTGCAACACATTTTAATAGAAATTCTATGGATTTGTTGTCTTTTTATCTCTTGTTTTCTGTCTTCTTACAGTTGCCAGTGAATTCAATATAAACCTTAATGTCATCACAATAGTTGATCATTAACACGAGCTACATGCAGTTGTATCAAAGTAAGATTAAGTTTTTGTTACGTCAGATGATTGTTTAAAATAATATGTTGAGCTTTAATCCTGTACGTGCAGTAATGTGCTAACAGTACAAAGCAGACTTTGAACGTTTCGCCTTCAAAGTTGTTTGAAATGTTAAGGAATGCCTTTTTAAGTGTATAAGCGTTTACGCCGATCGTGTCACACAAAAAAACATACGTACGTGATAGGAAGTGAGGTAGGTTTCCATGTAAATGATAATTCCTTACTTTAAAATTATTTCGTTCCGACGAAGTTGGCAGTCCTCGAAAGTAACATCCCTGCAACAATTATTATTTCTTACCAGCGACCCCGCCCATTTTGACTCCAATTCTTCAATTTTCAGCTGAAAAACCTCACCAACATGCAGTGGTCTGTCACTAAACACCATTCCATGATCGTAAGTATCTCCTTCTCTGATAGCCCGTTGGTTGTTGTCTGCTAAAGTTATATAGCGACCACGCCGTTCGTGTAAGGCTAATACCCATTCCACAGGAACTAAAGACATCAATGTCTTGTTTAGTGCTATAAATAAGCCGTAGAAAACATCAAAACTTTAGCTTCTCGAATGCCACACGCATTGAATACGAGTTTCTTGTTTACTGCACGTATTTCCACCGTTATGCAAAGGCCTGGGAACAAGTTATGACGTCATAAACCAAAATTAAGAAATTATCACAATGAAAATAATTTAGGAAATCGCATTCTTTTAATTATTGTTCTTATTTACTTCAAGTAAAATTTGTCAAAGATGTTACAGATTTTTAATGTGGAAAGTTAGAGAATCGATTGACATTATCCAAAGAAAGAGCAACAATTACAAAAATGTACTGGAATTCCTTTCTTCTTTTCGCAGAGACAGCGCATGCTCAGAGCAGAAAACCAAAATGGCGGACGGAGCGGACGAGGTAAGTGAAAAACTCTTTTTTTCTAATGAAGCCCTAAAATAATTCATTTTCTGCGATTTAAATAATTCTCCACAAAGAATGCTGAAAATTGATCATGTTTCTTTATTTTAACAAAATCTAGGACGATGAAGTGTTTGAAATAACAGATTTTACAACCTCATCAGAGTGGGAAAGGTAATTTTCAGTCTGTAATTTTTTAATTTTTTTTGCCCACATACAAAACTTCTTTTTATTTATATTAGTTAAAATTCTAATCATTTAAATCTAAGCTCATTAGAATTTAGGTTTGTAACTGGCCTGATGAAACTGCTCGGAAGAGAAGTCACCAATGGTGCGTTTCCCTGACTCCAAACAATACTAAAACAGTTGAAAGAATATATAATGACGTGTCATTGTTTCCTGCGACCAGTTAGGAGAGACCTTCCGAGCAGCTCCTACACTGCTCTTTTATAAGGTTGATTGGTTGAAACTTGTGGTCGTACTTTTGTGAAATGTCGTTGAATTTTATTTGTTGTTCTTGGAAAATTATGTGGTGTCGACCAGAAATTTCTCTGTTAAATGTTTCATTGGACATTGCAAAAAAAAGCAGAAGCATCGGAGCGTTTTGAAACGTGGGCAGGGAGGGAGGAGGGGGGCTTGTCTTCCACTCAGCCATGCGCATACCCCTACCCTACTCAAATTTTCCAAAATACCCTTGGCAATCTTCACAGTGTCTAGTGTGTCTGTAATCGAGTTGGGACAATGCATCTGACGGTAGGCAGTTGTTCAAGCTTGTTCAGGCAGTCCTGCTTCATGGTGCTTGTTGGGTAGTTCTTGAGTTGTCTGAGGGCAGAAAATGCACTCTGAAGTCGCTGATGTCACAGGTAATGTCAAATACATCGGTAAAGACATTTTTGGCACCAAAACGTGGGCCTCCCCAATTTTTGTTTGTTGGGCCCAGCCCCTCTGATCCCCTGCTCTGCCACCTGTGTAAAGAAAGATAATAAATTATTATTCTTTTTTTTGCAATGTCCATGTTATTTTATGGTTGTGTACAGTTGACTCTCTCTTAACGGACACCTCTATAAGACTGACACCTCTGTAAAACGGACACCTAGAGTTGGTTCCTGCCTTTGTTTATTCCCTTTATTTGACTCTTTATAAGACCGACATCTCTCTAAGACGGACCCTTAGTGCCGGTCCCAAAGGTGTCCGTCTTGGAGAGAGTTGACTGTATTATCTTCTCCAAAAGTGAAGAAGTATTCACAGGCATGTTAGAATCTGTCCAGGTGGATACCATATTTCCTTGAATAATAGCCAGGGGCAATTATTATTTTTTTCGCACAAAAAGGGGTGATTATTTGCGGGAGGTGATTATTTTAAACATTGCTCACAGGAAGTTGTGCCCTAAGTATTTTGTTTTATTTTCCCATTAGATTAAAAAAAATGATCACATCAAATAAACTGAACATGGGCTCTTTTAGTGCTCCAAATTTGGTTTCCTGATTACCTTTCAATAAATAAATAACTAAATAAAATATCTTTATTTCACCTGTTAAATTAAATGACAAACATTACATCGGACTCCTCTTCAACTTGACAGGGAGGGGATAAATGAAAGAGAAGATGGCGAGAAGGGTTGGGGGAGGGGGGATGATCATTTGAGGGACAGCTATTATTCGAGGAAATATGGTGCTTGCATGGATGGTGAGCCGGAAATTAGGCTATAAATTAAATTGATTAGAGAGAAATTTAAAGTCACATTTGTGGCAATTGGCAAATGTGATATTGTACCATGTGATCAAGTTTCACCTTTACTTGTGCACAGTTTTCTGTTCACTTTAACTACTCAGAAATCAGTGGATCCACAACAGTTTCATCCAAAAGAATAGTTGTTTATTTGATTTTCAAGCTATTTTTATCTGCTCATTCTCTATTTTGAGAATTTATCAAATTGATTGAGACGTTGTTTACTGTTTGCCTTAAACATGACTTCTAACTGGAGAAAAATTAAATTTAATGATTTCAGATTTTCTGCAAGACTTGAGCATCTACTTATTGAGTGGAAGTTAGATGGACCCCATAGAAAATCAGCATCAACAGAGGTAACTTTAAGGAAGTAAATAGACTATAGATTTAGCTCGTGGGATATTTCAAGAAAAGTCTTTCTGCAGTAATTCAATGTTTGCTGTAACCAAGAAGTAAACTGAGGTCCTTCTAAAAAATAGACCTTAGCACTGAGATCAGTTGGAAACCAATAACTGGTCAGTGGCGATATTTAAAAAAAACCACTTTACCTCAGTGAGTTATAAACCTTACCCCACAATACAGTCATGTGACACTGGTCAGTAGATATATTTTTTGACAGCTGTCAATTGACTATAACATGAATTTCAAATATCAAGTTTAACACAGACTGTAGCTGGACTCCAAGCTAGTACGTGTGACATTTCACATCTGCTTACATGAATGACTGAACATACATATGTATTGGTATATACTTCATGCTAGTATGCCATATAGTCGCCCATCACTCTCAATCCCATTCCCTTATGGGCGACTATATGGCATACTGGCATGAAGTACATACCTATGTATCGACGATTTTGTCAGAACCAAGATTTCTTGGATGCTAGATAACCAATTTTTATTACCCATGGTGCTCTGCTGCACATACTTCGTGTGTGTGAATGCTCCGCTATCACTAAACTAAACCCTCTCAGAAGGCTGGTGATAATGGATATAAAGCAGCTAAATTCCTAAGTTACGTAAATTTCATTTGAGTTAGCGCTACTACTTATACAGCATAATATAACCAATGTTACTGCATCTTTGATCACCATCAGCTACAGTGCTTACAGTACAATATTATCTTCTCAATATTTATAATAATATTTTTTTCAGGGAAAAGGATTTTTAGCAAACAGTGAGAAGAGCAAACTAAATCCCATTCCGAATAAAAAAGATGAAGTAGATGTAAGTGTGTTCACTTTAAAATGAAGTGCTATTCTATTTTATATGTGGCTAAATGTAATTTAGGCAAGGTTAATCTCAAGCTAAAGCTGCCAGCGGTCTCGCTCAGTTTGCACATGATCTGTGGGGGTGCCCCTTTCGAGTGCGCAGGGGCAAACTATGTACAGCCTTGCTCTCTAGCGATCATTGCGATCAATGCTTTTGTGCTCAAGCGAATCTTTGCGAATTCATTAGCCCCACCCTCCCTTCCCAGAGGGCTACTTGATTTCAGAGGTAAGTATCAGGTAAGGTAAGTATTTCCACTGGACTAGTTTCAGTGCGATGGTGCCTGTTAGCGGCTGCTACTGGGGTGGTTCCCGCTTGCCGGGTTGCCATGGAGACCTCCCTGCGGTGCCTGAATTACCTCGGGCCCTTCCCCGCTTACTTTTAAGGCACCAGTTCCCAAGCTCATCAATTGGCGACGAGTTTGAAGTGCTACAAAGTGAGCAGAATCACTCAGTTTTTCTTAGATTAATATTGATTCTTTTGGATAAAGTTTTTTTTGTCAAGAAATCATCTCCAACCCATTGCGATCACCTTCTAGGCAAAACCATGCTCATTGTTTGCTTCCTTCATGGTTTCTAAGAGGCATGATTGGAACTGACTGTCAGAGTTGTCTTGTTTGATGAATTATTGAATGATGTTTTGTGTTTGAATTTAAGTTTAAAAGTATAAAGTAAGATTTCTATTTACTGATTCTGCTTCTTTTTAGCAAAGAGAAGGAACATGGGGAGTGATTTCTGAAAGAATATCATTTGCCACCTTCAACTTTGTTGTGTCCTACCACCACCTAAGAACAAAAAAGAGAACAACAATCAACAAAAGTAAACAAACTGAAGGTTGGCATTTTGGTGGAATTTTTCAGTAATGTTACCAGATTCCGGTTAGCTCAGTTAATGTTACCATAATCAGGCCGAGGTTCAAACCCGGCTGGACCAACACTCAGGGTCTTTAACCAAGTTCAAGTGCTGCCTTTTCAAACAAATGGAAGTCTTCTGGTATCTAGTAATAAAAAATGTTTTCACTTTTTTTGGGGGCATCATCACTCATTCCTTCAGTACTTGTAAACTGCACCTTAAGCAGTCTGGCAAAGTCCCCCAACCAGTGTTGTAAATTATCCCTGAAAAGCCCTGTGGGGAGTGGATAATAAGATATTTACAATTTACAATTTACTGTAATCATAATAACATGCCACATACCAAGTTCAAAATTTCAAACAAGAAAACTGGTATCTAATAAAAAAAAAAATAAAATAAATGTTTTTTTTTAACAGTAGCAGGTGCCCAAAATTTAACAAGTTTGTCCCTTCCCTCAAAAATATAAATGGAAATGTGAAATTTGTAATATATATTTTGTTTGTGATTCTACACTTCTAATCCTTCTTGACTTGACTCAACTGCGTTGGCCAATGGAGAGGTCTTCATTAGGTGACACCCATAAAAATCCTGTCCTTTTCCTAGCAACCATCAAACTCATGCTGCTGTGGCAGTAATAATAAAAAAAATTATGACTGTATGATTGCATGCACTTTCAATGTAAACTGATAGAAAATTAAACCAGCTGCATTTAATTGTGTACAACAGCAAGAAAAATCTAATGAAACTAACAAAAATATTACCGGTAAGTTACAAGTTACATCAAGTTATTATTACCTTCATTGCGTGCACACAAGAAACAATATAAACTAGGTCTTAATTTAAAGTTCAAAATCAAAGACAAATGCAAAAAAAATATTTCTTATAGCTGTAGGTGTCTATTCAAGTTTATAAGTGTTTCTGTCAGTATTAAGTATGATTTTTTTTCAGATTTAGAAGATAGCTTACCTGATGCAATGAAGGAGATGTTTGACATGGAATTTGATTTTCCTCCCAGAACACACTGCCTCAGCAGATGGTACTATGCATTTGCAAATTATATTTTGTTACCAAAATATAATTCGCTCCATGGAAGTTTATTATTATGAGCCCTTCTGTTTACGCTGTTGAAATTTCAGTCAGATAGCATACGGTAAAAATTTTGGCCTTTACTCCAATCCCCATCAGAATTTCTAGTCAGAGACCCACCGTCAGAGGGTTCTAGATCTGGAGCCACCAAACCTTGCAGATTTGCTGAGAATTAACAGCAAGCTCAATGCCAAGGCCTAGCTTGCTCTAAAAAAATTCTAGGGAGCCTAATGCTCTGATCCTCTGAAATCCCAGTTTCCCAATAGCAAAAGTAAGGTGCCACAAGCCATCAGGTCTAACTAGAACACAGTTCTGAACACACCCTAATCAAACTTTTGGCGTGATAATAAAATGAGATGAGAGTTGAGCCTTTAGTCAAAGTTCTTAAAGATCATCTGAAATTATTATTTGTGTTTAGGTATGGATTAAAAGAATTCCTTGTGATTGCTCCTGCTGGAGATGCAGAAATCATAGATAATGAATCAAAATGTCATCTTCTTCTGAGTTCTGTCTCAATTGCAGCCACCAACACAAAATGGTAAGCAAGAAGTTCCTGATATGTTCTATTGTTTCCTTCTTCAATGTTGAGGTTAAAAAAGCTCTGAAAACAATCTTTGTTGAGGTAAAAGTACAATAACCTGTTTTTTCATCAATCTCTGTTTTAAACAAAAAGAAATACAAGATAGTAAGTTGTCAGTGATTGATCCATTTAGAGGTTTGTGTGCTGCTGACTACGCATGGAGGTGTGGTGGCTGAGTTGTCAACACCTCAAACTTCAGATCTGTGGGTAGGTATGGGGTTCTACCCATGCTATCACATTGCATCCAATGACTGAAGACCTAACCCCTCTTTGTGCCTCTCCACAAAGCTGTTTAAATGGGTATAATTAGCAACATTATAATGCTGCAGGTGACCCTGTGATGGACTACATGTAGCATCTCATCTGGGGGGAAGTAGCTTATAATTCATCAGTGTAGGTGCTTGAAGCTAACAGAAACAGGGTAAAGCTGTGGTCATGTCTGCCTCCTTGGCTTGTGCATACTTTTACCTTTTTTATACTACTATGTGGTGGGCAGAATTCTTTCATGCCCAATTTAAACAATCTGAAGATAAACATCTAAAAACTATCACTAATTACGACTACATGCATATCTAAATACCAACCTCATTCTGCAGCTAAAGTGTCTGTTGAAAATGTTAGTGCATAAAGTTAATTTTAGTAGAAATCAGCACAGACCCCAAAATGTAGCATGGGTAGGGGTGGGGAAGATGATGATGATCAGCTTTCTTTGTTTGGGGAGGACAGACTCATGAGGATAAAGAATTAGAGTTAAGTGTTTGGCAAATGCAAGCCTCAGCTCAAGCTCCTGGTTGATAATATCTCAAATAGAAATCCATAGAAATAAATAGTTTCAAAAATGAAAAGTAACAAATGCCCTCACTACATTTTCTGTGTGCCATACATGTAACAGTACAGCAATATTGAAAATATATATATTTATCATTGTTGCAGCACAGTGCCCATGTTTGCTCATGTTCTTCAGCAGTGGAGAAAAATCTACTATGGCTTCTGTATTGGTGGGGGATTCCGCACCGCATTTCAGATTTCCCAGCTTCGCCGTATTCCAAGTCAATTTCAACATTTAGCTGGACTGCTTGAAATCTTCAAGGACAAATTAGTGAGTGCAATCTGATTTGCCCATTCCCCTTCTTGTCTTTCCCCTTCAACTTATAGCCAGCATAGCTGGACCAATATATCAAAGAAGAAGGAGAATTCAAACACCAGAAAGCTGAGAAAAATTTTCTGAGCTCCAGGTGATAATTGAACTCGCAACCCTCTGAGTTCTAGTTTGGACACTCTAAGCACTGAGCTACTACTGGAACTCTAGTGGCGAGCAGGGTCGGAATTTAAATACAAGTACCACCAGACTTTAAGGATTTCATCGCGGACTTAATTGAAATTTGGCCATCCACCAGTGTACAAACCCAAGACTGTATATTTATATTAAAGAAGAAGGAGAATTCAAACACCAGAAAGCTCAGAAAAATTTTCCGAGTTCTAGGTGAAAATCAAACTCATGACCCTTCGAGTTCTAGTTCGGACATTCTAACCAGTGAGCTACTGGAACTCTAGTGGCGAGCACGGTCGGAATTTATATACAAGTACACCAATATAACAAGTGCAAAATTCCCAATCAGCATATCTCTTAAGATCATTGAGAGACACAAACTTTACCACTCCAACAAGGTAGCAAACCCAGGGTGAATCATTTAACCCCTTAGTCCCTACAGTATACCCAAATAGAATTTCTCCAGACTGGTGTCCTTACACTTCCTTAAGGAATAAGTTGAGAGAATTTGTTAAATGATCAAAGCATTTTCCTTTGGGTGACCATCTTATTAATTCTCATAACCTTTCCTCTTGATTATGTATCGACATTGTCAGGAGAAAATTCATTTTGTTCATTTTGGGGATTTCAAGGGTTAAGCAGCACTCTTAATGATTGGTTTCTTTTATCCCAGACATGCCCCATATCTCCAGTACCACCAGTTACACTGACAGTTCGGTTTACGTACATCCTGGATGAATGGACAGACTACGCATGGCCTCAGGAACCTCCTGATCCATCGTCGTGTTTGGAATGTAAAGTTGGAATAGACGACTTAGGCAGATTGCCATTTGGGGCATGTCTAGATCCAATAAGGTGAGAATGCACTTTCCTGAGGTACTTCTTTTTCTAAATGTCAGTAGTTGAATATAAGCATAGCTTGAATCCTCAAAAGCTTGGCAAGGGGAGTAGGGGTACTAGGGGTCACAAGCATGCCTGAAGGAGGTGGAATGCAATAAAATTCTGCAAGTAAATGTTTGGACCTCTTTGTCTAACTTTACTCTTCCACTTAGCACTAATGTTTCCTTCTTACATGTAGCAACACTGATTGTTGGAAGGTTCTTTTCCATAGAGAGCTTCATTTATCGACTACCTGGCCTTGCCTTTCAGAGGAAGTCATTGTTGACAATTCTGTTTATTCGTAAGTCTTTAAGAGAGTTTAAAATATGCCTTGTATGTTTAAAAAAGAAGTAATATCAAGCATCACCAGATGAAACACCTTGAAGTTCATCAAAAATACTCTGCTGCGCGTCGTATTTTCAACTCTCTTCTCAATGTTTCATCTGGTGATGAAGCACTGCATCTCATGCTTGATAAATTACTTAAATTCTCCCTTTGTTTAACAAGAGAATGACAAGTTGTAAGAAGCATCTGGCAGTTCGTTCCAAGTCAGTTGAGACTCTTTGCTAGGCGATTCCCCAGAATGTCATTGCATCAGAAGAAGGGGTGGGGGAGAATTTGTCAGTTTTACAGCTTGAAAGCATGTACTAACCCAGAAGTCATTTTGAGTAGCCCGAAAAAATTTTTGACAGGCAGGATTAATAACTAATTTATTATAATTAATTAATTGATTATGCCATAAGGTATATTAATTACTTGCTCTATTAATTCATGGTTGGAGTAAGCTTTAATAAAATGAAATCTTTAGGGCCACCTTACTTCAAGGATTTCTTAATTGTTTTTACCCAAAGGCTGTGCATATCACACAACGTTTATGTAATCTGATACAGTGAGTTGTTTTTGCAGATTTTAGTTTTCAGAGTAGCTTGGTCCATGTGGACTTACTTAATAATATTAATTATTACAATTATGTAATTTGAAGTCCATGAAAAACTTCACTTGCCTGTTAAGCAAATTAAGAACAGAATTCACTATCCCAATCGTAAAATCTACTAGCCCTAGCATTGGGACACAACTTTCTTTGCATGCTATACACATGGCCATTGTAAGAATAGCTAATCTCTAGAGGTTTTCCTTACTTGCAATTCTTGTTATTATTGCTTCATAGTGACCTGGACCCATGCCATGCCCCTCAGTGGTCAGTGAGAGCTAAAATGAGTGATAATCCCCAATGCTTACTTGGTTAGTACACATTCCTGTCCTGGTTATTATCAATATCATGGCTGAATACGCATGCGGTTAAGTCGCGATACTTACCAACATCAATTTTCTCATGCGGTTAATTTCCATGGAAAATTGATGTTGGTAACTATTGGCCGATAGTTACCAACATCAATTTTCTCCCACCAACATCCATTTATAATCATGAGAAAAGGTAATGAGAATCATAAAATGGTCACCAAAAGGTCCTAAGAATTTGTTTGTTGATACTGGGACTTCAGTGGTTTAAGATGAAGCAAATTCTGTGTTCTGATTGGCTCCCCAAGCCATCTTGCCTCTTTACGATTTGCCGATCACAGTATCTTGTCTGACAATAGTTGTATTGTTATACTCGTTTTTCAAGATTTTACTTTGTCAGATGAGGTTGAAAAAGAGCTTTTTGTACACGTGAATTTATGGGAATTTTAAGTGTGTCTTAAAGTACTTGTGTAATTTGAATTTCCTCAAACTTCAAGAACAGAATTCATTACCTGTATGACTCTATTGGGAACTTTTTTTATTGCATACTGGACATTGCGTTAAGGAAGGCAATCATTTTTGTTAAGGTTGAAGTGTAACTGAATAATGCCTGACACTCAAGATTATATTGTTGATTGACTCCTCTTGCTAGGTGAATATCTTAGTGGCTACATAACATTGTGCCACAGACAAGAATCTACTCTACAGCTTCTAAACAAGACAGTCATGGATGATGATAGTGAGCTGCTATTTTGCATTACCTTATCCCTTTAAATTAATATTTATTTTATTAATTTATTTTCACATTAAAATGAGGGCAAAATTTTATAGAGTACTAGCAAAAAAAATTAATTAGAATGTACAAAAATGAATGTTGCAAAATTTGATAATTTGATATTTTCATTTGTAACTTAAAACAACGCTTAAGTTGTGGGTTACAAGGGGAGTCCACAAACCTAATCTCCAGGTTGTTATTACGCATGCGTCGCATGTATGTAGCCAGCATTTGTTTGGACTTCGGCCAAGAATGAATGGAATGCACATTACACAATTTGATCACACCTCGTTTGGACCTTCTATCAATTGTCATCTGATCATGCGTGTTTTTGGCCATCTGTCACGGGAAACTTACATAAAGCACAGCATTGGAGAGAAAGCATTTTGACCTTCTATCAGTGTCGCCCGCACTCCATAACCTTTAAATTATTACTAGTTAACCCATGTATTCTAGAGTTGCTTCAGGTCAAAAACTTGAGGGCTAAAATAAAAAAACTAAGGAAGAATTTTTTTTACACATTTCTTAAATTGTTATTTTTGGCCGGGTTGTAGCTTAAAGGGCCAACTAGGTCATAGGCCTGAAAGCATTGATTTTGTCAAATTGTAAAGGTAATTAATTGACACTCTTTTCTTAGGTAACATAGCAGACATAACTCAAGCTCTTCAGCGGCTCACAGAGGGTCCTCATGTGGCATCCTTGTCGACAGCTGTTTCCAGGGCGACGTCAAGAATATCAGCCATGGGTGAACGAAGTTCTGATGAATATCCAATCCCTGGAAATCTTCTTAAGGAAATTCTTAAGGTAGCTTACAGTGGAGCTTCAAAATGATTTGCTACATATAACAAATTCCTTAGTATAATGAACAAGATTCTTCACCCCAGTAAAAATAAAATATATGAAAAGTAATCTTGATAATTATTATAAAGAAACCTTGTTATAGTAAACACATTCTGGTAGTCCCATTTTATCAAGGTTTCACTAGTTACAGGGTTCGCAATTAGGTTGAAAGTCCTTGAAAGTCCGTGAATTTTAAAATAAAAATTCCAGGCTTTGAAAGTCCTCGAAAATTGCAGTCAGTGCTGGAAAGTCCTGAAATTCTAAATGTTAACGCTTTGTTTTAAGAAGAACTCCAAAGGAAAAGGAGCAAACACAGAAAGACCTTTGGGATAAAATTACTCATGTTGTGGAAGAACTAAAAAAGACATAGACTCAAGGCTCTTTTTTTCACTAAATGGAGTCCTTGAAAAATGGGATTTGTGTCCATGAAAGTCCGTGAAAAGTCCTAGAATTTTTTGTTCAAAAACGAGTACGAACCCTGTACTTAGCTAATACATTAAAACGTCTCCTTTAGGACACCTGTTCATAGCCTGAGAAAACAGCCAACATTTTGTGATGGGCCTGGCTTCGCCATGAAATGATGTCTGAGGAACAAGAGCAGAAATTTCATACTGATGATGTCTCTCTCCCCAGATCTGAGTAGTACTTTAACCTATCAGAAGCACTAACCAGATCTGGGTAGTGACAGTATGTCATCAGTCAATTTCTCAGACATTACAGTCAAACTCCGTTAATATGGACACCATAGAAAGGCCATAGAAACTGTCCGTAATAACGAGGTGTCCATATTAAGTGGGTGTCCGTAAAGGTTTGACTGTATTTTGTAGGGAAACCATTGGTGGCTTTGTGAATGTCAGCTGTTTACTCAGGCTACTCTGAAAAACTAGAAATGAAGACCTATAAGTGTTGCGATGGGGGCTTCAATCAAAACTCTTCTCTTAGTGAGTCATTTTAAGGAAAAAGTCATTTTTTCACTGAAATAGTGGAAATTTGGTGTGAAGAAGTTGTAGCCCCATGTTGACTTTTCCAGCATAACAAGAATAATTCAGTCATCTGTTTTTTTTCTGCTCACAGCATTTATTTCCAGATGCTGATCAAGATTTAGAAAAGCTAGAGGTTGCACAACAGGAAATGCTGTTTGATAAAATGGAAAACAATGACACTTATAATAGCCAGGGAACACAGGTTTGATGAAACTTTGTTGTTCTTGTGTCTGTAGATACTTAACTGATTCTTAGCAGGCTACAATCAAAGTTCCATTTTGTTTGTTTGCTATTTCATTCACCAATTTATTCTCATTTCATTACCATCATTTCTTTCAATCATTCAGTCATTCATGCGCACATACATTAAGTCAATCAGTAAGATAGACACAAAACATTGTCAACTGAGTTGATACAGTCAAGTTACCGCCAAAAAAGATTCAAAAGTTGATGTTTCAAGTGCATATATTTTCCACTGTTATTTTAACCTCCCATTCTTTCTTACAGTTTGTCGCCTTTAGGTGTCGCAGTGCGCTTATCGCCTGGTTTTTGCGGTTATTTAAGCGGTAAATAATTTACGTTCGTTTGAGCGAAGCGAATGAGATCGTAATAACCCTTTCATACAGCAGATAAGCCATTCAATCAGGCCTTAAGCTAGCCTGAGAAACCAACTTTTTGCGGAAAAACCGGTGAAAGCAACACAAAATGTCGGCTGTGTTCCCCGGCTATTGTTTGGCCAGTCAGCCATTTATTTTTTCCCTCCGTCATTGCGGTAAATATTTGATTGTTGAATTTTAATTTGAAAAAATTTACTTTCCAGGACAGATTTCGTGGTTTGAAAACTGCACCAGAAGACAGCCTTACTTTCTTTCTTGCTGTGTGCATTTGTATAGTTTATCATAGTTATGGAGGTGAGGATGCTTATTCAAAGTTTAATAAAACTTATGTGTCACTATTTTAGTCGGGGAGAAAGAATTTTTTTTTATGCAAAACAAATTCTTATTAGAATAGACCATTCCACGATGGCGTCAGTTTACCCATTGTCTCCCTTAACCTCTTCCTCCTCCTCCTCCTCCTCCTCTTCCTTCCTCTTCACCCCTCCACCCCCTCCTCTTCCTCCTCCTCCCTTTTCCTCTCTTCCACCCCCCTCCTCCTCTTCCTTTACTCCCTCCCCTCCCCTTCCCCCCTTCCTCCCCCTCCCTCTTCCCCTCTTCCACTTTCCCCTCCTTCCCCTCCCTCTTCTCCTCTTCCAACTCTATGGAAAGCATATCTTTCTTTTTTCTTGGCAGGTTTAAGAGCCGTGGCGCATTTATGGCAGGAATTTGTTTTAGAAATGCGATATAGATGGGAAAATGATATATTTATTCCAAGGTACTGTGGAAAAAAATTTTCAGCTCTCACAGAAGTCACTTACCACCTCTTTCGATCTTTTGTACGCGGGGAAATAACCCTACTAGAATTATTAAGCCTTCATCGGGTCTCGTCTTACAAACAAGGTATATAATATATAGATTTAGCCAGAGCTAAAATCAAAGCTCTCGTTAATATACTTACGCGAACAAAAAATAAAATCGTGTAATGCGAAACGGCGACACAACTATAACGGCACAAAAAAAACTTTTCACGTGCAGCACACTTTTTTGTACATTTCTTTAACATTGTTTTGCTCGACTAAAACGTGAAAGTTCGTAGTTACACGTGTCAAATACATCAACATGTGTCCGTTTAATGCAGACTCGTACCCAGTCGCTCTTTATGTGTTTTTTGGAGTGAGAGAAGATTGGGGGTTAGGTTAAGGCGCGCGGGGTCTCATGGGCAGGTACGAAGGAAAAATAGCTATTTTCCTTCGTAGCTATTTTTTTCCCTTTGTAACTTCCCATGAGACCCCGCCCCTCAACCTAACCCCCAATCTTCTCTCATCCCAAAAACAAGTACATAGCGACTGGGTACGTGTCTGGGACGGACGGTCAGGTGATAACCAAAATTTCTCGGATCTAAAGGTCACCATTTTTTCTTACTCATGTTGCTCCGGTGCACGCGCTTTTGCGCGTGAGAGAACTCGATATCGTTAACTGCAGAATGCGAGCGTTAGATAACATCTCAATATTCATGCTAGAACTAGCTCACACAGCAGATAATTTCTCTCTGTATTTACACAGGCTAAACCTACAGCCACCTAATTTGGGGAGTTGTTTAGTTCATCAAAAATTACAGGTTAGTTTTCTTTTTTAGCTCACCCAAGACTGTTTTTTTGCTTTCCGTATTTACTTACGGTCTTACTTTTAAATTATTTCCTGTACTCAATCAAAAGTTAGGTTGAGAAATGTTGTTGTAGAAAGTATAGAAGCCGTTCAATCAATCAATCAATCAACTTTTTTAAAAGACGGTAAACACATAACAGCAAAATCTGACAAACCAGTGGCCCTCTACCAAACTACTTAAGCTAAAAATTACGATAATTATTTATAGTAAGATACCTAGGTTCTACTTTTGCAACAAAATCGGTGCTTGTTGCGCGTTTTACCGGCCCAAGGCAAACTTGTCTTGCAGCAGGCGACGTAACTCCAGTTGTGTATGGCGTTACTCGTGCGTAATTTTATCCAATCATAAATCAGTATTCACGCAACTTGCAACAACCTGATTGGTTGCAAGACAGGTTTGAACGTGGGTGGTAAAACGCACAATATCTCTTTTCAACTCATTTGGCAGCAATGTTGCAAAACAAGTTACACGTTTTCATTCCCCATTTTACCGTAACTTTGATCAACTATTTGTTTTTCTCATTCATTTGCAGATGTTGAACTGTTGTATCGAAAGAAAGCGGCTCTCTAAGATTCGAACAGCAAGTCTTCAGTTTTCAAATAACGTGGGCGGTAACACTGAATCCAGAACTAAGAACAACATTTCTTTTACGGAAAATCTCCGGAAAAGTAATTCAGAAGTTCAAATTGTTCAGATGGAAAGAGTGGAATCACAGTCGAGTGTTTCGGATGATGAGGACGAATTTTTTGAGGCTGTTGAAAGCCAAGATAACACTGTAAAAGAGACTGGAAAATCTTTAGTTGATTCGGAAAGTATACAAGGTGAATCCGAAAATGAAAGCGACAGGACTTCGGGAGTCGAGAAAAATATACAAAGGACAGATAGTGACTCTAATATAGATGATAATTGCGCTAAAAATAACTCGACTTCGTGCAGAAGAGAAGGAGCAAAGGAGCCTTTTGGAGAGGTAAAGCTTCTTGTTTCTGGCGAACCGTTGTTTGTTCCAGTTACTCAGGTATGTTGAAATAGATATGGACCACATCCTTTAACCTCGCTTTCGGATCCCCGACTCGAAGTACGTGTCTTGAGATCAGTTAAGGTTTCTAGAAACTGCCCACCTACCCCTCCCCTAAGCCATCATTTTGCCCAAAGTGAAAATTACGTGTTAATGTTAGCATGAGAGAGGGGTAGGTGGGCAGTTTCCTAGAAACCTAAATTGATCGGTTTCTTTTTGCTGTGTGGTATGAGTTTGAGCCCTAATAAGTGGTGCGAACAACCCTGGGGGAGATACCGTTCCCGTGCCCATAACCCGCCCCTCCCCCTCCCCCTCCCCCTAAGTCAAGAGCTTGCTCAGCTCGCAGGCTACCACAATGCTTAAGGTTGATAGGGGATAATGTCCGCTACCGACCGGACCCTAGTGCCCAAGCTATCGATTGCAGTTTACTAACGCTCATTTGAGTGACTGTAATTCTCTGTCCTTGTAGAAAAAAATTAGACTCGGTATGACTTGATCGCAAGCCCACTTATTGCAAAGCCTATGGCTAATGATAAATGGATGACCGTGACTCTTAACCCCATTATAACTAAGCTCTATATTGAGGACCCCAATGTAACGTATTCCTGGGCGAAATATTTTTTCAGTCCATTGGCACTTCGTTTTGTCGACGTTTTACTGTAATTTGACCATCACAAACTTGAAGATCCTGTTTGTCTTGTTTAATCACTGATTTTGTGACCAATGCTATACTAGGTGTTCTCCTATAAAGTAGTAATCGGGATCGTCACGCAATGCGTCTTCTGAAATATCGAGCGTGACAATCCAAATAATGTGGCTGCATGGATGAGATTTTTGGATGGTTCTAACTTTGAAAAAATCTTAAGAAAAACGTGGACTCGGGGTACTTGACCGGAGGCGATCATGCATCACACGGATCGAGATTGATAGGCGAAAATAATTCTGTGAAAATGTTTGGCTTCATTTCATCCCAACGTAATAAATGTTTTTTTTTTTCCATTTTTGCATGCTTTTTCTGAACTCAGGAGCCAACACCGTTGACGGAGGACATGTTAGAAGAGCAAGCTGAGATCCTTACACAATTGGGCACCTCTGAAGAGGGGGCTCGTGTGAGGGCCCAAATGCAGTGCGCTTCTTTGCTCTCCGATATGGAGGCCTTCAAGGTGGGTTAGTAAAAATCAAACTTCGACAAACTGCAGTCTTAACCGTTAAATCTATGGGTGGTGAATGTGACCATTCAAATGAAAGCTACTGAGCAGTACTTTCCTGTGGTACTGTTTATTATGCTGTACAAAGTGGCTCTAATTTTTGGGTCTGTGGGTGAAATTCTAGTTTTGACCATTCGAGTTAAAGTTGTCAGAAATACTCTTAGCAGTTTGTTTCACTCTGAAAGGATGCCCGTGTGAACAAAAGTCCATTAAAAGAAAAAAACCATTGATTGTTTGTTGAAAACCTTTTGTTGGTGGGGATTGACGTATTTTATAGTATGGAGTGAAATGATGCTTACTCTGAAGTGCTCTCCTGTACATGCCGTACTGCGTATTGTGCAGGGCTTATTTGGGAAGTTTTATGTTTTGTTATTTTAAAGAAAGTTTTAACTACCAGTGCACTATGTTAAACCTATGCTATGTTAAACCTCGTCTTTTAATATTGTGAGAACCGTGTTGAACATCTGTGGTGGACTAGCAAGGCTTTATACGGTTTGTTGAGGTACCTACCCCTCCCCTAACCCAAAGTGGACATTAACTTCTCACTTAGGGCAAAATCTTTGCTTAGGGGAGTGGCAAATGGGCATTTTTCCAGAATCTTGTACTGATCGGTAAGACCTACTGTACTTGGTACGTGGATTTAAGATTCTGGGCAACTGCCCGTCCACCCTTTCCGTAATCTAAAGATAAACACCAACTTCTCACTTATGCAAAATGTTGGCTTAGGGGAGGGGTAGGTGAACATTTTTTTTTCCAGAATTTTGACTGTTTATAATACTTACGGTGCTTGGTATGCGCTTTTGTCCCCATTAGGCTGCGAACCCGGGCTGCCTTCTGGAGGATTTTGTGCGATGGTATTCGCCATTTGACTGGATACCAGGTCCTGAGACAGAAGAGGAGATAGAAGAATTAAGAAGACTAAAGCGGGATAAAGAGAAAGAAAATAAAGAATCTAGCACATGTGTTACAAGTGAGTAGATGAAAACGAATTCAGAATTCAAGGGGCAGACATATGTAATTGTAACAGGACTCTTGATGATAACTTGACATGTAATAATACATATCATTAGTTTCAAAAGTGGAAAATATGAATACGGCTCTTAGCGCTAGTAAACATTAATCTGGTACTGGGCTTGGTTAGACACGAATCTGATGTCAAGCACAGAAACACGAGATGCCAGTGACACGCCCGGGAACACATGAATTCAAAGCTAAACGCGAGGAAGTATGAGCCCGATGCCAATCGCCTCATAATTTAAGTCGTATGCTAAGCGGGAGAAAGCAATTCCGCTGCCAAACGCGGGAAAACTGGAATCTGATGTGATGCTTAGCGAAAAGAAATATTGTAAGAGCGGAAAAACATAACTCTTTGCCAAGCGCGAAAAAGCAAATTCGATACCTGACGTAGAAAAAAAATGAATTAGCGCGGGAGAGCAAATCCCATACCAAGCGCGGGGAAGAAAATCTGATCCATACGTGGGAAAATATGACTCCAGTGCGAAAAGTTGAAAAACATGAATCCACTGCCAAACGCAGGAAAACATGATTTTGACTCCAAGCGCGGGAAAACACGTATCAAGCGCGGGAAAACCTATGCTAAGCGCGAGGAAGAAAAGGAAAATAAATCCGCCAAACGTTGCCAAAACGCAGGAAAACAAGAATAAGCGCGGTAAACCACGAAGCCCGTGAAAAAAACATGAATTTGATGCAATGCCAAATGCAGGGGACCAAGCGCGGGAAAACAAATGCGATGCCAAACGGGAAACGGATGCCAAACGTGGGAAAACACCAACTTGATGCGAAGCGTGGAAAAAAAAATCCGATGCCAAACGCGGAAAACAAGACTCTTTTTAAATATTTTAATATGCTAAGCGCGCAAAAACATGAATGAGATGCCAAGCGCGGGAAAACATTAGATCCAAGAAGCGAAGATGGGAAGAAATTAATACGATGTGAAACATGGGAATCTCGTTCAAACGAGAAAAGGGGATCAAACGGACGGTTTAAATAAGTTTCTTCACGTCATTGGCAGTTTTTATTTTGCTAATTTTCCTTTGCGCATTTGCCGCTGGCTAGAATTTGACATAACCTTCCTTTTCCAACCGTTTAATTGTTAGCTGGAACCAGTGGCGTATCAGTAGAGGAAGGCTGGGACACTGAAGATATCGAGGTTCCGGAAGAAGATTTGCTTTCAAGTGACGCCAAGGCTCTTATGGAAGAAGCGAAGGCTGGCAATGTAGAAGAACTACAGGTCCCAAATAAGGTAGATCCTCTTTGCCAATTAAACGATTAAAGAGGTTCTACTTACTGTGAAAAGAGACACGAACTTTCTAGTCAGACAGCTTAAAGTTAAGAATTCAATTGCTAACCACTTTAGTTACTTTGCAAGTTTGAGAATTTTCTTGAGTATTGCCCAAAAGGGCGGTAAAAGGAAGAAGACAGCAAAACGTTTGTTATGACAAACTTGACAGGGCTGTATCTTACTGATCTTACGAGTTTTGCTGTGATCTCTACTTAACATTACTGTGGCTGGTCTTGAAAGAAAGGTCTGTTTAAAGGAAGGTGAAGTTTGGCGGAAAACTTTTTTGAACATAATTATTGTCACGCTTGTCAGACAAGGGTTGCCGTCTTCTTTCTGTCGTCGTCCTGTTGCGTAAGTTCACTAATGTTTAAGTAAGCGACTTTTACTTGCTGTCGTAGACTACCATAGACGAAATATCGGCTATTTGTAAGTTAGAGGCGTTCAGTTTCTTGACGTGTAAATAAAATTAGCGTGTGGTTTTGATGCTATTGATATCAACCGCTTATCAATAAGGACACTGTCTATGGTCCCCTCAGAGTTTGCATTAACAGGGTTCGATCATTTTTTTTTCTTTTTCAGTGGAGAGAGGAGGGGCATCTAAGCCTTCGCATGCGCATTCCAGGCAACATGTGGGTTGAAGTGTGGCAGAGTGCACGTTCAGTCCCAGTCCGTCGACAGAAGCGACTTTTTGATGAAACTAAAGAGGCCGAAAAGGTATTAGGGTCACTCAAGGGTCACTCAAGTCAATCACTACACGAGCTGACAGTGCAATGAACCAATCACATCTCGAAGTAGTGAGATACGTGTCACCAGCGAAGCGTGGGAGAAGGCGTGGGGCCTGGGCACGTTGCATTTAGGTCTTACTTCTTATTGGCCGAGAAAGAGGCGCGAGAGTTTTTAGGCAGTCACAAAGCAATGCTACCTTGTGGATAAGGAGTGACCAAAACAATATACCCTTTTACCTTCTGTGTTTCGCTTTCTCAATCTAGGCCTCAATCTCAAGAGGAATTTGCCCTTTGTTTTTTTCGTATATTATGCGTACAGATGCACGTGAATGAGGCAAAATTTGAGAGAAACAGTTCTCCAGAGTATTATCGCATGCCCTACATTGGGAATACAAACCATACAAGCTAAAAAGATCTTTCACGAAATTCAATCTTCGTACTTGCAGTTGGAAAAAAGAATGTATACGCGCTTTTCACGTCAGTTTCAACTTTTTTACATTTTATATAAGAGATTTACAGGATCAATGGGCCTTTGCACCCTCATGACGAAATAGCACTTTCTGACTCTTGTGAATCAAGCTGTAAACACTTATCTTCTGGGAATGTAGGATTCGTTGATTGTGAGCCATCCTACAACAGACCACGTAAAACATTACCGCGCAGTTTTTATCCACAATGCTGCACCATGTACTTCATGAAACGCAGGTGTAATACAAGCGAGTTCTAAATTCTTGGAACAGTGGCACGGTTCACCTGTTTCTCGAATGTCCCGCCAGGTATCGGGCCCAGAAGACCGCTTTATGTTTGTCGTGTTCGCATTCAGGTTTGAGGTTTTATTATTTAACGTTTTGAAAATGATTCAATGATTTAACGTCATTAGATAAAGAATCAAAATGTACTGTTTTGGGTGCTAGAACCTTCAACAATGTTCTTTAGAGTTTGGTTTTAACATATGACATTGGGCTTAAAATACGACGTCACGCAACGCTCCTCCACTGTAGTCTGCTACACAGCCGTTGTTAGCGTCGTCACGCAACGACGCTAAAAGCGGCTGTGTAGCAGATTATAAAAACTGGGACTTTCGAAAAACGGGTCCATGGAAGGAGTTCAATTCACTCCTTTAGTTTAGCCTAGAAAGTGACGCGACAGTTTTTAACCAATCACATAGCGCGGTAACGCACCCACTTAACTCTTTACGAAATTACTCTTAACGCGCATTCAAGAACTCTGTTAATACCACTTTCTTTGCTAGGTTCTGCACTTTCTTGCGGGACTGAAACCTGCCGAAGTAGCCTTCAAGCTGTTTCCTGTTTTGCTTCACTCCGCAGTTCTTCGTATCGAGCAGGCAGGTAGGGCGTAGTACGTAATCATGGCTGATGGCTCAGTCTCTTTGGTGGCATTTGTCGTTTGTAGAAAACTACAGTCGAACCTTTATTCAGCCACCACCCACAGTCGGGGAATAACTAAGGTTCTGTTTTCAGCGATTTATTAGAGAGCTTAAGCAACCATTACAACGTCAAAAAACAATTTAGCCTAAGCCTACGTAGCAGGCGCTAGGAAGTAAATGGGCGCAAGAGAGAACGGGCGCGTGCGAGGGAGACACGAGAGGGGAGAGGGAAAAATCGCCCTCTCGTGTCTCCTTCTCGCGCGAGCGTTTTTTCATGCGCCCATTTATTTCCTAGCGCCTGCTACGCAGGCTAAAAACAATTGTTATTAGGAAACTTAAGCAAATACGTTTTTGAGACGTACGTCAACCGGAAGTGAGGCGTTCTCCCAATTAACATTCTTTGACGCTACCAAAACTGTGCTGCTAAGTGTCCTTTCTCCTATAAAGAAGATTTGCCGAAAATTTGGGTAAAACCACTGCCCAAGGATGCAAAAAGCCCACTTCCGGTTGACGGGCGTCGCCCAAAAACGAGTTTGCTTAAGCTCCTTAATATGAGCAAAACAGTTCTGCACGTGCATCACGCTTTTTAGTACATTTCTTTGACATCCACTGAACGGCTACGACGTGAAACCATCTAATGCGACGTTTTATGGAGGACGTGAACATACGACGACGAATTTTTCAACTCAAGTCGTCTGTATTTGACAAATTAAGCGGTCCAAATAGACGTGATAAAGTTTGTAAGGACGCAAATTAATTTTTTTTTAGTGACTTCTTAACTGCCGTCGTCATCGTCGTTGGTTAAGCTCCCTATTAGAACCTTTCAGGAGACGAACAAAACTTGGTAAGTTAAGTTCATGAAAAGTTCGACGTCTTGTTCAGTTAAGTTCGTCTGAAAGAGTTCGTAGTCAATCTTCACATACGACGAACTAAAAATTTCTATGATGATGTATATTTAATTAACATCGTTCGGGAGAAAATTTATCACTGACCGGCTAAAATTGCTTTTTGGTCTGATTCAGTTGATTGGTTCGACGCGTCCTCAGTTCGACGTCTGATTCAAGAGACGATCTTAACATAATTTAGGTCGACCCGAATTAGAGTTTGGTTCGTCTCATGTAAAGTTCGACGTTTGGCCTAGGCCTTGAGCAACGACGAAGAGGACGGCAGAGTAAACCTCACTATTAAAAAAACTTCGGGTTTTTCAAAGTTTTTTCGGGATTATGCTAGTAAGTTTTCCTGGAATTGAATTCTTGGGGACTGAACCCAAGTTTAGAGAAAGAAAAATCGGTCGTGTTCTGTTTATGTGTTCCATAAAACCTCTTGTGAGGGGATTTCACGTTGTAGTCGTGCAGTGACGGCAGAGAAACGCACAAAAAGTGTTCTGCATGCGCAGCGCTTTTGTTTTGCTTATTAAACCTATTTCTTTTTTGACGTTCTCGTTGCCGTGGCCCTTGCCGTTATAGTTGCTAAAGTTCCCTAAAAGCTCAGTAGAGGGTGGCTGGTCAGTAGGAGGTTGTTCTTAAAGGGGACAGGTTCACATGCGCTGAACCGTGAACCTGTCCCTTCAAGTTAACCGTACACCGTTTACCATTGTTCGAAAAAAGTTGCTGGGCAGCAGTAGTGCTGCTTCTCTTCCCGGTCCTCTGAGAAACAAATTCTGACAAGGCTTGTTTTTTTTCTTTTCCAGGTGCGCGCGATATTGCTGCTATTTCCTCTCTTCTGGACAAAGTTCTTGGTAAAGCCAGCAAGTTGTCATGGGAAATGCCGCGGGATTTGCCTCGATGTGAGGTAACCAGTGCAATGTCATTTTTAGTTAATAGATTTAGACGAGATCTTTAGAATGAGGATACGCAAAAACTTGAAACTGTATTTCAACATCCAGGAAAAACGGTTCATCATTTTTGCTTGTCAGGAATTTGTAAAACAACTGCAGCTCTGTGAGCTGGTTGTGGCTCGTGCCCATTCCCTCCGCTTCAAATTTCAAGACGCGCTCTCAGACAACGGAAGTAACGGAGCAGATAAGGACGTTGAACACTTCCTGTCAGCTCTGATGGAAAAACCGGAAGTGACGGTCATCGGTGCCGGAAGAGGTCCCGCAGGAAGGGTCATCCACAGTCTGTTTTCCAAACAAGAGGTTTGTTTGTAGTTTGTTTTGGTTTATTTTGGTTGTATCACTTTTTGCATGTGATGCGGTTGTTGATATTTACAGCGTTCACCGAAGAGTATGTTTTCAGATCTCTGTAAGAGTTTTCTTTTCTTTTCTCTGTCAGAATGCCAGAGTGCAATTTGCCAGTGACAAAGTAGAATCTCCAAATGAGCTGGTGAGTATCTCACTGGATGCCATCCACCCATAAACTTTGCGTAATACTTACCTCCTACTCCAGTAACGCACACAACACTGCAGCGATGATAACTGAGAAGAGAGTGGAGAAGTGTGACGTCAGGTAATACCGTGGTCGCAAAATGTCTGGATCTCAAAGATCTTTCTCGACAGAGACGGCGATTTGCATTGCCGAACGATGGAAAAAGAAGTATAGGCTACCGTTTTGTTCCTGAGTGCAGTCATGCACAGGAAAGTTATCTTTTCATTTTTTTGAGATCTAGACATTTTGCCACCATGGCAACGTGACGCGATGACTTCTCTCACTATTGAACGTGCGATCAATACACCTGTCGATAGGGTGGGCATAAGGCAAATGGATAAAGTAGCGGGGGGACTGTCTCCCCTGCCACCACTACATTCCCTTACTACTGTGACCCCAGTGTACATTAACACTAGCAAGTAGGCCATTTCCGAGCTGCTCCAAGCTTCTGTTTCAAAGCGAGGCTTAGTGCGAAGCTATTAATATGAAAATGTTTTTTTTATTGTCATGAAAATAAAACTCATTTCTCAGAAAAGGTTCTGCACTTAAGCCTGGTTTCCATAAGATCGCTGTGATGCTGCGATCGCTGAGAAAGCAACGATCATAGAGATCATATGTAAACCACTTTCCGATCACAGCGATCAAAGCGATCATATGGAAACCAGAGTTTTTGCAACTCGGAAATGGCCTACTTTAGAGCTCACCTTTTCTTCCCCTCCCCCCTAAAAAAACCTGCACTGTAGACAACGTTTTGGCGCATAGGGAGCTTAAGCAATAATAGCGGCAACGGTTAGAAAACGTCACTTAAGAAGCGAATTTCCGCTACTTCATCATCGCGCTTATTCCATCTCGTTTAAATTCGCCACCTAGAGACTGTATAGAAGTTCGGGAAAAGGAAAAGAAGGTCGTTGTCTCATGTTCACGTCCTCCATAAAACGTGAAATTAGGCAGTTTTTCGTCATAGTCGTGCAGTGACGGCAAAGAAATGTACAAAAAAGCGTGCTGCACTTGCAAAGTTTTTGTTTTGCTAATCTATACCTTTTTTTTTTTTTGCCGTTTTAATTGCCGCTGCAGTCGTTGTTACTTAGGGCCTGTTTACATGGAGGTGGGGGACCCCAGAAAGGTGAGGTAACATGTGGCTGGTCACCCCACCTATCATGTAAACGTGATCAAATTAAAATGAGAAATTATATGGACAGGCGGGTTACCTCACCTGAGCGGGCTACCTCACCTACCTGGGGTCCCCCACCTCCATGTAAACAGGCCCTTAAGCTCCCTAGTGTTAGAGTTCTCTGGGCTTACCTTTTTCCTTAATTATGGGCTGGGCTATTATGCTTAACTGTACGATTTTTGTTTATTTTAAAGCAACCTTCACCAGCCTCTCTAGTGCAAGACTTCCCACCCCCTACCGGTCGAGAGTATATCTTAAGAACAACGATTCCCCGTCCTCACCCGTCTTCGCGACCTTGTCCACAAAGAATGTATTGCGTGCTGACGAATGACGAGTTCAGGCTGGCGGGCGCGTTTACTGATGACGTCATTTTTCAATGACGAAGAAAATTCAAGTCTTCAAGTTACCGAATCATCATCAGCGGAATAAGTTGAGACTTTTCTAGGAAACTGCGACTGCAATTGTAAAAACTTTCACTTTGACGATAGGAGAAAGACAAACAGCTCAGGTCACTAAATATATTGCCTTCAATAACACATCTCAGAAATGTTAGATACAAAAAGATTTTTGTAACTTTCTATCAGTTTGGATTACTATTAGTAGAAACTTTTTAATTAATGATCAGATAATTCTGCGCAGTTAAATCGACGAATATCGGTGAACATGGGCTGTATTCTTTAAGAAATCTTAAATACGAAGTTTCATTTCGAAAAGTAATGGCGCATCAACGGATTTATTTTATAGACTCATAGTTTATAGCCACTTTGCACTTTCTTGTATAGACTGGTTAGTACAATGAATATATTCTGCCAATGGGAATTATTTTAAATTTGAAATTGAACAAAACAAAGAGAGACCTATTTTAGATTATTTGACCATTAAACGCGAAAAACGACTTATTGCCTGTGAATATATCACGTCACATTTCCTATAGCCCCGTGCAAATGGGCGCAACATTGTTGCGTCTTTTTGCACTCGGGGAGTCGTTGCGCAAAGCTTGAAAACAGTCAAACTTTTGAGGCAACAACTTTTGTCCCGTGATCGCCGAAGCGTAGTGCAATAATGTTGGATCCGTTTGCACAGCTCTTCCTTTAAGTTCTTCTAACATTGTTGGGGCCACACGCGCATTACACATGGTCTCCAAAGTCGTATAGGTTGTATCGTTCCCAAGATTGACTGCAGGTCCCAATATTGTTGGAACTTGGTGCATTCATTTGCACAGCACAGACAACACGGACGCAACAACTCCCAGCATTGTTGGCCCAACTATGTTGGGAGTTGTTGCGTCCGTTTGTACGCAGCATAAGGATCAAACGTTCATTCTTTCTGTTGGTCCTCAGGTTTCGTCCGTTCGATTAGTCTCAAAATGTTTTCAGGTGGTGATCGAGACCATCTGATAATCGTTAAATCTGTCCTTGAGACGTCGCTTAGTTTCACCTAAACTAAGCGACGTCTCAAGGACAGATTTAACGAACACAGACGTGCAGTCGACAAATGTTTCTAAACACTTTCTCTCTCACTCTGACCATTCTCACGATTCTGATACTGACGTGCAGTTAATCACTAGAGAAAATTTATTCTTCACGTGACTCAGTTCGTAAGGCTAGGGAGTCGCATTTGATAGATAAGGCCATGACTCTTGAACCTAATGGCCTAAACTGTCGTGACGAATTAATGTAATCGATATCCTTACTATTTTTTTCTTTTCCAATTTTTGGTGTTGTACGTCATTTCCGCCTCTCCCTTTTAAACAATTTTTATTGCGACATTCTATATCTATATCGTATTGTGATTCCTATCAAAAGTTCAGTAACATCTGTAAACCTGAAGAAGGCTAGTATGGCCGGCCGAGATATTGTTAAGAAAAAACAATACAGTTACACGTTGTTCTGATCAGCTTTGCAGCAGCCTTTGGACTTCTCGTTTTGGTATTGTAACCACAGCTATTGTAGAACAGTGTTTGGCAAGTTGCAGGGTGACAAGAGCCAGACACGTTTAGACGTTTAGCCTGAATTTTGTCCCTCCCAATGGCTGATAGGGCTACCCTGCCTAGATAAAGTTGACTTGACTTGAATTGGCATCGCAATAATATTGCAAATACTCCCGGGGGGTGCAATATACACAATATAAGCCGTATAGCTACCGTAAAATTCCGAAAATCAGCCCCGGGGCTTATAGTTTTCAAAGGCCCTTTTTGAGCGGCTTATTTTTGGAGCGGCTTATATTCGGAGGGGCTTATCTATGGAGGGAAATTTGCGTTTCAAAATCGATTGGGCTAGCCTTATAGTTAGAAGGAAATTTACCGTTTTTGTTTTGTTTTACTATGTATTTGAGGGCAATTTTCAAGTACAAGCCCCTAAAGACTTTATTTGGAGGGACTTTTGGTTTTTGCGTTCTGGAGTTTGGGGGCTTATGGTTTTTTTCAAAGGGAACTACGGGACGGTATACGAACGTGCCGCCCAAAGGGTAGGGTTTTTCGAAATGGATTTTAAGAATTTCTTTTTTGAATTGCTGTTCTAAGGGAACTAATGATACGAATAATTTCTAAAAGGAAAGGTTTTAAGAAATTTTTTTGTTGCCTGTTCTGAAAACGGCTGTAAAAATGACATTATTTCTAAAAGGGAAGGTCGGGGGTGAATGGGTATGGATTTAAGAGGCCAGGAATACCCCGGGGCAAAATGACATTATTTTGATGAACGGAGCTATATAACCTGGTCCTAAAACGATCGATTTAGGGACACCCTAATATTGAAATACATGACTAAGAACCTCGAGGATTACCCCCCGAAACCTCGGGAACCTGGATGAAATTTTGCCAGTGACTTTGCCCTGGTTCTATAGCTAATGGCGAAATACACCATCAGTGGTACAAGTCAGGGTAATCGGCTCCTGTACATGTACTATGTAAGTTTACAGTCATTCCCGAAACAGAAAAAAGGAAAAGTCAGTTCTTTTTCTCTCTTTTTTTCCAGAAACTAAAAACATTAAAGGTCTCCCCAGTACTCGGCAAGCTTTGCTCGGACAAGCAATTATTTATTTTATTTTATTTTTTAATTTATTATTTTATTTTATTTATTCCTCCAATTCCTAGCAGATACATAGTTATGTAAATATAACTGAGAAAAATAATATAGTACAAGATAACATTTCCCAGAGGATCGTTCCTTAAATAAAATTACATTGTAAAGTTATGTATAACTTGTTTCAACTCATTCCATGGGTAGGTACTCCATATATGGATTTGACCCGGGAAAGCAATCCCGAGGGATCGTTCCCGCAACTCATTCCACTTCCCAGAATCCATTAGCATCGTTTCTACCAAAAAAAATTGCCGGTAGACTAAAATGGCGGAGTTCCACGTGTATTTCCTGTCTCTCCTAGTTTTATCTTGCTGTTTGCAGATTTTAGCGGGGTATGGAATACGTTGTCTTCAGTTTTGGTATGTATTTTCTTGGCCTATCATGTGTGATGTTTTGGTTCTACTTTTGTTTCTGCAGGAGAGATTTTTACACGATTCTAGGCGTCCCTCGAGACGCCAACAAAAACCAAATCAAGCGAGCTTACAGAAAATTGGCGATGAAGTGGCACCCAGATAAAAATAAGGATGACCCTCAAGCGCAGGAGAGATTTCAGGATTTAAGTGCTGCATATGAGGTTTGTTATCAAAATATGTATTTCACCAGTGTTAATCTAATCCTTCAGACTTCCAGAAATTCAATCCGCAATGGAAGCCATGCAGTGAATTATTCAAGCAGTCTTCTATATGACTGCACGTTTTTTAACGGAAAATCCGAGATGCACAGAATATAGATCCTGTTTCGCAAGATATTATGCCTTCAAGCTGGATCGGTGCAAAAGTATTTTAACTTTAAAAACAGGGCTAAATGAAAATGTTTATGTGCTCGATACAGGTGGTTGTCAGCTTGAAACTTGAACTTTTATTTTTATGTACAAGAAAACTTCAAGGTAAACCATTGAATATTTCAAACGACAGCTTGCTTTCACAGCTTTCATATTTTTAATGGCAGAACGAACTGATTTTTCATTTATCTTGCTGACGTTCTTAATTCAAACCGATGAGTTATTTTTTCTTTCGCACAATCCATTTGTCAACAGACGTCGTATTTAAACTGAAGGTTTTTTTCCACACAATGCTTGCACAGTATATGTTGCACTGTATCCAATGAAATAAACTTACTCAATGTTTCAGTATTATTTATCGCGAAGAAAATTCAGGCTTTTATGTATCAGTTTCGATTTTTAGCATCATAAAATTCTCAGAGAAGTGAGTCAAATTATGTCTATTATGCAAATCGCTCAAGGTGTCGGTCTGTCATTGGCCCACCTTGTTGCAATGTGGCCTGTACGTGTAAACAAGATGTCACACACGCAAAGTCTTTCAGTTGGTTTCATGGAAAAGATACAACATGGCTTTTAGTTTCCTGGCACTTAGGAAATTTTAAGAACTGTTTTGAATACTTGTTGACTGAATGAGTGACAGTGAGTTACTACTGTTCAGCCTTTTTGATTCTCATGGAAGAACAAAAAAATGATGATACTGCAAATGCCCCAAGCAAGCAAGCATGTATAGAAATATAAGTTCCATTTTTGTTTGTGGTTCTTTTGAGTAAGGAGGTTATTAACTGTGTGCAAAGGGAACCAAAAGTGGACAAAAGGTCTTTATAAAGAATCATTAAAGAATGAAGTCTCCTACATAACTATTCTTTGTGTTTATTGCTGCAAAGTGCTTCTCCCCACCCAAATTGTTTTGGGCTTGTAATTTTGAGTAACAAATGAAAATTAGATATAAGCTAGCTAGTCAGAGCGTGTGCGCAGCATTTTCCACTTACTCTACCGTCTATGTAACAATAAAATTATTAGAAAGCAAAATCAATATACTTTTTTTGGCAGATAGGAAATTTGGTATACCAAAGTTCCAAGTTAATTATAACCTGACAAAGCCAACAGGTTGTAAACAAAAATACCAGAATTTAACCTAATGAACGGGCAGTTTTTGATTGTTTTCTAGGCATACATTATTGTATCTTAACATAAAAACCTCAGCTTTTCTCCACTTGATGTATTGTATTGAAATCCATTCTCAGTTATAAACTGGAATTTTCCTTGTCTTCCATCAATACTTAGGGTCTAAGAAATGGAGAAAATTTTGAAACAAACTAATTTGAATTCTTATTTAACTGAGAACAGAATTTACCTTCTACAAACATATCAGCTAATTAGAATACTGGATTTACAGTAAGAGTATTTATTATAGAATTATGTCAAAATGAAAATTTTATTATTGGACTCAACTGAACTGAATGCGTGTCATATTGTACCTGAAGGTGTTAACTGATGATGAGAGGAGAAAGGTGTATGATAATCATGGAGAGGAAGGACTTAAAAATATGCAGAGTGGTGGAGGAGATCCTTTTGACCCATTCTCAAGGTATTGTAGTGTCAAGTTCTATGACCAGGGTTTTCATTAAGATTTCTAATAGCAGGAGAGAGGTGTAATGTTACAGGAGAATATTTGAAAGAGGCCCACATCTTAATAAAAAATAGTCATAAGCTATTAAAATGAATTCTCTGGCTAACATTTAATGTTAGCCAGAGAATTCAGCATAGTAAACGGAGAATTCTCTAATCTCTGATGCCTAATGAATACCCTGTATGACATACAAGATATATTGTGGATGTTGATGCAGAGTCGAGGAATGATGGGGACTGACTGAATCTTGGTCTTGTGGACTGCAATATTACCAATGGCGTTATGCAAATTAAAAGATTAAAAAATTACCGGGTTTGCAAATTTTATTGATGAGTGGAGTCAGTGTGACTTCTGCTTCACAAATTTTGGAGTCATTTTGGAATATTTGGAGTCAAGTATCACAACGAACAAAGCCATTTTTTCAGACTTCCCAGCACGTGGTCCTGGCATGTATACACTATGGAGAGGGATACTCATGATGGGAGTGGCTCCCTGTTTGTTACCGAAAATTTCTGGGGTCGACATGACTCCCTCTGTAACCTCAGTGGAGTCATCTGAACAATTTTGGCGTAAAATACGCCAAATTTGGCGTATTTGCAAACCCAGAATTAATTCAAGAAACAATACGAGCTCTCAGACACAATAAACATTTTTGGAACAATTTTGCAATGCAAGGCCAAGGAATTGCTCACAGGTCTATTTATTCATGTCAGTTATATCATACTATTTTTCATTTGGCACTCATAGTTTCTTTGGAGGGTTTGGCTTTCATTTCGATGGCGCGCAACATTCTCATGAAAGGGAAATTCCCCGTGGAAGCGACATTGTAATGGATCTGGAGGTCACGCTAGAAGAGCTTTATAATGGCAACTTTATAGAGGTGATTTCTTTAGTCAATAGAAGAGAATTATACCATAAATATCCTTAATTTAATGCATTTGACATCGAACAAATGGAATGCTAATCTAGGGGCATTTTTTGGGATGCCTGTGTTTCACTGTGAGTCGAGAAAATTCATGTGTTTCTAGAAAGTTATCTGGCCTCTTTGTTTTAGAGTTGTCCCTTCTTTACAGATAACAACTATCTTATTTTGCTTTGTTTCTTTCAAAATTCTCTCATTTACCATGTTTTTCTGCCAAAAATGGCTTTCCTCTCTTGTTTCCTTGCTCTGCCCTCCCTTGTAAGCCCTTTGTATTCTACTGCACCTAATTTTCCCCTTACCCTCCCTTTTGAGTGTCTGCCACACAGGCTGTCATTTCTCAAGAGTTTCTACTGTTTTTGTGGGAGCAGCATAACACTTCTAACAACATCTGATAGGTAATGCCCTTGCAAACACACTTTTTAATCAGCTGATTGCTCCTTGTTGAATCAAAAAGTGCATAATGCCATCCACCAGATAAATCTCTATTCAGTGGATAGCGCAATTGGTTCCCCTAATACTTATCGGCTGGGTAGTGATTTGTCGCGTGGATAGCACTATCCAACATTTGATCAACTGGGGCCTGATTGCTCCTATTTGAATCAATATATTGTTATTTAAATTTTTTCCCATGCCACCCAGGTATTGCGATTTAAACCAGTTAAACAGACAATTCCCGGAACAAGGAAGTGCAACTGTCGGCAAGAGATGAGAACAACGCAGCTAGGGCCAGGGAGGTTCCAAATGTCTCCAGTTGATATCTGTGATGAGTGTCCTGCCGTCACTATGGTTACAAAAGAGAAACTCTTAGAGGTTGAGGTAGAACCTGGTATGCGTGATGGCCAGGAGTATCCATTCATTGCAGAGGGTGAGAAGATGATATTGTTAAGTTACTCTTTAAACCTTTAAATTTCAAGAGTGAACAACAGCAGTTCTTTTCTTAACGATATTAGAAAATGTTATGAGAATAGAGAAGATGATCACCAAACGGAAAATGTTTTGATCTTTTGTCTCAAATTCTCTCAGCTAATTCCTAGAGGAATTGTATGGAGGTCAGTCAAGAGAATTGTTAAGTGGATATTGGGGCTTCGAGCCATAAAATAAAGTTTTTAATTAGGAGAATTTGAAATTCAAAACATTGTCTGCATTAAGCATCCACAAAATTCAAACATTTTCAAATTCCTGTTTAATTGTGAAGTATTAAGAACTGATGTTCAATATCTCTGTTATTTTGCAGGTGAGCCTCACATTGATGGTGAACCTGGTGATTTGAAATTCATTATCAGAGAACTAAGGTATCAATTGCACGCAGTTTTTTTTTATTGTTTAATTTGTAGTGCATAATTATAGATTTTTCTTGCTGCATAATGTAGCCTCCTGGAAACCTTGGCTCAATTTAGGTTTCTGGGAAACTCCCCACCTACCCCTCCCCTAAGTCATCACTATTTTGCCCTAAGTGAGAAGTATCTGTTGATGTTAGCCTAGGGGAGGGGTAGGTGGGCATTTTCCCTAAAACCTAAATTGATCCGAAACCTTTTTATTGTAGCACTAGCCCACAAGTAAGAACCTACATTTTTGTGCCATTTGGGAAATTTGCTTCAACCAATCAGAAGCACTACCAAGATCTGGTAGGAAACACTTCATCAGTATGGAGTTTCTGCGCTTGTTTCTGAGACGTCATTTTGCAGGGAAACCAGTGGTGGTGTCAGAAAATGTCCGCTACAGGGTGGCACTGTATCAGTTTTGTTTGGAATGTTTCTTATTTTTTAATACTGCTTCAGGCTTGTTGTTGTTGTTGTAGAAATTAGTGTTATCTTTTGTCATTTTGTGGTGTAGACATTGTTCAATGTCTTTTCAATCTAGTGGTACAGTGCATTTCATCTGGTGATAATCGAATCATCAGCAAAACCAAGAAACTACATATTTGTTGAAGTGATCATCAAAAATTTATTATAGTTATGTAGAACCCATCCCCTGTCAGAACTGCCCAAGTAAGAATGCTTAAACACACTGTTTGTTTGCCTCAACAGACATGATAGTTTTAAAAGAAAAGGGGATGATTTATATACAAATGTGACCATAACTTTACTTGATGCTTTAAATGGATTTGAGATGGACATACCTCATTTGGATGGACACAAGGTAAAACTGCTTATAATACAGCTACTTCAATAAAAGCTGTCAGAATGCTTAGGTTACCAGACTGCATTTGCCTTTTTGAAGCAAGAAGAGAACTGAACAGAAATGCGTCCCGTTATTGCTCCTGGAATTGTTGCTGGAGATGTGCTTGTCAGCCATTGGCTAATACCTGGTAAAAGACCCAGAAGTCCTTGTGAAAGTTAACTTGCTCCAGTTTCTTTCTTGTTTCTTAAGTGGCGAATAGCAATAAAATTACTGTACTGTGTATCATCAGTTTTAAAATTTGAGGCAAAGCAGCTGAGAGTTTCTAAACCTGATAATACACGACTGCGAGTTTTTAGAACGGCTTGAAAATCTCTGGTATAGATCGACTCATTCTTGCACTAATACAAAATTTTTATGGGTTTGGGGTTATTTTGGTCTTAAAAATTGGATGTTAAGTTTGGCTGTGTCCTTATCACATATAAAGACCCTCATTAAATATAAATTTCTTTTATTTTTTCTTTCTGAATTATTAATGAGATTCTGAAGTATTGGGTAACTTCTTTGAAAACTTTACCAAACACAGCTTTAAAGCAAAGTATTATTCTTCTGTCATGAAATCACAAAATGTTTAATGTTTGGTATGTTTCAAACCATCCTATGGCACTAAACAACCAAGAAGGAGGTTTGATTTCAAAATTGAAAATGATCTCCCGCTACCCACATATCCTCTTAGTCTTGTTGGTTGGGCTTGAGGCCTTGAAATCTTGTCGCTAATACAGGGTTGTCACTAAGATTTTAAGTTGCCAGGTGAATACAAGAAGTAGGCAGGGAATCAAACACCTAGGGGCTTCTTTTGGTTCTACTTTTCTTCTATTTTCCTTTGAAAGTAGCTGGGGGCCACATAATAGAAGCCGGAGAAAATCCCCGGCCCACACCTCTTAATGACAGCCCTGTAATAATACAACCACTATAACCTTTGCCATGATTATGATTGAAGCTTGAGTTAAAATAGTGTAGCGGATAGGCCAGTTGCCTACATGTACCAACGAAATCCCACTGGCGATGCCATATGTGGGTTGAGAATATAGTTGGTTCTTGCATTTAAATAGCCCCCAGGAGATTTTTCCTTGGGTTCTCCAGTTTCCCCTACCCTCGAAAACCAACATTTTCAAATTCCAATTTGATGCATAAATATTATGGTCAACAAAGAACCACTACAAAAGTCATTTATGCAGTACCACTAAATGATTATTTTTGTTATTTATTATTGTTATTATTATTTCATTTCCTGTCAGGTACACTTAGTGCGAGAAAAAATAACTTGGCCAGGAGCTCGTATTAAAAAGAAAGATGAAGGAATGCCAAACTATGATAACAACAACGCTAAGGGTGATCTTTATATTACATTTGATGTTGAATTTCCAAGAGGAGGCCTCGAAGACAGTGAGAAAGAAGGTATGTCCCACCATATTTTTTGGGTTACTATGTCAGGATGGTCTGCATTTACATTTATTACTAAACATAAATTAAAAACATGAGAAGGAAAACTATAGACTAAACAGAGTGAGTGTTAAACACTGTTCACTAGACTCATTACTGGTATTTTTCATATCCAATGTATTTTTATAGTTAGTAAAACAGTTAATAAAAAAATTGTTTTCTTCCTAAGAAACTACAGCGGAACAAAGTTTAAGAAATGTCAAGGTAATTGCAAGAAATAAGTTGGCCAAAGTTTTTCATCGTCCAAAACTAAAGTAGCACAGCTCAGCTTTTCACTACCAAGTAAAGAGAGAGAATTATACTAAATAAAAGAAAATACAGTAATTATTGAAGTTGAATTGTTAAATTAAGTCATTAATGTTGTTGTTATCTGCATTTTGTTTCAGCTCTCAAGACTATTTTGAAGCAACAATCTCAACAGAAGGCATATAATGGACTTTAGAGACTTGCATAAAAATAATTTTATGTCTTACAATTTAAATGACTGTAATCTATTTTCCAGTTTTTCAATAGCTTCTGAAATACTTTTTAAAATTGACCACTTTAGAAAAAAGGATACAAAAAATTACCATTCATGGAAATATTTAGGGCCTGAAAAATGTAAGCAAAGCCTACAAACACTTCACAAGGAAATGCTGATATAACAATGTGTCAAGGGACAGGAAAAATATGTTTAACTTTACATTAGCAAGAGAGCAGATTGAGTACAAGGGCTACAATACGATACACAATATGACAAATTGTTCTGTAGCTGGAAATTTTTTCCAACAGGGCATGCTGTCATTGGTTACTTAAACGGCACATGACATCTAACAATGAATCTGTTTCCCACCAAAATATCTGAGCAGGCAACATTGCAAAATCTATGATGTTCGAATGTTGACCAACAACCGTCGTTGCAATGGGGTTTAATGAATTTCCAGCTTCAAAATTTTCAGCTATAAAACAAATGACTGATCCCTCAGCAAACAGTTAATTTTGTTTCCCTTGAATCTCAATATTTCCCGAGGTAGATCCCAGGAAACAAAATTAAATGTTTCCCTCGGAACCAGTCATTAAGTGTTTATCAATGTTTTTTGGCAAAGGAATGGCAATCGCATTTTGCTTTACCACAAGGACTGTACAGCTGGCATGCCACAAAATAAGTGCCAATGCTCTTGTTTGTCACTTTGAATAGCACAAGAAGCAGGGATTGTTTGCTTTCATATTATTTCGTTACAAGGATGAGGGGGGTGAATAGGTGAACGGATTGGCGGATTTTGAAAATATTTTTGCCTGGATTTCGGATTGCAGATTCATCTATTTTTTTTGCCCGGATTTCGGATTCAGGGCAAAAACTGAAGGGCGGATTTGCATACCCCTATTCACCCCCCTTAAGGTGAAAATGCAGAGCTTGATGCGCTAGAAATGTTGACAACAGTGAATTCACAAATTGTTGACGTAGCATATTTTTTTGTTAGAGTAGTGTAATGTTGACAGTGACACTCTTGTTCAGAGTATTGATATTTGTGTGTCATGGGAAGAAATATCATGGATCACCATTGCCTTCACTGTACTGTTTAAGCCCTAACTAGGGTCCTGTTCCAAATCTTTTCCTCTGACTGGAGCAAAGAATATTATATAGGGGTTTGTTTTATTGACGTCTCATTATACGTTTATTTTGCTCTTTACGTTGAAGGTACCCCAATGATTTGCAATCAGGCCAATTCTTCCACACTTCAGTTTCCTACCAGATCTGTTAAAAAATCTCAGTCAAGGAACAGATTTTTAGTAAAAGGAAAGTGTATCCTGATGTCATCAATTTTTCATTGGTATGGTCATACAACCGTTTTGAACATTTGAACAAAGTTTTGTAGATTATAAATTATTACATGTATGAACATTTTTCAACGTTAAAACCCTTTAAGTCACAATAGTGACCATCATCAATTTTCTCCTAACATTTTCCATACATCGTCAAGACAAAAAGGTTAGGAGAATTGATACAGTAGTCACCAAGGAAATGCTATGATCTTTGATCAAATTCTCACAACTTATCCTTCAAGGAGAAGTATGGAGATGAGACTGGAGAATTTGCATGTAGATATTGGGGATTAAAGGGTTAAGGTGACATTGTGGGTAGCACTGAGACATGAACAGTGTGACTTGTTTGTACTGGGTTATTGTTGTAAATATAGCAAGAAATTTATCAAAGAAAAAGTAAACAAAAAGTTGTTGTTTTATTCAGAAAAAAAGTGATATTTTTCCTGTCTCTTGGAACAATATCATCATTACAGTGTATTATTATTATTTATTATTTTAATTACTTTAATTCCTTTGTATGCACCTACAGTTGTATCACACATTTTGAAATCAATGTCTTGCTACTGTTCTTATTCGGTTATTAACCAAGCAAAGACTTAAAAGGACAGAACATCAGCTACAGATTTGGCACAAACATGTTTCACTTCCACTGGTCTGAACTACAAAATACATGCCACTTTTAATCACCTAAGAAAGATAACAGCTTGCACCCTTTGCAAAGCCAAATGAGCTACCCAAGACATAGACCACACATAGATGCACATCTAAATACATGATGTTTCCAATTTAAAACCAAACTAAACTCGTAGTAATTTTTTTGGTATTTTGTTCAGATAAGGCATTTTTTATTATAATTGAAGATGAAATTTTTTGTGGATAATGCAAATACTGGAGATCAAGTATGTCAAATAGTGCTTTGGTATAATTATCAGAAGTTCATACATTTTTCACCATAATTCTAATGTCGGCTAATATTAACTTTTTGCCTGGTGAAAAACCTTTAAAATATTAACCAGTGGAAACATGACTATTGCACCGATAAAGGAGCCTGTCTGTATACTGACGCCACACCAGAACAATGCTCGGTAACCATGGTTGCGCATTATTGTACAAATGGACAGTTTGGTAAAGCTGATTAGAATACCACTTATGATGCTGACCAGAATCTGCAAGGACAAAAAAAGTGCACAACATTTGTAAAAAAAGTACCAAAAATTACCTTGCTTCCAAGCAAATTAAATATGAAACATAACATTGATTAATTTGAGTCCCAACTGGCAGGAGGCAAGACAATCGGCAATTTACAAGTGTGGTCAACGAGTTACTAAAATCCTCCATGGTGGGGGGGAGAGTGGGGTACTGCCATATTTGGGTATTATAGGTATGTGCTGCTTTAAAGGGTATGGTTTTCCCAAAGGCAAGCAGGTTAGTCTGGGATGGGGTATACAAATCAGAGAGTTTAAGCCTAGAATAGGCTATCATTTTCCAGGAAACTGATGAAATTATATTGCTTGAAGATTCTCGTTAAGACTAAGGAAAACAGGAATTGACACTTACCTCAGTTTAATAGCAAAGAAATCATTGATAAATGGAAAATAGAGACTCTTCTAGGCTAAGGAAAGATTTGGGGAGTTACGTCTAGTAGCACAATTCAGCCGAACTAGGTCTGGTATAGGCAAAGGTTTCCAGGGTTCCACTGGAACAACCTCACCCGAAAATTCCTATGATACCCCCTTCCAGATTAATCAAAACAGACATTAATATCCATACTTACTATAAGTGCACTTCCCACATCTGAATTGTAAAGTGGAGGGGTTGGGCTCAGCGAAGCAAGTACGAGGATGTAACCACTTAGAACTGTATAAATACTGGCCAATACAGTTACTAGTGTTGGTGAAGAACATGGAATCCATAATGCAGCAAAACAAGTCAGAGCACTGGCAATACTGGACAGAGTAGCAACTGTTGATGAAGGTTAATAAACAAGTGTCATTCGGTAAAACACAATAACTTGGTTTTATCAACAGCGAAGGTTGAAACAACAGATTATGCCTATTGCAGCTAGTCATTCACATGGTACAAAACTGCCACGCTGGAGAACAAGGGACATATTGGGAGGAGACAACCAAAGCAGATTACAATATTTTAGATTATATGAGCTCCTTGTTTGTCTCTTCCCAGTGCGACTTTTGCTTTCCAGCATGGCATACCAAAACACATTTTTGTGGAGGATGGGGAGTAGGTCAAGTAATAATAATAATAATAAATAAATAATGATGATTTGAAGGTAGCACATCCACAAAGTGGTTCTTCGTCTACCTGATTCCTGGTCAAACTGGAATTTGGAAATGTTGGTTTTTGAAGAGAGGGGAAAACTGGAGTACCTGGCGAAAAACCTCTTGGAGCAAAGGAGGAAAACCAACAACAAATTCAACCCACATATGGCACCAGCTCTCTCACCACTGCGCCATCGCTTGCTCCCCAAAAGTAACTAAAGTAGGTACCAAGTTATGATGTTCAAGTAGTGTAGCCAAGGATAGACTACGAGCAGTCTCTCTTTTTTCTGTAGTCCGTCGAGCAAAACGCGAGAAACGCAAATGGCCACGCGCGTGACTGATGGCGCGAGACGGGAGAGGCACGAAAAAAGAGAGACTACCCGCAAAGCCAGAGAGAATGGTCTTTCACGGTCTAGTGATTTTTTGGCGTCAAAACTAAAGTGTTGACAGGCCAGGCACGTGAAACGTGACTTTAGAGTTTGCTTGAGCAACAGAGGTTTTTCTACTTGTCTTTTTAAAGCGCAGCTTATGCAGTGCATAGAGTTAGAGTCGATTCTAACTGACGGAGCAAATCTTAATTTTGGCCGCTGGTCTCACATTTAGAGGTCATGAAGCTGGACTATTTCTCTTATATGAATAATTCATTTCCTGTGCTTTATGTTTTGAATGAGATCACCCGTGGCCTAGTTTTTGTTTGCAGGATGTTGAATTTTCACGGGACAGTGTTCTACATATCCTAATTGTAGCTTAACTAAAGCTAAGCCAACGCTGCAAGTCACTCAAGATCATTCTTTGGGCGCCTTTTTGATTTGTTTTTTCTTCCTTTCTTGAGAATCTTTGTTCTTTAGCGCGATGTTCTCTAGTGCATCCTTTGGTAATTACTATTGTTTTAGCTTTATAAAATAAACAGTCTAATGCTACTTTCTGTTTTAATTTCCAAAGTAAGACAACCGTTTTGGAACGAAAGCGTTCCTTGACAGTGAAGAAAGGCTTTGAGCATTTAAATTGCGCGATCACGTCACGTACCGGGAGAGATGAGACCTTCTTATGCTTCTCTTTGCTCCGTATCTAATGTTTTTTTTTTCGGGAAACGTGACAAACTTTCCTGCAGTGCTTCAGCCACCATCAACTTGTCAATGGTTTCGATTGTTGACAGTTTGTTGTCAACGCCTCACAAATCAGCCAATCGTATTTTGCGTTGTGAGGCCAACGCTTAATTCATTGGCTCTGGCTAAGCGGGCAGTCTCTCTTTTTTCTTCTCGGGCTGCCGCCCTCGTTTCGCGCGTCTTGCGGCTTCGCCGCTCCCGCGCGCGTGCATTGCTCCCACTAAATCTGAAGAAAAAGAGAGACTGCTCGCAGTCTAAGTCAAGGACTAAGGTATAGAAAAACTGCCACTTATAAGCCTCCCCAGATCCAATCATAAACTCCCCCAGTTATTAACTCATCTACCTGTAAACAAAAAATAGATCCGATTATACCCCCCCCCCTCCACTCACCCCTGGATATACGCCCTCCTCCAACATATTGAAATGAATTTGATTTCACCTATTACCTTCAAAGCTTTTACTAAAAGCCAGTAAATGCCAAATGTATTTCATAAGCCATGCTATAGCCTGTTTCCTTACTTCCTCCCTGGAAGGTCACTGGTGATTCTGAGGGGGGGAGTGGGCTATAAAGCTCAACACCCCAAGGGGTGCGAGTTATACCAATTAAATACAGCATTTCAGTAAGGTAAAGATGTTTCTGGAAAAACATCTGAATCCACTAGACAAAATCAAAACCTGGAATTTACCTAAATGATATGTCTTTTCACCATATGGCTCACTAGCATAAGCTTGAATTGACGACAATACACCATTTGACAGGCAGTTTATCCATGCTTGAATACACAGGAGAAAAATGATTTTCAGGTTCATTTCATCCCTAACTGACTGGCAGCTGCTATGTTTAGGATTTATGTAACAGTCCTGAGTTGTAGTTGGATCATGACAAGTCCTAGCGGATTTAGGAAAATCCCCACAGAGAGGCTGAGTTTCATCATCACTTTCTTTTGTATGTGCATTTCTTAGGGTGATTTTCATCACATGTTGTCTTTTAGCTACAGGTAAATAAATTAAAGCCAAAAACGCCAGACCACAAACAATCATGATTGAAAACAAGAAAAAGAAAAAACCTTCCGGACCAAATTTCAAACCGTCATCTTTGGCGGTGTTCTGGTGGGATGAGGAATTGGTTGCATTCGTCGTGTTGTAACTTCCGCTTCCGCTGCCTATACCTTGACCAAGGGCAACAAAAGCGGGTAGCAGACCACTTGATGTTTCTCCGACAAATAAAGCGCTCAAATAAAACGAAGGGAATAACGACATGAAAGTTAGAAAGACCACAGAGGAAGTACAGTCAACGATAGCCAAGAAAAATGACAGGATAAAGAGAGCTGTACTGTGTCTATCGCCGCCGATGTAGCTTGTTTCGTTCCAGTAGAATCCAAGCAAAGCACAAGCAACAGCACCGACTGAAACGATGAACGGTATTGCAGTTTTTTCGTGAACTTTCTTCGGAGCAAAATGATTACCTATGGCGTAAATCAAAGGGCCGACATTAGCGAGCTGGACTATTACCGCCAGATACGATGGAAGGTTCCATCCCTCGGGAGAATCTTTGACCAAAACTGGAAGTTCGACCCATAAGCCGTTCACAGCCACCCAAGAACCCAGACCAAAAAGGCAAATCAATACGTAGGTTGGCCACGAAACCTTGTTATTTGAGAGGACATCCCTCCAGCGGGAAATAATAGTTTCTGTCTTTACCATGTTTCAAGTTAGAAATTCTCTTCCGTGTGTTGGTTACATAATACAACTGACCAAAAAGACACTCTCACGTGACGTAACATATCACATCAGCCAGCGGTTCACCTATGAAAGATTTTTCATCTGTATAAAAAACACGAAAATTAAACATAACATGCTGAAGAATTTTTCTGAGGTTTCTGGAGCCAGGCCTATGGGGCGCCGTTTGTAAAAATAATGATTTAGCTTAATTTTGTCATTTTTTTCGTTATTTATTAAATAAAGTTTTCTGATATGATATCATACGTCAATGATTTGATATAATAAATGTTGATTTAAAATCATGCGTTTATGATTTGATATAATAAATTCTGATTTCAAATCATACCTTTATGATTTGATATAATAAATTATTTTTTCAAATCATACCTTTATGATTTGATATAATAAATATTGATTTCAAATCATGAGTTCATGATTTGATATAATAAATCCTGATTTCAAATCATAAGTTTATGATTTGATATAATAAATCCTGATTTCATATCATTCGTTTATGATTTGATATAGTAAATCCTGATTTCAAATCATAAGTTTATGATTTCATGTAATAAGTTCTGATTTTAAATCATAAGTTTATGATTTGATATAATAAATCCTGATTTCAAATCATAAGTATATGATTTCATATAATAAATAATGGTAATTGAACTGAGTGGAGTGCAATTTGGTCTGAAATCATACGCGTGATTTCAAAATCGAACGAGCGCACAGCGCGAGTTCGATTTGAAATCACAAGTATGATTTCAGACCAAAATTGCACGACACGAAGTTCAATTACCACTTTATTACATCCATTTTGAAATCGCAGAATTTAGTCAGTACTAATATTTTATTGATTGAGTAGCCGGTTTGTTAAAAAGCCGAGACAAAAAGGCTTTTACATCTCATTTTGTATTCGAAACAAAAATGATGCGATATAGAACAAAAATGGTGCGATTTAAAACAAAAATGATGCGTTTTAGAACATGAATGACGCGATTTGGAACAGATGCGATTTAGAGCAAAAAATGGTGCGATTTAGGAATAAATCACACTGCTGAGAGCCAATCAGATTGCACGGATAGCCAGTGATTTCAAAGTGGATGTAATAAAAATCATTATTTGATATCAGTATTTGATATCAGTGAAATCAGGATTTACTATATGAAATCATAAACGAATGATTTGAAATCAGGATTTATTATATCAAATCATAAACTTATGATTTGAAATCGGGATTTATTATATCAAATCATGAACTTATGATTTGAAATCGGGATTTATTATATCAAATCATGAACTCATGATCTGAAATCAACATTTATTATATCAAATCATTGACGTATGATATCATATCAGAAAACTTTATTTAATAAATAACGAAAAAAATGACGAAATTAAGCTAAATCATTATTTTTCCAAACGGCGCCCCATACAGGCCGAGAGGGTTGTACTGATTTAAGTTCAGAGAAGGAAAAAAAAAAGATACGTGTCTTGAGTTCATGTCCTCCGTAAAACATGAAATTAGGTAGTTTCAAGTAGGTGTTGTGCAAAACTGCAAAGAATGTTGTAAACAAAAATGTACAAAAAAGTGTACTGCCCGTGTAGAGTTGTTGTTTCGCTTATGAAACCTGTTTCTTTTGCCATTGCCCTTGTAGTTGATTTCGTTGCTTAAGCTCCCTATTCAGTACGTAAGTCTAGCAATGACAGCCACTGCAATCAGGAGACTGCAACAAGAACGCCCAATAAATAATTAGAGGTTTGTTGAGCAAAACAACAACAAGTTGACGACTCTGCACGTGCAGCACACTTATTTTGCACATTTCTGTACAGTCACTGCACGACTTCGCACGTGAAATTTCTTGAAAGGTCGGATACAATAGGCGACATGTAGCTGCAACACCTCGCGTAGACAGTACACTCTTTGTGTTCAGCCGTCAACACGGCCGTTGCTCGACACTTTACAACGACAAATTGCTTGTCCTGGATGGAACTGTAGAATTTTTGTGCTTTCGTAACGGGATTCTTTTGCCCCAGCAAGTTGCACAATTTCAAACTGATTTGAGTTAATAGAAGCGTTTCTCGCTGCCGTCGATCGTCATTGCCGAAGCTCCCTGTGCGTGACCTAATAACACTGTTTTCCTGGCTGAAGATGACAGCAAACATGACGAAAACGTTAAGGTTTGTTTTTTTAATTCTTCAGTGGCCAGGAAGTCCGGCTTTCAGCAATAATTTTCTAAATTACTAAGTTTTCAATTTCTTTGTCTGTCTGTTCAGTGATTAACATGCATCATGTCACACCGCTTTTCAAAGCCCGGAAGGGAACTCCCTATAATAACCTACAAGGGGAGCCAGCTCCGCCAGAAAGGGGTACCATTTTCAGGCTTCAGTTTTATGAAAGGGTAGGGATTTCACTAGTTGAAGTATATGAAAGGGTAGGGAAATGTGTCATTTCGGTCTTTAAAATGACCTGAAAGGGCCAACAGAAGGATTTTATGGCTATAAAAAATCCGAGAAAACGTACTGGTGTGAGGTTTTATCAAATCTTAAAGACAGTATATTCAAGGCAGTTAAAGGGATGCAAAGTTCAAAACTTATAGGTGTGTGAAAGGGGGTACCATTTGCCAATGGAAAATATACAAAAGGGTTACCTTTTCTGCCAGAATGCTATATAAAAGGGTAAAGGGTTGGACGTCGGGCGGAGTCTCCCAGTATAAAACATTGCTGATTCCCCCCCCCGCCCCTCCGGGTCTAGAGTCACATTTGTCAATGTTTGTGGAGGGGAAAGCGCCCTGCTTTGTGGGCTCGATTTCCGAAGCTCTCTCGGGAGGAGCGAGGGCTTATTTCCCGAACAGCGGCTGGTATTCGAGCCTACCTGCTTTGAAACTGATTGAAAAGCTCGTACTGCTCTCTAAACCAATCACAGGTAAGAGTTTTTTCACGTGCGTTTTCCTACCCTCAACGTCCGTTACACTGATGCACTTTCCTCGAGTTGTGACTGGTTCACGTGATTGTGTACATCGTCTTGCCATTGTTCATTTCTTTGGCTTCGATTTTACAGTATATACTTAATGCTGCGCTGTAAGGCTGCATGGCTTTCTTCCACAGTTACTTTAATGGATGGCTTTTCAATATAGCTGTTGTGGTTCAATTTTATCCTTGGTTCAAATTTTCTTTTCTTTTGTTTCAAACTCATTATCATGTTATTATCATACATTACCACACCCAAAAACAAAAGAAAAGAAAATTTGAACCAAGGATAAAATTGAACCACAACATAGCCAAGCCTAAAAGCAGAGCTCCCGCCTAAGACTGACTAAATCAACAAAACGGGACTCTTGCTGGTGTGCGAAACCAGTACTATGGGAGTGGAGCTCTTTTCTTATATCAGACGCTATCTTTTGTTCTAATAAATTTCACCGTCGCTCATGTGATTGAAATCGCTCCATACGTAGAGAACGTAGGACTCATTTTAAACCTTTGTGAAAAAGCATCAGTTTAGCGTTCGGTTTTTCTCAGGAATGCCATTCTAGTTTACAAGTGCGATGCCAACAGGCGCACAAGAACAAGAAGCAATCTCCTTTTTCTCTTCTTCATCAGTAGGGCTACACAACCATTGTAACAATTGCAAACAAACAAAACAAAAAGTCTGAGTATTTGACCTCTATGATAAATTTCAGATCTGATTTCCAAAAATCAGGCTAAAAAAACGTTTGTACGATAATCCATCTTTTAAATCTCTCTTGACACATTTTGTTTGTTGCTTTAAACAGTGAAATCCTTCAGTTGACGTTGAGGATATTTCCAGAAGAGATAAGGTGGGTTTTATTAATATATCTGCTAAAGGTCCTCCGTCCAGTTCCATCCTCTTTTTCTCATAGTTCAACCCACCCTTAGTTCACGATAGAATTGATTGCAAATTTGCGTAAATATCCTTATGGTTTGCTTATATATCATGTATCTTAAGCTAAGTCTGTGCTGAAATAGAGGTTCTTAAGGCGTCAAACATTTTGTCAACATGTAGACAATTATTGCAGTTATACAAAATTCGCTTACTGCTAAATATGCAAATTTAAACAATAATAAGTCATTTCCGAGATGCCTTAAGCCTCTGTTTCAAAGTGAGGCTAAGTGCAAAACTATTGATATGAACTGTTTTTTTTTTTAATTCTCATGCAAAGGAAAATCATTTTTAGATAAAAGGTTTCTCACTTACTCTCGTTTTGAGAGTGAGAATGTTTGGAACTCAGAAATGGCCGCTTGGTCACTTTGAGGTTGCGCGTGGATTGGCACGGTCTCGAATTGCACTATGGGAACTGCTTTGGGGACGTAAGCGCTTCTTTTATTGGCTATTAGGAGTATAACGTTACGTCACGCTGACGTCACCTATTGTTATTAATGAGGCAAAAAGAAGCGCATTGGTTCTTGAAACAGAGGATTTTTTTTGTTTTACTCGTAACACATATGAAAAACAAAAACAATCTTAGTCAACAGTATCATTACGGTACACTGATGCAAATGATCCCGAGACCTTCATCGAATGATCCCTAAAGAGAGTGTACACAATCAAGTTTAAGTGACGTCACTTTGCAAGCACCAAAAGAGCGCATGACAAGGATATATAAATTATATTTTATTCTCTGTCTGGTTAAGCAGCGTACAAGTCTAGATATAGACAATATTCTCTAAAATTAATTGCTGATTAAAAAGAAACCGCCGCTCTAAAAGTGTAACCACTGACAGCTTTATTTGACACGTATCAGAAAATAAATCTTGGGGTGAAAACGGCACGATCTGTCCGCCAATTTATTTACACCCTACGATTATCTGAATAGATCTTATTATCTAAAGGAAAAACAACGATCAAAATCGTCTAATAAACTGGCTTTTTAACTACTTGAATATCTAACGAAGTACAGAGGGTAACCATGGAGATAGAGAAGGAAGATCTTTCTGCGGTTCTAGCCAAGCCTGAGTTCAAGCCGTTCCAAAACGACGGGAAGATGGGAAATTCGAGCACGCAAGAACATTCTTCGCGCGGTCAATTTTTCTTTTCTTTTGTCTTGTTCCTTTCTTCTTCTTCACGTGACTACTGCTAAAGGGTTAAGGATTTATAGCAGAGTTGAACACGTGCCGCTAAAGAAGAAATGGTGTTAGCCACGTGGGTAAAGTGGTAATCGGATTCATGCGTAGCGCTCAGTATGCATGCAGATGAGAATGAACTGGGGCGATCAACAACCGAAGAAAGACAGCTGCAATAAACTGACCACGCAGCATAGAAAGGTTTAGAATGAGTTTCGCAAAATATACTTTATCCAATCAGAACAAGACCAATCAATCAAACAAGCCAAGCAGATCTCCAAACGCGTGTGCGTAAGTCTCGTTTGTCTCTTATTTGTGTTCCGGTTGTTTTTGAAAGTGCTCTCGATTCCGAAGGCTTGCGAAAAAACTTCGGGATCAAGAATGGTACACGGAGTACCAAGCAATTTTTCGCAGAGGATGAAAGGCATGAATGCAAAAGCAAACCGCTGCGAGATTGATTACTTTGGCTGCTCGAAAGAAAATCACTCAAAAACCTACAGCTGTACAACAATGTCGTAAAACATTCGTCGCGTACTTGGATTTCCAGGGGATCTGAGTACGTGTACAAAATTAGTACACGCGCGTATGAGGCAATGTGCGAGGCACTGTATGCGTTATAAGTTAAGATAAGATCGAGAAATTAAGCTCCTATATAAAATTCTTTCATCAAGGCTCCTAAAGATCTGTTAAGGCTCCTTCTTCACTCAGCCAGGTGAACTTTAGCAGACTTTTTGACATCATCATTTATTCTCTTTGACTGGATAGACATACTCTACCACGTCCTCACCCAGCGCATGCGCGTCGATATCCACAATAGGAACTAGGAAAAGAGGGCAACAAAATATCAGTGAGCGATAAATATGTTGCTTGTGGTTAAGTGATTATAGTAGTCATGACATGTCAGATGCTAGCGTTGCGCGAGTGTGACCTATAGGAGGCGAGTATTGTATTGCACTGTTTTGCTATTGAGCCCTCTATATAGAAGAAACGATTAGCCTTGCGGTATTTGACAGCGTTTTTGTAACTGACTTTGCGAGCAAGGATGCGAAACCAAGGTAAATTTGTGTACCGTGGCGGCTTTCTAAGAAGCCTTCTGCAACATTAACAACTGAAACGGTTGAAATTAAGACCTGCGAATGGAAATGGACTTTTTTAAACAACTTCGATTGGTCACATCTTTTCAGCCGCAAAAGTTCACATCTATCACTCAGCGGTTTTATCCGAGTTTACTGACATACCGTAAACTGCCGCTCATCAGGGGTTTTACGAGGGCTTATAAACGGAGGAGCTTATATCCCAAGGGGGATATAAGAGCTCCAAAACAAGATAATAGTAGTGCTCTTTGAAATACCTTCTGCATTCAGTATTGGTTTTATATTAAGCTTCAAAACTTTATAATAAATCGAGTATTCCAATACAAGCTAGAGGGGGGCTTATTTCTGGGGGGCAGACCTACTTTTTTGAGAATCCGTTGGAGAAGTTGATCGCGACCTACTTCTGTGTCTTCTGCAAAAAGAAGATGGATGGAGAAACTGCATGGTAAGTCACGCGTAAAACAACAACACAAGAAACAGTACAACAACAAGTTCGACCGATCATTACTAAGGAAAATTATTTCACTATTTTGCAAAATCAGTTTAAAAAGTGTTAAAAGATGGTAACGTTATATAATGTAAATTTCAATCTTTGAATTTAGCTGGAATCTTCAGATAATTTGTTTCATAAGGAAAGGGTTACTTTTCTTTTTTTCTTGATACATGGAACTGGGAATTTTGCTATCATACTTTAACTGCATTATACCAACAACAGATTGCTTGGGGAATTATCTACAACTTTCCCTATGAGAGCAGGCCAGGTGTTTAATCCAGAATAAAACGTAATGGAGGAAAGATGGTTTGGCAAAAAATATTATCCTGTAGGACATTTATACGATGACTTCATACGACTAAAGCTAGCAGAATGCTTGTTTTTCTTTTGTTGCGCAAATTTGGTCATAAAGAGGTTTTCAGTTGAGTGCGCAAAGGCGTTGGTCTTACACAACGACGCTTTTTGATTGGCTGAAGACACTCACGCCACTTTCTTAACCAATCAGAAATAGAAGTGTAGAACCCAACACCGACGGGTTTTCCCGCGCATTGGCACATGGCATCAGCTACATGTACTGGCTTCAAGCTGTGATTGGTTCCTTTGTTCGTCTAGTCGAATTGTAATTGGACAGAGTAATAACTGACTCTGGCTCAACTTTTACCGCTCAAGTCCGTGACATTTGAGGATTCTCAACCAAACAAACAGCTCGCCATTTCTGGCTGATATAAGCCGATTAAAAAGGCTTCATACCTCCTGGGGGGCGATCTAGACACACTTCTTCGATGTCCTGCAAACAAAAGAAAGCAGTTGCCTTTATGAGCTGTCATTTCCGGGCAGATTCTTCTTACAGTGGTGCTAAATGTTTCAAGTAAAAGCTTCGAGATATAACACAAATACTTCACAAAAGTACACGATCCACAACACTTTGAGGTCTATTTTATTACTGAGAACCACAGGCACAAACGTTACAACAACAACATCAACTTTATTGCCAAAGAAATAAAAGCAGAGTGAAAAGGAAAAAGGAAATATATCACGCAACCCGTAATTAACTTAAGCTAATCGAGGCGGGGGGTGAAGTGGAAAAGAAAGAAAAACTAGACGTAATAACAACTTTATGTAGGGAGCATAATTTGAAGTTTAAAATGATACCCTGCCCCGCGTAATTATTCGCTAAAAAAGAAAAAAATTATTAAACAAGTTACATCTACTTTGAAGTCCTTAGTCGTCGGTTTTGAGAAGGTCTACGTTGAAGTCGCCATAATATGGTCATTCGCAAAAAGGATTCTGGTCGTATTTGCTCGCTAGTTAAGCTTGTCTACCAAAAGCCATCGTAAAAGATAAAAGAAAAGAAACGCATATCATTGGTCAATTGGAATTTTTTCAGTCAATGAAGGTTCTGATTTTTTGTGGAAAAAAATTCAGATACGTCTTCTATACGACTGGACTAATTACTTCTTGAGAATCCCATCGACCTAAATATAGATATTGGTATTTCACTGTGTAAGGGTATCTAGGTCGGTGTCTGTGGATTCAAGCACCAAGCCAAGTATAGAACGTGACGGTCATGCTGTGGATTACAGTCAACGTTTTATTTACCTCGTGGAGATAAAGATCTACTTCTCCTGTCTCTATCTCTGCAAAAGATAACAGTGAGAGTGACTCTTTTTAAGTAACGAGGTAACTTCGGGAAATGATTTAAGTGACAAACACTTGCATAAATGTTCTCAATTACAGTGTTCAAGAAGAATCAAATCCGTTCGCGTCCACCTTACCGTTCGCGCCATTTTCGCTGCATCTCACGTAAATCATCCTCTCGTTCCTGTAAGTTTAAAAGCAGCAAAAAAAAATCAGCTATTTTTACTAAACGAGTACAGAATACAGCATACACCACACTTAAAATTCGCCACTAAAGAAACAAGACAGAAACTGGGTCGAGTTAACTTTCGCGCAGACTTCTGGGATTGTTACTAGAGACAGGGAGAAAAATGGCCAATAGCTGACCGGCGCGTTACCAGTAACGATCCCGATCCCGATCGGGACGCATTTCGGCTCCAGTTTCCTTCTCGTTTCTAAAAAGGGGAATAGTTACTTATCAGAATCAACAGTTCCCTCTTACAAAACAGAGCCCTCAACACCCTCTCGGTCAATCTTGTTTCCAGGGTCTTTCATCCTTCGCGTTTTCTAGAGGACGAGAGGCCCTGGTGATGATACGCCAAATATCACATCTCTCTTAAAGGAAAAAAAAATTACCCTTCTTTCTTGTTCTTTTATTTCTCTTTTTCTTCTGTCCTCCTTTCTGTCTGTCTTCACTGCAACCAGAAAGAACAAACGAACAAACAAATGAAAGAGGCAATCCTCAAAATCATCTTCCAGAAGTTAGTTTGAGAAACCGAAAAACAACGGTGTAATAACTACAAGGCCTTACACTGTTTGTTGAGCATCATCTGCATTCGTTTTTTCATCTTCTCCTGAGCGGTCATCTGCGAATAAAGGTCAACGTTGCAACACAAAAACAGGTTGTAATAGAGCAGGCAATGTAATGTGCTAGACAATAGGCAACGTGCAGTGTCAATGCATGAGCATTCCATTATGCAATGCAAATGCAATGTAAGCTGCATAATAAGTCACACGTAAAACAACATCAAAAGAAACAGTACCACAATAAGTTCGACCTATCATTACTAAGGAAAACTATTTTGACATTTTGCAAAATCAGTTTTAAACATTTAAAAAGACGTTAAGGTAACCTAGTTTATCGCATAACCTTTCGCGGCGGCGTTGATTTCAAATTCAGCCAGGTAGACCCGGCGTTTCAAGTTGTGATTGGTTCTTTCGTTCGTTTGGTTTGGCCTCATAAAATATAGCATGTCCTGCAATCAACTTCATCAACAATTACGTACCTTTTCTTTGTTGCCCGACGAAGGCGTTGTTTTGTTTTTCAACAACCTACGTTTGACAAATACAAATACAAGTAAAGTCAGGGCTTAAGGTTGCTGAAACTAGCCAAATATTTGTGCCTTACACGAGGATTTTAAAATATTTCCCTCTACATTAGTTTTACACTTGAGGAGAGAACATTTTAGCGCAATTTCAAAGACGTTGATAGTCGACAAGACAAAGAGAGATCTCGTAGAATTAAGTGGCTTACCCAAGGGCCTTGGTGGGTAACACTTTTTTCTGCTTGCTGATATTGTCACGCCCATTGTCACGCTCCCGTCGATCACGATCACGATCACGATCACGATCACGATCACGATCACGATCACGGTCACGGCTTCGGCTCCGGCTTCGGCTTCTGCTTCGACTGTGATACTTATGCCTGTCACGCCCACGACCACCGTGACGATCTCTATCACGCGAGTTGCTTCTGTTGCGTGATCGACTTCTGTCACGTGACCGGCTCCTATCACGTGATCGGCTTCTATCTCGTGACCTACTTTTCTCGCGGGATCTATCACGTGATCTCCCATGATAACGTCGTCGTTCGCGGTCCCGTGACCTTGAACGTGTTCTACTTCTCCGTTTCTTGTGTGACTGGGACCTGTCACGCTCCTTCGACTTCTTCCGTTCTGAAGTAGTACTATTGATGATTTGTACAACAAGGTTACATCACGTTTAGTGATACACAAAAAGTCAAAATAGAAGCAGCAAATCACAGATGGACGTTATTTTTACATACCAGGGTTTGTGTTTGAAGAGCAATCATTGTAGAACCAAGAGATCGTCATCAGAAAACAAAGTCAGACGGGCAACAAACGGTAAGAGGCGTTGATCATCGTACGGTAAAGTTGAGTTGTTCATCACAGATGAAGGTGAAGGAAAAAGAAAAGAACAAAATCAACTAAAATAGAAAACACCAAATCTTAACTGACAAAAGTTTTCACAATTCTCGGTGTTTCTCGGCGTTACAGAAACTATTTTGTGCATCTATTATGCTTGGTGCTGAATGGTATAGGTTTGCTCAGTGCCCTGTTAATGTTTTGTAATTTCGTCCCCTCTTGATCATGCTGTCAGCAGCACCCAAAAACCACAACTGTTATCACTTTGTGCCTTTTCTGGGGGGGGGAGGGGGGGAGGGGGGATTTGTAAGGAAAAAAAATCGGAGAAAAATTAGTTCCAAAAAGTAATGTAAAATGATTATCAAATATTAAATTGTGATGGTGAGACAGCAGGAAAAATTGCTTAATTCTGTGAAATTTTAATTCCTCAAAAGGTTTATTGACTTAAACACCTGAGTAGCTATCTCAGTTTAACACAAAACTACGCCCTCGAAAAAACAATAACAGAACACAAACGAGCAGTGAAATAAAAATACTCAAGTATTTTTATTTTTAATGAGTCGGCTGAGGTTTAATCTTAAAACCCCAGACGTAAAGATGGATAGTGCTAACCCCAAGATAAATCTCTATCCAGCAGATAGCGTTATTAGCTTTCTTTAACCTTAACGATCGAACAGAAATTTATCCTGTCGATAGCGCCATGCCATTTTTAAACAGTAAGGGATTACGATAATAAGCAAAGGCTTAGATGTTCGTTACAGCAGTGAGGTAGCTTATGTTAATTACAAATTTTGACGTTGCACCTTTCGAATTGGTTAGTGGGAATGGTTTGGAGACGCAATCGCTTTTTCATTGGCTGTTACGGGTCTGCGCGGGAAAATGGGCTCAATTCGTCGGTTAGCATTAGATCCTATCGACTTAAGACCCCTTGACACCTTATGAACAACAACACGTAGTATTTCTTCTCGTTTCCATACTACATACAGTATCTAGAGTACAAGGAAAACAGAAGCCAAAAAAAATACTACGTCATGTAAACTTCACAAGCTGTCCAAGGGGTTTTAGGCAGATGGAAAAAAAATGCTAACTCAATTTCACCATGCATAACAGTCCCACAGTGCAATTTGACACAACACCAACCCAGTCTTCCTCGGCCCACATTCGACACTTAAGAAGCAAGAAGAGAACTGGGCCGAGTAAACTTTCGCAAAGACATCTGGGACTGTTACTGGAGACAAGGAAAAAAATTGGCCAATAGCTGACTGATGCGTCACCGGTAACAATCCCAGAAACAACTGCGGGACGCACTTCGGCTCCAGTTCCCTTGTGATTTCTAAAGAGGCGAATAGGCGTTCAAGCAATGTAAACGGTATACTCAGGGCCCAGTTTCGTCTCTTACAATCGACCTAATGCTGGTCAGATGGTTCTAGCGAGTAACAAAGTAAAGTAAACCGACCGGGAGGAGGTTGAATGCGAATGTGAATCACCGTCCGCTTTCTTGGTCGTCTGTTCATCAGCGCCTGCATGGCTGAATTCTGTGATGTACTCGACCTTTCCTGCTATTTCGGGAGACGGTGATCGCGATGACGATCGTGACGACGACCTATTAATTGAGAAAGAGAAATGTTACTCCTTGGAACGTATTACACGCTAGACCGTTCTTATTTCCTGGGCAGTTTCAGACTGGACATGTTCTTACGGATGTTCTTAAATTTCAACAACGGGAATCTGATAACTTTTAAGCTACATATAGACAAGATAAGACAATGATTATAGTTTTCCATTGATGAATTGTACAAGCACGATGTAAATGAATTCTTGACCATACACTAGCTTGCGTAGCAAGCGTTTCCTTGCGGTATCGAAGCAACGAACAAGGAACCAGAGTCAAAGACCACGCGAAAATGGCGCGAAAAAAAGAGCGGGGACGGGTGGCTCTTGTTCCATTTCTCGCGCGGTCTTTCTTTGCCCCGAAACCAAACGGAAACGCTTGCTACGCAGGATAACCATACACAATGGAATGTATTGAAAGAAGAAAATTTTACGTGCACTCTGATTCCATGCAGGTAATTATGGAATTCAGATTTTCTAGATTGCAGTGAAAATTATATCGTTCTTCTCTGAGCCTCGGGTATGTTCTCAGCATGTTCTTGTTATTTTTGAAAATTTCAGGCTGAACGTTCTTATAAGAAAAGTTAAAAAAGCAGTGTAGATGAGTTTTAATTCTTTACCTTCGGTATGGTTCATATGTAGGACTCGCTTTCCTGGCATAGCTATACAACAACAAAAAGGTCAAACATAAATACCAGTCTAACGAAAGAAACAAGTTAAACTCAAAAACCGCGGCTTTTACCAGCCAAAAGATAGCGAAAATCGCAAGCGTTGCTCGGTTGACAGAACAACGGTAGCTCTTATCTGGACGATGTTGTGTTCGATTCCACCAAAGTTCAAAGACTTCTTTCTTCGCTTCGTGTACTTCCCTGATTCCCTCTATAAAAATTATAGATCACCTCTATCACTTCTCTGTCCCATAATCAAGTTTCATGGTATTCTATCAACGGCTACATGTAAATACGATACTGAAAACTTAAAAGGGTATATGACATTTAGTTTCGTCATATTTGTTTGTTTGTTTGTTTTTTTCTTTCTTTTTTAAGATGTGTACAGTAGGGTTATATGTAAGCTTGTGCTTAATGATATTCTTATGTCCTTTTTTACATTGTAAAGCGCTTAGAACAGCGATGTATAAGCGCTATATAAATTCCATTATTATTATTATTATTATTATTATTATTATTATTATTATTAACTTAAAAAAAAAGGGATGCATGCACAATACAATTTTCTACCTTGGTGGTGACTGCTCCACATCATGGTGGCCGTGGGCTTTCCTTCGTTGCTTTTCTCGCAGCGAGCGTCTTTCACGTTTTGCGCGTCGACCCTAACGTAGAATGGCGCTCAAAATAAGACCGCGACCACACTTATCCGGATATTTTTTAAAACAAGAGATTTTTTCTCCGTTTTAGCCTGCCGTCCACACGCGAACGGCGTTCTTTTAAAAACGGTCCCTGAAGTGGAGATTTTAAAAAACGCCGGCTTCTCGTTTACGTGTGGACGGACGCAAACGGAGGTTTTCGAACACGATGATGTTACACATTATAATTTATACTACTAGCATCATGATGGACGTTATCGTATTTCCATCGTTTTAGCGTCTTCATGTGGACGGGCGAAAAGGATTCAAATACGCTACGTTGGGACACGTATTTTTTGAAAACGGAGAAAAAAAATCTCCGTTTTGAAAATATCCGGATACGTGTGGACAGCGCCTAAGCTTGAATTGTTGTTTCAAATTCAGTTAGAAAATCAGTTTTCAAAGACTGTGTGTTGTGTTTAGAGTCTCCTCAAAGTAATCTCTCCCTGGCTTGCGCGGAAAACAGAACATCAAAGATTACGAAGCCAGATGGCTGCCACGGGGAAGAGCAACTTTCAATGCGAACCGTAACTCTTGCTAGTCTAAGAGCTGTTTTACAATAAATGAGCAATTTTTCCGCGTGCTCTTGAACGAGAGCTATGGTTTATGAGAGTTTATACAATGCACTGAAAGCTACGCGCGCTGTGTTTGGTTGTTGCCTGTGGTCTAAAGAATGAACTGGCTACCTACAGTGACAAGCGACCGTTCTTCCTCTTCTTGTCGAAGTCTCCTTTGCTCTTCTATTTCTTCCTTATCTTCTTTCAGTTTTCTACGGGATAAAAACGTATTAACAATATTTTGTAATTCAGTTTTAAGTGGTCTAATACATTTTAGGTGTCCTCCTAATTGAAGAATGAAACTTAAATGATTTTGAATTTTCATTACAAACCTGCAAAACTGAGCTGAAGCCATTCCATAATGCAGTCCTCGAGTATCCAGGGTCTCGCGCTTTTGACAGACAGAGAAGATACAATAAAACCCAAAATTTAAACAATGTTCATATAGCAAAAGGACAAAAAAGGCAAAAGCATAAAGGTCATTACCTGATTTGCATCGATTTCATCAATGTCCACTGTAACATCTGCAAAAGAAATTGTCCTTTTCAGTTAAGGTACGTGCAAATGGACGCAACAACTCCCAACGTTGTTGGCCCAACAATGTTGCGAGTTGTTGTGTCCGTCTGCACGTTGTGTCCGTCTGCAAGTTTGACCGGTTTCAAACTTTGCACAACAACTCCCAACAACATGTAACAGGGTGTACAGGAAGATGCAACAATGTTGGGAGTTGTTGGCCGACAATGTTGGGTCCGTTTGCACGGGGCTTTACAGGTGTAATAAAGCGATTTTTGTTTGACTGATTTCCTAACTGTTCGTTGATTCTTTTACCAGTCGATAGTTAAAAAGATCAAATCATGAACTTGTCTGCCACCAAAGAAAACCTTAAAATGGCAAAACCCTCAGTTGATAGTCCAATCGGCAGCCCAGTTTCTTATTGGAATGATTCCCGAGTAACATAGTCCTTTTACTTTTAATTAAAAATGGAAGCTGGAGAGTCTACCTTAACATCTGTTGAGCCAGATGTGCAACAGGACTGTAAATTCTGCTGGTGTTTAAATATGGGAAATTTGTCAGAAAATTAGTGTAAACACACAGATAGAAAAATGAATTAATACGCGACCACCAGTTACACAAGTAGCTCGTCAGATAAGACTTATCACCAACAATTCCGTTGCCCATAATCAAACAAATAATGATGTTCAAAGATCAGGAATAACTTCTTACCAATGTCACTAAGAACACTATCGCTGTCACTGTCATCATCATCATCTTCCTTGTCGGAGTTGCCAACACCTCCACTATTGTCATATGAGAAGCCTATGGTTGCCTTGGCTTGACTTCTAAAACATAACAATCAATACAGGAAAGAAAGCACATTACACTGGTTGTTGACAACTTTTAAAGTTAGTTGGTGCAGTTGGAAGACCAAGGGCCTGTACAGAAGGATGTTGCAGATCTCATGCATCGAAGACATAATTTAACCCTGGTAAGTATTGTCTGCGAAGAAATACCGAGATCCTTGTTCTGGGCCCGCAACAGACTCAATGAATTACCAGAAGAGTGTTTCGAATTTCCTTTCACCCTAATTGGCAATCAACAATGGCATTTTTAACAGGCAAATCATGGAGTGTACTCAAATCCTGGTACACCTGTGGGGCCCCACAACAAGGATTTCGGCGCTGTTTTGCAGATAAACTTACTACGCTGATCACTAGGAGAGGAAAAAATTTAGAAACTGGCACAGCCTTTGAACAGATCTGTAGCCTGTTCCATGCACCAAGACAGTCCAAAATGGGCTCAAAAACAGTAGCATTGTTTTTGTTTCCGTAAGCATTGTTTTGAATACTTCATCATGGTATACCAGTTCCATATGATTGGTCAATTTTGATAGTATACATCATAATTTACGTCAATCACTTGGTTTCATGCACACAGAGTCAAACATTATGTGAAATCCTCGAACACCACGTATTTTGACATTCTGACATGAGAACTGGTTTTTTCTGAAAGTGGGCAGAGTAGTGGGCAAACTGAGGCATTTAAAAAGATGCTAACAGCCTCTTTCCTTCTCTCTTCCCTCTGTTTTTTATATGCTTGGTTTTTCACCGCTTGCACCTCTTCTTTGACTTGTCTGCACTAATTGAGAGCCTGGTGCAAGCTAATAGTTCTGGTAACCTGGTTTAAATTTTATTTTCCTTTGTTTTGGGATATGGTAATGTATGACCACAAGTTTAAAACAAAGAAAATTTAAACCAAGGATAAAATTGAACCACAACATATACATGGAGGTCCTGAATACTTTTCTACAATTTACAGAACATGGAGAAACCAGACGTTTTAACAACTGGAAAATCAAAAGATTCACTCCATTTCATTTGGGAAGCTTCATAAAAGATGAGCTGTCATTTGAGGGATGTATTTTTCCCATTCTTTTAACATCTTGAGCTGATTAGTTTGGCTTTGTTTTATAGCAGGTCCATCTTCTACAATGTTTTTTTTTTTTAATTATCATGCATAAGATCTTTAGCCAGATGGTTTTTTAAAAATAAATGGGAAGTACTGCCTGTCTGTGGGAGGGGAAATGACTAATAAAAATAGCGTCCTCTTATTAATTATTAGCAGTACTTCAATATTTTTATTAGTGGTACTTTATGATTGTTTTTCTTACTTCTCTTTGTCTTTCTTGTCATCATCTTTTTTCACCCCATACATCTCCTCTATTTCCAACTGCCGAAGGTAAGATTCCTCTGAAGCTACAAAGAAGAATTTAAAATTTAAAATGATTAAAACAGTACACCCATCCTTTGCAACAAAAAGTTACAGGGCTATGCCTGTGTAAAAAAACTTCAAGCTGTGACCAGCTTGGTCACCATGGCAGAAAGCGTTCGATACGTCGTGTGCCAAGCCATAGTGAATTTATTAGTTGTGTTTATAGTCCTCCTAAAGCTAAAGCAGGCTAAACATATGCAGGAAATAATAATTTACCATGCCATTTTCTTTATAATCTCTCTTTTACCCAGGTTGCCCAGGGAATTAGGCCTTGAGATAAGGCTTACACCTACAATTTCAGTTCTGATAGTTTGGCAGCCGTTGTCATTATGTCAATATGAAGGAGGGTTGGTTAGCCTGTGTACAGCTGCCCTCAGAGAAGGGGGTAGCTGTACATAGCCTAAAGGCAGATGGGTGGGGCAGGTCAGGCAGTGGCAAACGGCAACTAAAAAAACTGAAATTTGAACTACAATGTAACCTAAGAAACCCCACACACTGGAACCCATAGTCCCTGCTGTGTGTGAGAAGAAGGTGTCTGCTTCACAAGTTCCTCAGAACCACACTTGGCCTGACTCCACTGAGGGATATAAGCAAGTTAATTACTGACCTCCACTAGCATCTATCATTACCAGTGTTCTGTATCTCTCATAATTCAACCTGTGTTCCTCAGGATCAGTCTCCATCAAAGGTCTGAAAAATGAAATAAATAAATAACATTAAATTAATTAGAAGTACTAGCACATTCAAACATTATGGTAGTGCCTACCATTCCTGGTCAAATTGGAATTTGAAAATGTTGGTTTTTGAGGAGAGGGAAATATTTAAACCAGAGTACTCTCAGAAAAACTCTCAGGGCAATAGAGAAAATTGACAACAAACTCAACCCACTTTTGACGTAGACGCCTGATTTGAGCCTGAGCCACACTGGTGCCAGGGAGGTGAGTGCTCTAGCCACTGCACCACCCTTGCTACCCAAGAAGAGATGAAATTAGATAAAAAATAAACTAAGAACCGCATTCCCTTTGCTCTTGCCATTGTAGTTTCATAAAGTGTTTGGCATCTGCCTTAAAGAGAGTTGTTAACTGTGTATTTCAAGGCTACTGGAGAAAATGCTTCAAGTACAATAAAGAAATAAAACAAAAGAGATTTGGTGTTTTACCCAAATGTGCTTGATGATGGTTGCTCTGGAATAATATCTAAGTGCGCTCTGACATCAAACCTGAAATTGAAAATAATCAAATATTATTGTATTCACATTTATCTAAGACTGTCAAGGACTAGTGGCTGAGGATTTCCACTTAGTGGCTTTAAGCATGAACCTGGAATGATTCCACAGGAAACAAAAGGAAAACAGAACCAATGGAACTTTCTAGCCGTTCAATTCCCTCCCTAATAATAATATTGTATACACCTGATAACTTGAAATCTTAGTGACAACCCTGCATTTAGTACTAATATCAGTGTCTTCTTGTTTTTTAGGTTGATTCATGATAGTGTTTTGTCATAAACTCACTGTTGCTTTTAATGATGGTCCTATAAAAGATGATATGACGATGATAATGAAGACAATATTAAATTTAAAAAAACGTTTTCTTCAGTCAGTGACACAGGTGGCTCATATGAAAAAATACTGGTAGTCAAACCTATGACCTTCTGGCCCCAGTTGTTGAAACGTTAGATAGCGCTATCTAGCGGATAAGTATTGGGGAACTAATTGTACTATCCACTGGATAGAGCTTTATCTGGCCTGGGTTGTTCAAAAGATGGATAGCACTATCCATCGGATAAATCACTATCCAGTGGATAAGTATTTGGAAAACCCGAATTGCGCTACACCAGAGGATAGATAGAGATTTATCCGGTGGATAATGCTATCCAGCCTTTGAACAACCAAGGCCAGGTTACCAGTCAATCAGATGCTCTACCACTAAGCTATGAGAGACCAGCTCGCTGGACCTGAGGTCACTAAACTAGGTTCACGTAACAAACACTCTGCGTACTGCTTGGATTAGGATGTCGATATGCACTTATGTGCCATGATTAAGATGAGATGGTGAATTTTGAGCCTCATGAGTAAATGAGAATGATATTTATTCAGTCAGTGACACAAGGGGCTCAGAGGAAACACTACAAGTACCTCCCAACAGGAGTTGAACCTATATAAAAATTAACTTTCCAACCCATAATAACTTACCTGTCAATCATATTGTTCGCATCACCTTGCCAAGGCATCCTGAAAAAAGAAACAGTAACAGAGTGTAATACCATCAACTAACGTGAAACAACTCACTTTGACTCTGAAGATGACTACCGCACAGGTTGTGGAAACTTCAGTCACTCTCAACAACAACAGTCCTATTCAGGACTACGTTCACCCGAACGATCAAACTCAACCTACTTTTGAAATAATTCTTGGGTTCAAACCTTTCACAGTCTAAAATCGGTAAATTGAGACAAAAGTAATATTGCTTTACTACATATCAACAATCAAAAGGTAGAAAGGTAGATCTTAATGAAAAAGTTATAAGCAAACATTTTCACTGAAAAGTCTGAAGCTAGACAGGAATTTCCAGAGGGGTGAAGGTTCCAGGGGGAGGAGGGCTGGGGTCAAACCAAAAATTTCCTTCATGGGGGAGTATGAATTTTTTTTTTTTTTTTCAAGCTATCAACTTCAGAATTTTCCACATCTAGTCTATTTTTGTTTTCACTCACATTACAGATTTGCCATCCCCTGCTGCAGATAACTGTGGATCAATGTGGATTTTACACTTTTGTCCATAGAGTCTAAGAAACTGGGTTGGATCTAGCCTCTGTGGAAATGTCAGTAAAAAGAAAATAATGTAAGTATTGATTCATACAGTACCAAAACTAGAAAAGTGGTCTTGTGAAAGGTTGTGAAAACTCACTCTTTTACGACAAACACAATTCCACTACAATGTCAGGGATGTCGGTAAGATTATAAGTTGCCAGGTGAATACAAGAAGTAGGTGGGGAATCAAACAGCTAGGGATTTCTTTTGGTTCTATTTTTCTGTGAAAGGAGCTGGGGACCACATTCATAGTAGCCAAGGGGAATCCCTGCCCCCCACCACCGCCCCCAGCCTGTTAATGACAGCCCTGCAATGATAACAGAGAATTTTATCGATACAAATGGAAATACCGGTAAGTTAATAAAAAGCAGTTGTATCCGTAATATCATTTAGCACCATGCAAGTTTATCAGTCATTCTTCTGACACAAAATGAGTCAGTGTTTACTAAAATTTAGTGAACATTTAATGTTCAATGAGTATAAACTCTAAGAAGTATAGGCTAAATTTGATTTTGATTTTTGGGCGATGAGTCCAGTTCCTCCGCGGAAATGGTCACAATGTTACCTTCCTTGCCTCATAATCCTTCATCTACGATAACAAGTAAAAAATTAAATATAATCCAACCATCTTCTCGTAGAAAGCCCTCCTTCTTTCTGCCCTTTTTCGATAATCCACCATCATTCCCCGCAACTTTTTCTCCTGTCTTCTCGCTTCTTGCCACATCTTTCTTCTACTTTGTTCACAAGACCTCAACAAAAGTAAGTTTATAAAACCATTTATCAACAATCTAAAGCTGCTACATCTCTCGATTTCCCTATATAAGTTGGAAAACGTGAAACTTATCGCAAGAATTAAACTTAACGCGAAATTTCCCAATGCCAGCGTTCTTTTTGTCAGCGTTACTTGTCTTTAGCGCATAGTCTCTAGTGCAGAATATTAGCGGGAATTCAAAAGAAAGACTAGGGACGGGAGGGTAATAATGAGACCGTTGCCGACTAATGAATCTTTTGAACATTTTGATTAGTTTAGGAAGTAAATCTACTCAAAATAAGTGATATCTTCAAAGAAATTCTCATCTCAAGAGAAAACTAAACGTTGAAGAAACATTTTTTCTTTTAATAATTCTTTTCTGGGGACCCTATTGCTGTTTATATATGGCGAGCTTTATCACGCATTTCGCGCGTGACATTAGCGCGAAGATCATGCGGTTTCTCAAGTGCATTCAGTGTGGTGTGTGATGGCGAACTCTGCAAGATCGCTGGCCGTCTGTTGATGGAAGCTTGGCGTTACAGTGCGTTAAACACGCAGTTCTGTAACTTGCAACAGAAGCTGTTGTCGACGATGCAATCCTCAAAGTAAGTGAATTCAATTGAAGGGAGAAGTTTGAAGAAAAATACGGAAACTTCAGCGCGCAAATCCAGGCTCGCCGCTCGCGTTTCTCGGCACGTAACGGCTTCGACTATGTACACACACTTAAACACGCTGTTGGTTTCAAAATAATTTGTTTATCTTTTCAAGAGGAGATTTTTTCCGTGTTTTTCAACAGATATCAATCGTAGTTTAGTTGTAGGGTAGTGCTAAGTCGCAATGAAAGTCTTTCCAAAACTGAAAATGAACAAAGAGTTCAAAGAGCCCTTTTGGCGGTGATTAAATTTCGCGCAACGGTACACGTTTATAGACTATCGCGAATCATATTAGTTCTCTATTCTCCCCGAACAACTGCACCACGAATTATTATCACAGTTGCAGCTTCTTTGAGTTTAGTGTTCGGCATGTATTGGCCGAGCTGTGATTGTTTCCTCTTTGCTTCAGATGTGAGAAACCAAAATTTTATATCCAGAAAGTGAAATATGAGACTGAAGCTTTGTTTGGTTTCCACAGCAGGGGAGGGGCTGGGATGGAAATTCGTCTGCAACCCCTCCCCGCTCGTCCTATTAAACCACCATCTCCTGAAGTCACCATGACCACTTTTTAGTATCAAATGACAGTTTAGAATTTTCCATTGTTTTTACCCTTTTGTAAGTGACTAGACCACTTCCTTCATGCAAGGCTTGATCTCCGGTGGGGGAGGGGGGGGGGGGGATTCTTTCATATGGCCTATACAGGGATATGCTGCTGGTCAGTAGGCCTGTTCCAATATTGTAGGCCTGTTCCATTATTGTGCTCAGCAACTTTAGATCAACTTTTGGTATTAGGAGCAACATTTTATGGTTCTATAGCAACCGTTGCCTGCGTGCAGACGTCTCCTATTTCCTTTGCTGCGTGCGGAAAAGGGAATGCCGTGTGCAACAAAGGAAATAGGAGACGTCTGCACACAGGCAATAGCAACCTCAACCTCAAGCAATTTTTGAGCAAAATATAGGTTTAGAGCACATATTAAGCATGAAAAAGTCCACCATCTCATAGGAAACTTCAATTTATCGGAATTTTTTAAATGTCAAGAGAGGATTGTCCTCTCTGGTAAATATATAGCAATCTTTTGAACAAACACAATCTCTCACTTGTCCGAGTTTAGCAGGCCTAAAAGGACAATTATTGTCCTATGAATAATAATTTAATAATATTAGTATCCTTAAATTTTTAGCCCATATTTGCGAGCGATACTTTAAAGCTTAGTTTTAAGCTAAATTTCTGGACCAATATTAGTAATTATTGTGAAGAAAGAAAACTAAAGCTTTAAATTGATGTTTAATTAAATTTATCCAGAAATTTCAGTAGCAACTTTTTAAATTTTTGGCATTCTAGTTAGCAACTTTCCAGCATTTTATGAGCATAATCGGGACAGACTATTGATCAGGGTATAGTTTTTACCTCTCTGCCCTAAACAGGACATATAATTTCATATGGGTCTGTCCTAAATAGGGTACCGGTATGTAATTTGTGTGAGTCTGTCAACAGGGTTTTGCCGCACAATTGATTTGATTTGCTAGATGAATTTTGTTTGCACTCCAAGTAAACACAAATGTACAAAAGCAATGACTATAACATAAATTCGCTCTGTTGCAATTGCCAGTAAATGGCTTGGAAACAAGACGGTGTGCATTTTGTCCTTTATGCCCTAAACAGAGTACTAAAATAATTTTACTCAACCAATATTTCAGTATAGGTGAGTTGTGGATTCGAAACCCTGACCCTGTTTGGGGCAACACTCTCAATTATTGAGGGTGTAATCTGCGAGAGGTTTGACTGTTCTGTCTTATTACAGCTTTAGATAATAGGCTGCTTTAGCAACATCAGTTGACAACAGGAAAACGTGCGGAAAGGACCAAACACAACTTCCAGTGCCCAACTTGCTGCTCTGCCATTGGTCAAGCCAGTTGTTTGATTTGCATACGTCGTCGTGAACTGACATTCCCACTCTGTTGCACTAAATCAGCTTAATTTATGTTGTGATGACTGCCACAGTTTTATTAATTTTATATTGTTCTTTCCCAGGGATCTCAATTCAACTAGTGGCGAGCCAATGGACAGTGATTTTTACAATAACAATGCAACAAATTGTAAGTCTGGTGTTAAGCGAAGAGCAGTGGATGATATACAAAACAACATTTCTCAGGTGATTGAGTCTGTTATTGCAACCTCTGTTAATCTTGTTGTTTTGATTTTCTCATGTTTCTCTTTTGAGCACAAATTTAATGATGGGTCAAAATAATTTCAAAAATCAGTAGAATGTGAAAAAATTGGTATGTGTTACAGGTCATAATATTCAGGTTAAACTTTTTTAACCTAGGTTGATTCTCAATTTCCTTTGCCTCCTAGCCCTGATGGATTCATGAATAGTTGGGCTAGGAGACAAAGGAAAGAATAATTGTTAATCAACTTAGGTTAAAGAATTTTAACCCGAATTTAATTGTGACCTGTTACATAATTATATTCTTGTAACTTCCAACTTACCAAAAATCAACTTTTCAGCTCAAATAGTATTATCTACTTCAAAATTAAAATGAATAAAATTAATATAGGATGTTCATACAATCATGTAACTAGTTTTAATGTTAAGAATTCAAAAATTTAGTATAAAAATAAGTAAGCAACCAAATGTAAAGATTTCAACAAACTATCCACTATTAAAAGGTACCGATAAATCCTTGTACACATCTTGTAATTAAAATTCTAAAATTTAATATAAAAACAAGGAAGCAAGGTTATCAAATGTGAATATTTCAACAAACTCTGCACCATTAAAAGGTACTGATTAATCCCTGTACACATCTTGTCAAAATTTTAAAAGTACTGCACTGTAGAATCCCAGTTTCGTAACTTTCCAGTAATTCAAACCAAGTGGCCTACCTTCTCCAGTCAAATGCTATAATCTTACTTGCCATTTTTTATTGTTTTAATGCTCCTTATAACTTGAACCAATTTCCTTTTCCTCAGGGAGTTTTGAATATTAGGGATTACAATATAAATATATCAAAAAACAAGTTTAATTTGGTGGCACTCAGCCAGTGTCTTTATGACTGTACCACAAACAGAATTTTTTTAACGAGTTTTAATCTTGTGGATCAATAAGAAATAAATCTGTACGCTGTTTTCCCAATAATGAAACAAAAATTCTCAACACAACTGAGACCAACAAGCTAACAACATTTTTTCCAAACTCTTAAAATTTCAGAAGAAACAAGCTGTGAGCATGATGTATTGAAGAAGAAGCTGTTTGACAAACCAACAACAAGAACGTCATAAATACATGTACTTGCCATTTTGTAAACTTTTTGAACTAAAATGCTATCCTTTTCATACTAAGAAAATGTGTTGAATAATCTATGCCAAATCTGTAACATAGGGAACATGAACTTAGATTTTAATATATAACATTTTGTATGTACCTTTGGCAAGTCTTCTGTATAGAAATGACTTATAATGTTAAACAATAATTAAACTTAAACCGTATGAAACTATGCTTAGCTCAAAAAATAAAGATAGGTTTTCCATTTGCTATTTTGTTGCTTTTTTATAATTAATATATTTAAAAAATTGTCCAACATTTTATTTTTTCAGCAGACATTTTATAAAGCTACATAAAGGCTTTAACAGTCAGTTTCTATTTAAGAACACCAATATTATTTTAGAACTGACTTCTAGTGTAGGAAAATTTTCAGTCATATTTACATGTTGTACTTCATATTATTTTATTTCCACATAGACTGGTCAGATACTTTTTATATTTTTCTTTGCCTTGATATTCAAGCGATTTGTAAGATATCTATTTATCTAGAGTGTTCTAAACTGAAACAAATCAGCTTGTGTATTTGTTTTTTTACTTCAGTGTGGTATATGTAATGAATTTTAATAAATTCATTTTTATTTTTAACTGGAATTGAAGTATGCATTTTTTAAACTTCCTTTTTGTAATACTCTGTCCCAGACTAAGGAAACTGTTTGAAAACGGTACCCCTTCACATAGGCTTTTTTTTTTACCCTTGACTGTGTATGTAGTGGAAAGAACCCTTCCCCACTCCCTCACATGGCTGCAGAAATATATAACAAGTAACTACTTTGTGGGTCTTGTACAATGTGTATGGCCCCATCACCAAATTCTTGCTATGACTTGTATTAATAATGGATGTATACCATCACTCACAGAGTTGATTGCAAAGACAAGCGATGTAATGTTAATAAAAGTGAGGGTGGACAGAAACAAATAACACCCCTTCAGCAGCATTTTTATGGGGTTCAATGTATTTTCCAACATTTTGCAAAAAAGGAAATTTGGGACTTGTGGTGAATTTGATATTTTGTATGTGAAAGGGTTTTAACAGCAACAATGTACGTAATGCTGGTTTTAGGAGAAAATTGGAAAGTTAGATGAAAACTCCATGTGGTCCAATGATTTCTGCCTGAAATTAGATGTGTACACACAGACAGAGGCCTCATATGTAAAAGAAAGCTGCTCCAAGTCTTTGGTAAGTCCTTTTGTCTACCATAAATCTTTCTAAGGTGGCCGTTTTGGAGAGATTCAGCTGTATAAAGGGTATGTTTTGCCCCATCACCCCTAGTCTGCTACACAGCCGTTATTAGTGTTGTCACGCAAGGAGGCGGGGGGAGCATTGCGTGACGACACTAATAACGGCTGTGTAGCAGACTACATCACCCCTGCCTCTATGATTGTCTAGTACCCTTAATCTATGGTACATGGAGGGCAAACAACTTATACTTGCAGCTGCTTCTTACTGCTAAAACTGAGTTCTGCTTGATTTTTTTTAATCATAAAATTCTTATCCTGAATAATAATTTTGTAGTAATAGTGACACTGAATACCAAATATATATTTCTCTTATTCAGTCTTTTGTTAGTGACATGGTTCAAGCAAATAGTAGAAAGCTTGAAAAGATTGAAAAGTTTTTGGAGACGCTTGAGTGCAAGATTGACAGTTTTCTTATGGCAAGTGATCCAGGAAGTGAAATCTTTACACCTAACAAAAAGAAAACAGATTTGGTAAGCATTTTTTTTAGGCAAGTTTATTCATCTGAGAGAGGATGGTAAGAAAAATGATAGAGAAGTTGTACGGGATTTCCCCCGGCTACAATGAGCATGACGCGGAAAATAGAACCAAAATTTACTTCCAAGGTGCTCAATTGCCCCACCTACTTTTTTCTTATACATGGTACATTCAAATCTTAGCGACAGCCTCAAGGTTGTGAATAGGACACTTTTCAGTTAGTTAAAGACAGGATTGTAAAGTTTAAATGCAAGTTGACTCTTTAAAACCTCTAATTTCCTAATGCAAGCTAGAGGGAATGTGATGAACAATGGACAAAACAAGTACAGTTGCCTGGTTAAATTTTGAGACCGTGAGTTAACTGCCCAAATCAGGAGTGTCACGGTCAAACCGTGAGAGTTGAAAGGTCTGCAAACTCCGGTTTGTTACTGACAATAACTTTGAATGGTTTTTCAGATGTCCTTGAGGCACCCACTTGCACCAGAGGCAGACAGTGGGATGACTGTGCCCGCAGGCATCGTGATATCACCAAATAAAATTGGTGGAAGCCCCAGGGATACCAATGTTCCAGCTCTTGCAGACAGCACCAAATCACCTAACACCTGTCTTTCGCCTAGCCTGAATCCTTTTGCCTCTCGTGTAGAGACCTCAGATGTTAACAGTACTGCTTACTGGAACCAGGGCTTTCAGCAAGGGCTAGAGGTAGCTACAAGACAGCTGCAACAAGGATCACAGCCCAGACCTGTGATGTCATCCGTGCAAGTAGCGGAAACAGCTGCTAGACCTGTTGTCTTGGAAACAAAGTCGGATTCACTCTCTAGAGGACTGGACAGAGATGACTTAGTGGGTGATTCTGATCGCGTGGTGCCTGTTATAATCTCTTTAGGGGATAAAAGCAAGAAAAGCGTCACAGCAGAAATTCAAATCCAGGATATAGCGAATGGGGCTATGTGCACATTAGAAGGTAGGGGAGCCAAAGTAAGAGTGGCCTGCGAACAGCAGACGCATTTCCGGTCGTCGCTTCTCTCCCTTCGCAAAAAATTAACGACGACCGGAAATGCGTCTGCTGTTCGCAGGCTAAAGTAAGAGATGTAGCTCTCTCCTTTTCAAAGCGTAGGCCACGTTGCGGTGTGGTTAGACTGTGCACAGGCTACTTTCCAGTTTGTCTGTTAATCAACTAAAAATAAGCGCTATATAATAGAGAACTGTGAATGTCTATCTGTTGCAAATTAGCTGCTTACAAAGATCGTTCTCTTAACGACCAGATAAGCTTGGGTGGCAGGCGCGAAATAGGGGAAGGGAAGGGAGGGGAGGGGAGGGGGAGACTGGGAGTAGCCTAAGAAAACAGCCTACATTTCGCAACGCCACTACTGGTTTCCGTGCGAAATGACGTCTGAGAAATGAGTGCAGTCATTTTGGCAGGAAAACCCAGCGTCTTCAATGGGAGCTGGTGGCCAGCAATATTTGGCGGCTATTTCCGGTGAACTCGCCGACTACTTTTCTTTGGAAATTACCCCAGGTTTAAATAGATTATTCATGTGCTGTCACTGAATAACAACTCCAAAATTTAATGATGTCTGTATTCTGTTCAAACACTCTAATTTTTGCTCCAGAATGCTGAAAGTGCATTCTAAGAAGCCCAGATTTCAAAATTTTCCAGAAACTCGCGCCTCTGCGGCAAGTTTTTTCCTTTTCCACCTACTCTAAAGCTTTTGCCACCTACTTAAAATCTTACCAGCAGGGGAATCACGAAATGTCGGGTGTTTCCTTAGGCTAGGGGGAGAAAAGCACACTGAAGATTCCATATTCTAGTAGACTGTTCACAGTCCTCTATTTTTCCGTAAGATCATCGACATCGAGCGCTTTGCGTTACGGGCTGCCATCTTGCATGAGTGTCAAACCCCCTAGATACATTTGAAAATCAAGATCGCCGCAATTAATGGTAAGATGCACAAAATCTCGACGATCTCACGAAAAAATAGGGGACTGTGTACAGTTTAATATTCAAGGTGTACAGATTCCAATCACATCCCCTGAGTAATTAAAGGAGCAGGACACATGTTATGGGGGGAGGGGTAGGGATCAGGGAAAAACAAAAAATATAGAATCTTCTTAATTTAAATTGTTTGTTTTGTTTTGAGTATATGTATTCGGGCTTGAATTGTCCCGAACGAGGTGACCTCAATTTCGTATTTATCATTTGTTCATAGGGCTCCAACACGTTTCTTATTCTCAGGGATGTTGGCTTGGCGACAAGACAAACCCACAGTCCCGTGTGTGGTACTGTGGGGATACAAAGATGCTGAGTCGTGCCGAGGCCTCTGGTTCAAACCCGGCCAAACTTTCTCTCAATCTTCTTGAAGCCTTGTTTAGTAGGGACGAGATGGCCGCGTCAAATATTAACGGGGCACGTGGTCGAGAACTGCTTGATCCAATCAAAATAAAGGGCATCCAAGGTGAGTTTTGCAACCGGTGCTCGGCGGACTGCCCGGCGCGGGAAAAGGTGGGATAGGGGTCAAGTGTGAAAAACAGGAGGTTACAACCTTTCCGATCACGAACTGTTTGAGCACATGCAATAGGTGCCACGCAAGGGCAGCAAAACATGAAACAGTCCCAGACAAAGAAAACGTGATCTTGGTAGGGCTGGGTCCGTCAAATTATGCCGTCATAATTTTGAGCATAAATGCTGTACAACTACTGTATTGCAGTTCTGAATAAACTGTAGGCTAATTTTTGCAGCCAACGCCAGGTAGAATGTGAACTTCAAAGAAGTGTGCCCCGCGCTTTTTGGCATACGGGTTAATTAACATGAATGTCAATTATTTAAACATCGCCTATATTGTTATTTTTTTTTCTTTCTAGTTCACATCAACCATAAGTTTCCAATTGAGTCAGATAAAGAAGAAATGCGATGGCGCTTCATTAAACCGCGAATTGACAGCAAATGCCGGGCGCAGCGCAGGATGCAGCGGGAACAACAAGCCAAGCTCGATAATTCCCTCCGGTTGGGTAGTTCCGAGCGGACGTACCGTGGCACTCGCCCCCGTCTAGACCCCAGGGAAAAAGACCAGCTGCTGTACGGTTACAGCAGAACACCCGACCTCGTGGTCAGGACTTCTGAGCCGGAAGCAGCCGTGGGTAGTCCACAGGGGACTGGGATGGATGTCGATGAAAGCCAGTTAAATGGCGCGAACCACCTGGAGCAGTTGTCAGAGAATGAAGCCATCGTAGAGATAAGTGGGAGTCCTGTGACCGTTGAATGAGTTTAGCCTTTGGTAATGAGATACCTGTAAATGAACACAACGAAGCTAATTAGTGTTATTCCTGTGAACATGCGCTCATTAGTGGACGGGATCGTCTTCTATACTTCTGCAGGAGCGTATAGAAGAATATAAATTTCGATGAAGCTTAGTATTCTAGCTTTAAAGACTATAATGGGAATGCATGGCTAAGTTTAAAGCCGCGTGAAAAACATATTAGCCTGGGGTGCAAGTGGTATTGCATCTTTTTAGGTTATGGATTATTAACCAATCAGGGCTAGCTCTGACTTTCCCGCCCTTGGCAACAGCTAGATGACGTTTCCCGCGATTTTTATTATATTTTAGTTTTTGGATTTCAGTAAGTCTGTTCAATTTGTTTTGGTCTAATACAGCTTTTCAGCTTTTTTGACTTTGCAAAAAGAAGAATGAAACGAAAATTACCCGTCTTATTCAGTGCTTTCTGCAAAACCTGAGCGCTAGACTTAATAAGAACGTGACAACATTGATCATCCTTTAAAAAAGCCCGACGAAGTTACACTCTGTTAAACAAATTTCGGACGCGACTTGAAAACTAATGAGCTCTGAATTGAATTTAATATCCGGCCTATTTAAGATCCTTTCATGACCTTGACTTCCTCCCTGATTATCCAAGTATCGAAAAGAACAAAGAAAGATAGAATAACTATGATAAATGAGATTTCGTAACCTTCACGGAATGCTTGAATTAACAATAAGCGAATAGCTCCTTTTCCGCCATCTGTTATGTCCTTAGTCATAATCAGTGATTTATACTTTGTTAAATGATTCCAAAGGAAGCCAGCTTCCTGCATTGTAGACATTTTAGTGGTTTTTGCGGACGAAATCTTGTTTAAGCTAGATCAACTGTTCAAACTAACGTTCCATAGTACAATGTGAAATTACTGCTGAGGAGGTTTCATTTGAATTGTAACACCATTGGATTTCGTTCTAGGTTCAAACATAAGAATCACAAATCATGTCCTTAACTCGGTCTAGGGGCTAAAGACCTAATAATAGAGCCTTAGAGTTTTACCGACGAAATTAAGAAGTCGGCCGAGCTCACGTAATAATGATAAATGGTATACCAGCTCTATAAATTTTATCTTACTGGCCTCTAGTTGTTTAAAGTACAGTAGTCTGGACCTTTGAAGGATTTCAGTAATCTGCAAAGAACCTCTAAATAGAGCTGAATACTGAATGCCATCAAGTGTCACAGGTAAAGAGTTGCTTGCCGGCTATGGTCAATAAATTTGAATAGTAAAGCCCAAAGATTTTGTCCTCAAAAAAGAAAAAACAAAACAAAAAAAGGACAAAGTAAGCCAAAACAAAAACAAGAAAGAAAAACTGACACCTTGTAGAGAATACCTTAAGTAGCCTAAATAAAAAGCCGACAAACCGAAGGCTTTCATCGGCGTACTGCCAACCGCAAGAAACAGTGAAAAGCATGCAACCGAGAGTCTGCACAAGAAACCTCTGCTCGCCAGAGGCAATGAATAGTCACCCTTATTAATTTCGTCTGCACTGTGTACAGAATGCTAACATAACTGACTGAAAAGCACGGCCCACTGAAGGATTTTACCGGCATAGAACCAACATGTACAGAATACTGATAAGCTAGAAGTAGTAAAAGTATCGCGAGAAAGTTCTGCTTGCTATTTATTTAGTGTGGTGTTCTAACTTTTGAGTCTGTGGGTGAAATCCAATGGTGTTACCATCCAAATGAAACCTCTTCAGCAGTACTTCTACATGGTACTATTTATTCAGTGTTGCGTGCTAACTTTTGAGTCTGCGGATGAAATCAAATGAAACATCTTTTGCAACACTTTTGCCTTGTACTATTTATTTCTTGGGTGCACAAAAAGAACTTGGAAACGTTTTGTGAACTTTCAATTTCGCCTCTGTTAGCAATGAAAGGGTTAACGTAGTCTACCTCAGACTACAGTTTTTTAACAAAATTGTTTCTGAAGGGATTCTTCAGACAGTTTCAGTAAATGACAACAGCAGACACTTGCTGTTCCTAAAGCTTAGTTTATACCAGAGTCATACAAACAGCCAATAAAATTATCGTGGAAGCTGTCCTATGACTGTCTATTCCAACGAATACCAATATTTTTTCCAATCATCTTTGTTTTCATTTCATTTCATTTTTCTTCTCCTTCGTCGTCTTCTTTTTGTTTTTTGTTTGTTTTTTTTGAACAAAATTTGGGAGAAGGAATTCAGAGTGCATTCCTAAGCCGCTTTCACTAATGACACCTAGCAACCGGTTGTAAAAGACTAACAAGTCAAGTTTTGTTCAAATGTTTAATTGCTTCTTAAATAGCTTCAAATCAATGCGACAGGTGATAGACGTTTAATAATAAAAAAAAGAAACCTGCGCGAAACCTTCCGCTCTTTAGCCGGATTATTAATGTTTTGAAAGCCAGCCTTATTCGAGATTTAGCGCCGTTTGTTTTGATGTTTTTGAAGTCCGGTCTTAAAAGTCACATTTTTGTCAAACAGGTGGCGCGAAATGTTGACCCATGTCTCTTTTCTTCCGCCACACGACACACTTTTGTCAGACCTAAAAACACACTCCAAGCCTTCAAATCGCGATATGATAACCAAACCTTTACCACAAACGCTGCTATATCGATTTCAATTGCAGTCCAGTCTAGTTTGTACCTCTACTGGGTGTTCCTAAAGGCCATTTAACAGCTCATTAAATAATTAATTGCAAATCCCGCGATATTTAAGTACCACTGTTAACGCGTCGAAATCCCTCGAGAAATTAATTGATTTTCAAAACGATGCTCGAACAAATACATGACTCATCTTTGAGCGGATTTTCCCACGCTTTTTATTTACGATCGTCGAGAATCGCGCTGGAGATGCACGTGTTGAACGAACTCCCGCTGACAGACACACAGGCCTTCACGTACGATATTTTACCCGCAACATGCTTAGATAGATAAGAAAAGACACATTTCAATCTGTTTCGCGTTGCTGGGATTGCGTGTGTTAAGCTGCCACGCATTGCTATACACACGGGCTGTTATCGTACTGCCTTGTGGCGCCAATCGTTTCAGAATTACCACGCGAGAAACGCCGATAGCGCGCACAGGTTCTTCAGCTGCTAAATTGGTGACAATGCGAGCCATATGTTTGGGGTGTTCGGCGGCGTCCGGCGCGGCGGAAGCGTGTTTCTAGAACGCTTAGCCTCCTATTTACTCCCTTTAAGTACAAAATGTGAACTTAACAGAAATTTTTAAAAGAATTTCTTGAAACGATACTAAAATACAAATAAGCACTATGCGAAAGAGGTGCTGAAGAGATTTTATTTCAATAGTCACACCACATGATTTCGTCAACGGACTCCAAAGAAAACTACAGTACATGTCGCCAAAATTAGTCTGCGAGTAAAAGACATGACGTTTCTTTTGTAACAAGGGCCACGATATTGCTCTCGAATTTATCTTACTATTCTGCACGTTTCCATGACAATACAAGTACTTAACTTAGTTGTATAGGAATTTTATAACTACTTGAAACACAGGCAAATAAGTCGTCAACTAACGCTTTGTACCGCATTTCCCACGATCCTTAAGCATTGTTCACATTCGGTCTTCTGACAAAGACAATACGGTTATAATGCCTATGTTGTTGTTTATTATGCGTCGAACAATAGTTCCGGCAAATTTTCCTGCACACCTGTGTTCATAAAAGATTCCCGAGTTACGCTTCACTAACGTCATTATTGTAAAGTGTAAGATAGCTAGCGAATTTGGCACCTAGAAAAGGATTGTTCATTTTTCGCCACCGAAAAAGGACGAAAGCAATTTATGACACTTTTCCAACGTTCCAATAGTGTTTGTCCTTCTACCAGGTGTTGATCAAATGTTCTGGAACGTGCTCCGGGTGAGCAGCACACGCGATGAAACTAGCTTGTTCCATCGATAACTGACTCGAGTTCGAAGTTCTAGCTTCCGGAAAGCTTGCATTGTCACTTGACACAGAAAGCCTCATGTTTATAGATGAGTTTGGAGGGATGACTCATAACATCATAAGAACAATAGGCGTAATATCTTCGTTGGTTGAAAACAATAAACAAATCGTGGTGTTAAATCGACGCGTTGTAACACTGTGTTAACCAGTTCTAATCAGTCCAGCCGACGAACAGACGACATCTTGACTTCGCAAAAGCTGCGAGAGTAATTTTTGCTTGGGGGGAAGAAAGAACTGCGAGGAAATGGCTATCCAGATGCAAGAAAGCGTCAAGTACATTGCAGAGATGAATGCCAAAGTTAGCGAGATGGAAACCGAAGGATTTGAGAGTCTAGAGCTGGTCGAGTGCGCGTTTAGGGCTCTGAGAGAAGTCCTTCCGCAAGACGAAAACCGAGAAAATCTCTCAGACCTGGAAGTTCTTAAGCTTGCCATGGAATATATCCAGGATCTGGAAGAGCTCCTTCACTACGAGAGCCGAAGCAACTGCCACTAATCAGAAGTGACTTAATTAAACACACAGCAAAGTGTTGTTGTACGACGCGGGATCAAGATTTCCCATTAGTGCAGCTAATGAACTTTGTCGAGTATGTCTCTAAGTGAGCTAGCCTGTTTGTTCATGAGACGCCATAGATGTCCTGTCCAGGTCAGCAAGATCACGAAATCATCAAGTTTGAAATTATTAGAGACGGTTCTGTTTGTTTATAGAGAGAAAGCATTGCGATCAAGACGTTTGAAATTATTAGGGACCATTTTTGAGGTTACCATGCCGGCCGCCTCTCAGCTCAGTGTAAATTCCTTACGATGAAATGAATAGTTACTGATGTTACTGAGAACACGCACATTTTACTGCCTTTGTGCAAAGATAGAAACTGCGTTTTTGTAAAGACAATCCATTTCAACGATCCGATTTTAGTCGTTAGTTATATGATTTGCCAATATATACTGTGTATATTAGTTAGAGCGTAGCGCAATTTTAAGCGCACTTAAATAGAGCTACTTCACTCACATCAAGACCTTTTTAAACTAAGACATTGAGAATGTTATTAGCTACAGATTTACAGGAATTACGTAGTGCTAATCCCGCATCGCGTTCTGCAGTTTAAGCGCGCTTCAGTGAAGTGTTAAACTTAGGTTACAGCCAGCTTCGTAAAAATATAAGAGATGTAAATAGTTATTCATAATTTGATATCAAAAATTGGGATGAAAATAAGTAAACTTCAACTCATGTTGGAACTGATTATTTGTTCGATGTATCAATTTAACGTCCGAGACGTTAATAAAAAAGGTACTTTATTTTGTATATTCGTTTTGACTGTTCTTTGAGCAGCGGGGAACTGGCTAATTATACCGCAATACGTCGACGAAACAAAAGCATTTGTAACAACATTTAGCACTATAGGGCACATGGAAGAACCAGTCTACTTGCGTTAAAGTAAAGAAAAGTTTCATTCCGCAACTTTGGTAAGAGGCGAACGGTGCCGCCGATAACATCTACCCCTCTGGTAAGACACGTGTTGTTTTTGCGAAAAGTCTACCATTCGGAAATTTTTCATGCAAACTCTACGCAATTTTGGTTCGCGGTTTTCGGAAATCCTATTCATGTTCGCCCGCGGAACTAGCGAAAAATGCACTAAATCGTATAATATTTTAAACAGCATATGCCACCTTAAACTAGCGTGTTCGATCGCAGCTGGTACTGTTTGGCAATGGCGGGAAAAACGTTACTATCAAGCATGCAATTGAAGCCTCCGTTGTAAACAACTAAAAGACATCTGGCCACATGCTTGTTAGCTTACCAGAGCAAATGTCAGGTACCGATATTATAATTTATGGCCTAGTTTATTCGAAAAGGTTCTTTCGCAAGCACTTAAGATATTTTAGTAGCTTTTTTGCTGTTGTGGCGTTCAATTAGAATCCATGCATTGTGTTGCATTCATCCCCCGAGTTATTTTTGTTTTCGATCCTTTTAGTAACTCGGCATTAATTCTAGAGCTCTTTTACAGTGATTAATCACTCTTGTTCATTGAAAGCAATGTAGCGAGACGCCATTTTGGCCGTATGTGACGTCACGGATGAGATTCAAAGGCATTATCACGAACCCACGGGCTATGATGCTAAATTAAAGGGAAAATTTAACAGCGAAAGAAATCACAGCTCATTGAAAGAATTCGTAGTTATGTGACCGTATTTTGATTTGTTTGATTATTATCAAATTTAACACCGTTAGTTGAATTCCTTGGCCTCCAAGGCTTCTGCGCCCCGTGGTCTAGGCTCTGAGTAAGCCAGGTGTTTTAGCGGGCCAAAAAAACCTGTCGCTTTATCTAACTCTACAAATGGATTATCTTAACTAACAATGAGTGAAAACGGTTGAAATACCAATGCTTCGGGCACGGGCGAAAGAATTTTAGCAACGCTTTCGCCGTCTTGATCATTTCTCTAAAACAGGTACCAAAAGTACAGAGGAGTCACACTTCTATTTTGGGCTTGAAGTTGTCGCAACCTCATGCCCCTGCGAAAAGATACACAATTGATCTAGATATGCTTCCATTAAACAGAATCCAAAATCGTCTTGAATTGTCGAGCGTTTCAATTAGAAAGTCCCTCAGAACTGGCCTGCCTTAATTCCCGCAGAATGCCTGGCTAGCCCACCTTAATTTGCGGGTCTGTATTACAAACATCATTGTCAGCTTTGCCTGACATACAATGATAAAGTGTGAAAATTCAGAAGGGTCATATACAGCTGTTAAAAGAATCATATAAGCTTTTTATAATTCTTTCAATGTTACTTATAAAGTTGATAGCAGAAATTTGTTAAAAAGCTTTACTAAAAAAGATTTTTCTCCAAGGAAATTTCAGGATAATTTCAGTCGTTGCTTTCTCGATTGACATTTAAGAGACTCACCCGAAATTATAAATTATTTTTTCCAAGTAATATTGGCCTGAATGAAAGAAGAAAACTTGTGGCCTCATAAATCACTCTTGTTTGACTTCGTTAGTCACCAATGAGCAGGAAAAGTATTCACCAGTGGAAAAGCAAATTACTGACCGGTGAACAAGGAAGTTATTCACCGGTGAACAAGCAAGTTATTCATCAGTGAACAAGTAAATTACCGGTAGGCTATTAACACTTTGCCCAACACCTTTGATTATTGTGTAAGGAAAACGTGCTCAACTAGTCGATACTGTGTTGCCCGGGACGTGTTATTTTTCAAAAGCAAATGGTTACATGATTAGAGGAGTACCGTTATCTTCAAAAGAGGGACAGGTTGTTTAAACAAAACACTTTCCATAACATCTCTTCTCCATAGCTTTTAACATTTCTCGTCACGGTGATCGGGCAAAGCCTGTAAAAGTTTCATTAGGCTTAAATCCTCCATTTCTGTACACCATGAATTACATTGAACCCCCAGAAGAAAGCTGAAGGAAAGCAAAAAGCCGCACAGTCCACTATATGTGAGGCACGTTTCTTCAAAAATAGCTGCCATCCTCCCCTCTTGTCCTTAACCCCAGAATTACATATGCTGTTCAAGTCACCACCCTAGTAAAGAATCTGAACCTCCCTAAACCGCGGTCTTTGTTTTAATTCACTAACTTTGTTGCTTTTCATTGGGGCCGCTTTATTATTAATGCTTCCAAAAGATAAATTTTATTTCATCGGGCTTCGTCTTCGATCGCCATGATGGTTTTTCAAACGAGCCAATCAAATACGTGATTCAACAGCGAGTCCGCGTGGCGCGAAAAGCGGGTGGCGCTATTGTTCGACTTTTCGTACGAGATTCCAAAATATCCTGTTATTATTTCCGGGAAATGTCTGTAATTCTTTTCTGTGTATGATATCGGCACACTGGGCAGATAAATTTAAATATCACGTAGTACAAGACTTCTGCAAAGCCTGCAATCGAACTTAAGAATTATCCGTCGCCCGATGCAAAGTCTTTTTTTTATTAATTCTTTACCGGCACATGCTGTTGTTTGTTTTGCATACCTGATAATTAATTGCGGTCAGACACGTTTCATGTTTAGTTGACAATCTTCCTGAAAAGTTTTCAAGTTCTTTGACAGCCTTTTGACATAATGATTTGGGAATAATCTTCTCGAATATTCTGACATGTACATCAGCGTTTCATGCACGTGTCTAAGACAGAAATAACAAAATGAACATCGCGATCGGAATTGTCACACACTGGTTTTGATAAATAAACTCCTAAAGTTAAAACTACTTTGAAAAAGAGGAAATAAGCTTTTATGAATACGATCATTTGCAATGCGAAGGTATTTTTCACGAGGGGGGGGGGATGGGGTACTCAACAAAACTTTGTACGGGGAGGCTTTGAATAATATACCATTTTTGACAGAAAATGTACCCTTTTCGTACACCATCTATTGAAAAATTGTATCCCTTAGCTTTCACGTACCTAGTTTAGAACTTTGATTCCCATTTTAACTGCTGTAAAGGAACTGTATTTAAAATATGAATAAATCACAAAACCAGATTGTTTCCTAGATTTTTTCATGGCCACAAAATGCATTTTTTGGCCCTTTCAGACCGAAATGAAAGATTTTTCTACCCTTTCATATACCGTAAAATTCCGAAAATAAGCCCCTCCATGTATGAGCCGTCCGTTAAATAGCCCCTCCAAATATATGCCCCGGGGGCTTGTACTTGGAAAATTACCATCAAATACAAAGTAAAACAAAGCAAAAACGGTAAATTTACTTCCAACTATAAGGCTAGCCCAGTCGATTTTGAAACGCAAATTTCCTTCCGGAGATAAGCCCCTCCGAATATAAGCCCCTCCAAAAATAAGACCCTCAAAAAGGCTTTGAAAAATATAAGCCCCCGGGCTTATTTTCGGAATTCTAGGGTACTTCAACTAGTGAAACCCCTACCCTTTCATATACCTGAAGCTTGGAAAAGGTACTCCTCTCAGGCAGAGCCTCCCCTATAGGCGATTATTTGAAGTATTCCCTGATATTTTTGTGCCGTTCATGACCTCGTACTACCCTGGAAGGAAGAGCGAATCAGCTTTGGCTATTGAAAAGAGATAAGGGATAAATAGGCATTTTCAAGAGTGAATCATGCAAATATTCATTAAAAAGCTTTGAAACATAGGCCAATAAATCGTAATTTTTACATTATACTATTGTCTCTGAAATCTATTCTCATTTACTAAGATTACTAATTATTTGCAGAGTCAAATTGTTTGAGGAAAAAATTAAGAAAACCAATTTTTCTGGAGACGAGAACAGCAGCATCCTTAAACAAAACAACAAACACTAGACTTGTGCACGCATTTGCAACCTCTCTACTACTCATTCGGGGGGCGAATACTAGGAGAGAACATGACTACTCTTCCGGGGTAATATTGCATGTTTATAACTTCCAATATAGACCGCACCTTACACGGCGGTAGTCTAAGCCCAACTAAACACTCCCTCGTCATGTAAAGCCTATTCGAACGCACGGTCGCTTTGAGCTCTTTTGTACCTGAATGTAGAAGACCGCGGCTTGGTGATTGGTCCGCTATGAACACTTCCTCACCCAACCTCGTACCCAGAGAAAATCCTGGGGACGAGGCTGTTCCTTACCGACTGTCTTACCGACTCCAAAACAACACTACAGATTTTCATAACCCGCCTCAGTTCTTGTGTCATGATTTCTTACTGTTTTGTGGTTTCTTGGCCAGTATAATAATGTTGTCATTATTTGTTTCACCGATGCAGTCGTTTATATACTTGTCGACCAGGAATCCGAACCTGCAGTATTTTAGGAGGGTCTCAATGGGGTGCGTAGCTTTGACGCTCTAGTTGACGGTTAAAGGTTAGAGCTTTTGACGGTTGACGGTTATTAAGTGGAAATTTGGTCCAAGAGTTAAAGTCAATGTTAACTGTTGTATTGTAATATTAACTGTTGTGATTTGAAGTTTTTCGTATTTCTTGGCCTTTCACTCATAAAAAATCAAAATATTTTCACGGATATAAGAAAGTTTTAAGGCCTTGTAATACCGCTTTCCCTCTCCTTTTTGACGAAAATCTCACTCACATCCCGCACTTTTTTTCATTGCTTCCCGAATCCCGTTTTTTGTTTCCAAAATACTAAAGTTTATAAAGTTTATAAAAAGGACCAATTGCTGTAAAAGCTAATAAATGTAAGATGTAGATTGGCCATTTCGACTGATATTTTGAATTTACGGGTGTTTTAAGGCACTGTAAAAAGGCTTTTTATTCCTCAGTTTGATGGGGAAAAGCGGAAGAAACGAAAAGGGAGATTTCCCGAATTCCCGACACTGACAGGCAAAAAAATCCTGCATCCCGTGCCCAAATTGGATTGAATCTCTCTCCTATTCCGTTAAGATATTTTTCGTTTTCCCGAATCCCGCAAAGTATTTTGGCCCGAAAAAATCCTTCCGGGAGTCGGGACAAAAGGGCCCGGTAAGAAGAGACAAGGCACCATTGTCAAGAACGCCTGGTAGTTTTCATTGTTATGCAATGGTCTTGGAATGATTTTGTAGTACATTTGCAGAAACTTCTGATTTTATTTACTACTGCCTGAGAATTTAAAAATGCCAGAGGGACCAGAACTTTACAAAAACGCTCAGATGGTGAATCGAGTTTGTAAGGGACTTGTATTTAGCGGGAAGATCATGAAATCGGCTGTCAGCACAAAGAACCCAGACGTTTCATTTGCCGCTCGTGAATACTCCATCCATGCAGAATCCAGAGGGAAAGAAATGGCGCTTGTTTTAACTTCTCTCGCCTCAGAATGCAAGTCAAAGGTGATCAAGCAGGAGAATGGCCGGGGAAAGGAAAGGATGAGAATTCTTTTCAGGTTTGGAATGTCGGGCAAGTTCACGTTTGGTCCTGTGAAAGATGTTCATAAACACGCACACTTGAACTTTTACACGAAAGACAAGCCGTTAATGGTATTGAGTTTTGTGGATGTTAGAAGGTTGGTTTTTGCTTCACTTAGTACCAATACTGCTGAAGCAGATTCAGAATAGCTTGGCTATGTCTAGTTAGAAAAATTACTCTCTAACCCTCAATATCCCTATACAATTTTTAATTCTCCAGACTGATCTCCCTACAGTTCCTCAAAAATTGCTTGAGAATTTGATGAAAGATCAAAGCATTTTCCCTGTGCTAATTATTTTAATGCTGCGAGCATTGGCTGGCAGCAAGACTATTTGTGATTGTCCATATTGGGCCTGGGCACTTCCAACAGGATTATTTGCAGATGGGGCGAGGTTTGCACAATTTTTCTTATCCATGTGGGGCATGGGCATTTTTTCTCTCAATCTCTTCAGAGCCATTTTTTCCTGATGACAGGTTGATTACTCTGTGGACTTAAAGGGTTAATATGGTACACTGTATGGCCAGAAAGTGGAGTTTCCCCTGTAGAAAATGACTGGTATGGTTGTCATATCTTCTGGGGCTAATTATTGTGGACTGGTACAACTTCGGGTGTTGTGGTAAAAAAATGACCACTATTAGAACAGAAAATGATGAAAAGTATTTGTGCCATAACTAAATTTCTGGTACCCATTGAGCAGGGCTTCTGATATTTCAAGCAGTTGCAGAGCTGTGAAATTCAGGTAAATCTGCGAAATCTCATGAAATTCACAAAAACATGCAAAATACTGCAAAGTTTGCTAGAAATCTATCAACTACATATTGAAAGTGAATTTACCTTCCTCAATATATTATAACAAATACATTAATATTTAGTACTTGCAGAGTGTGAAAATGTACCTTAAAATATTAGATAGTACTCAATATCTGAAATTAATTTACTTTGATATAAACTTTGATGTTATTTATATTGTTTTTTTTTTTTTCAGGTTTGGCCGATGGGAGCTGACAGATGAGTGGTCTAAAAATCGAGGCCCTGATCCAATGTTTGAGTACAAGGAATTTAGATCAAATATTCTTGACAGCCTAGAAGATAAAATTTTTGACAAGCCTCTGTGTGAAGTCATGCACAATCAAAAATACTTCAATGGAATTGGAAACTATCTCAGAGCTGAAATAATATTTAGGTCTGTTAGGAAAAAGAATAATATTTTTTTTTTGTAGTGATAAATACATGTACATGTAAGAGGGCCAAAGGATCGGTGGATTTTGAAAATATTTTTGACTAGTCTTTGGATTCAAAGCGAGATTTTATCAGATTTCCTGATCCTGCAATTACAGCAGAGTGCAGATTTATCCATCTTTTTGGCCCAGATTTTCGGACTTTGCGTGTAAAAAAATATTTTTGCCCAGATTTTGGACAAAGGGCGAAATTTTAATGGTGCATTTAGTTAATAAATCATGACGGGTTGGCGGATTTACATACCCCTAGTCACTCCCCTCATGTAACAATATGATTTTCATTATAGAAGAATGAAGAAAAAAAAAATGAAAAATGCTAAAAAAGATCATTGCAGTAAAGGACGCAACTTGTGCAGTTGCGAAAAGAAAGCCTGAAAAAATTCAGGCTTGCCAGGATTCGAATGCTGACTTCTGCAATACCTGGCAGCACTCTAACCAATTGAGCTAGGAAGCCAACTGGGAGCTGGTCATTAAATTGGTGCTGTTAAGCAAGTGTACAAGTTTTTGATTGTAAGATCTAATGTGGTTCTGAAATACATGCTTTTGATTTGTTTGTGCATCAGATCTGGCATTCCTCCTTTTTCTTGTGCGAGGTCTGCACTTGAAAAGCTGAGAATAAAGAAGGAGAATGATGTTTCTGAGGTAAATATTTCACGAAAGATGTGTTTGATTTGTTATGCAGCAAGTTGCAGGTATATGCAGGGTTTGTACAGAGTCTTGAATTCTTGAGGAAGTGCTGAAATTTGCCCAGCAATTTTCCAGACCTGAAAAAAGTCTGGAAAATGGAGATAAAGTATGGAAAAATAGTAAAAAGTCTTGAGTTTTTTTTCTTGTATTCAAAGCTACAACAAGTGCTAATTAGAAGTGAAATATTATCTGTTTTGGTGAAATCTTATTCAATATTGCCTGTGCGTTCATAGCGCACCGTACAAAAAGCCTTGTTCCTACATTTTTTATGTCTCTATTGATCACCTAAAGTATCTGATAATCTTGAGTCTGGAAAAAGAAATTATTGTTGTGGAGAAAAGTGTGGAAAATTATAAGTCTTGAATTTTGGATCCAAAAATCTGGACGGATCCTGTACATATTTTACAGGTCAAATTTTATTTCAGGTTTATTTTGATTAAACCTAGGTTGATTCTCAATTTCCAATGTCTCCTTGCCCTAGAAGACCAAGGAAATTAAAAATCAACCTAGGTTGAAAAATTTTAACCGTAACTCAAATTTGACCTGTAACATATACATTGGAGGCAGCTTTAATGAAACCCAGATCAGATCAACCTTTGTTACTGTATTCGTAATCTTTGTCATTAGTGACATACAGAGGTTGTTTCAATCCAGTTTTGCTGATGGCTGAGTGGAGGTGCTATGTTGGGGGCAGTTATAATTATTGTTATTACAGTTTGTCTTTTAAAACTAGTGATTGTACTTACATATGTTGAGATAATTATGTTCAGTAAGGGAAGAGTTTCTGATATCGGATCTTCATTGACCAATCACGCTAAAAAACAGAGTTTAACTCCATCAACTGATGTGCGCAATTATCCTAAACTCTGATGATCTGGACCTGGTTTCTCAAAAGATGGTTAAGTTTAACCCAAGATTAAGCCAATTTTTAAGCATGGTTTTCTTGTCTAAGAACATGTAACTCGAGCTAACAAAATTCTGTTGGGCTTTTACTCTGAGATATAGTTATGATAACACAAAATTTAATGTTACTCTAGGCAATGCATAGGAAGGTATGGGGAACAAAATTTTAATCCTGGGTTAGCACTAATCGGCCTTAGAGGAACCGGGCCCTGTACTGCATAGGTTGTTGAAACGTCGCCAATCAATCACTTCCAACAACAGTCCTACAGCTATACTTACAGTTGTAGTAAATTATGTGCACATGAAATGTTACATTCAACTCTTCTCCTGTTTTTTTTTTTCCTTCCCTTCTAGATCCACAATCACAAGAAAGTCAAACTTGAAAACTGTCTGGACATCTTAGATCTATGTAATCTGGTACCCAAAGAAGTTATTAATCTGCGTAAGCATTTAATTGATCTTCTTATTAATAAGCAGCTAAATAAAACCTAAAAATTCTGCCTTATGATCAATTCTCTCCTGTAAGAATGACAGTAAAATTTCACTACTCAAGGACTAGAGAAATCACAGTATTGAGCAAAACAACTTTTTCATTGAGAACAGTTGATTGCAACTTGATATTATGCTTTGCTGTGATCAGTAGAAAACCTTTGCAGTGTGGTAGCATTTGGTTAAATACCCTTTCACACCTCATAGTGGCTGAAGAAAAAAATTCCATGAAAAAAGTCCTAAACAAATTAAGCTAGCACTTTGCAAAAGTTCTGCAAAATAGGTTTCATTTGAATGGTAACACCACAGAATTCATCCACAGATTCAGAAGTCAGAAGGTCCACCTTGTACAGCTTAGTAAACAGTACCACTGGAAAGTATTGCTTCGAAGCTTTCATTTAAATGGTCGAACTTATGGATTTCATCCACAGATGCAGAATAATAATAATAATCCATTTATATAGCGCCTTTTCTACAAGATTCAAAGGCGCAGAAGTAAGAATTATGACAAATAATCCCGCCGTAATGATGTTTTGGAGGGAAAGGCTCAATGGCCTTACAATTAATATTTTTCCATATTCCTTACACTGTAAAAAAATATAAAACTTGAAAATAATATTCTTTCCTGTTAGAATTCAATAGTTCACTGAATTTCTCAACTTTCAGCTGGCAAAGGTTATGACCCGTCAGGAAATCATTCAGATTACTCTGGCTTCACCAAATGGCTTCAGTGCTACTACAATTCTGAGATGAGAAACCTGGTTGATCATGATGGGAGGACCATGTGGTTCAAGGTCATTGTTGTTTTGTTCGCTTTTCCATAAATCAAACTTATGCTGGCTTTTACCGTGTGGCACAAAATTTTTGTGGGAGTTTATTTTTGCAGATTGGCGATTTTATGTGTTTTGTGGAAACTAATTTTTACGATTAGGACAGATTGGTTTTTCTTGCTGGAAATTAATTTTTGCGATTTTCAGGAAGTCCCGGACAAATCAATGATAATATTTTTGTTTTTACTGAGGACGTGCAATGAAATAATAAATAATTACATATCATTTTTTTCAAACAATACTACAGCGTGCTTACCCTATGTAAAACCAGTGACAGAGTTATGCGTGTCATTTTGAGACAAGTTGTAGTTGAACAGACACAATTTCTTAGTAAGTATTTTTTGTAGCGAGTTTAAGTTAGAGAATATTTACTCTGGAGTAAATTTTTGCGGGAAAAATGTTAATTTTTGCAGGAACTTATTTTTACAGATCATTGAAAGAAATCGCAAAATTAGAACCCGCAAAAATTTCGTACCACACAGTATTCGATGTGCCATTTAAGCTTACCTGAGTAATTCGATTTGTTTTCCATTGCTCTAGTCTAGAATTTTTTCCAAAGAGGGGATAAGTGCAAAATGAGTGACAGTAATTTTATGAGAATTCCCTTGTTCGTAAATAATAATAAATTATTATTAGTATATAAATATTTAATTGTTATATTCATGCACAAAATAATGTTTGGCACTTAGCCTCAATTAATATTGAATTAAATTTTAAGTCACTTGTACATGTTTGCGCTGAAACATGTCTTTGTTTACAACAAACAGCAAACAATAATAAATTTCATCTACGTAATAACTCTCTGTCCAAAATTTGTTTTGAAAACCAATGATCTTCCTCTCTTCTTTTTGACAGGGTGAAGCTGGACCAATGGTACCCAAAGGTGAGGGCAAAGTTATCTAATGTGAACATCCTTAAGATTCAATGTAATTTGAATCATGTCATGTCTTGTCATAGATGATCATATGAAAGGGGCGGGGATGCTTGTCGGAAATTTTGAATTCCACTTCATTCATCTGGGAGTCCTCCACATCCCCAGGAGGAATACGGGATGATCTCAACACTGGAACATTTCAAAGGAGCTGGACTAGAATGTCTGAGCATTAGAACAACATTTTTAATAAAAACAGGTTTTTAGCCTATCTTCAAGGCCATTACAAGAATTAAATTTATTGATTATGTCTAGAGGCAAAATCAAGAGGGATGCAGAAATCTAGGAAGAGGAAGACAAAAGAAGAAAATAAAGAACAAGACAATGATACAAACATCAAAGTGGTAGGTATTATACATGTAGTTTTATTAATATTTGTAACAATGTCAGAGAAGATTACGACTTGTGCAGAGGTACCACTCATTCTAACTGCTAATCCTTCAGCTACCAGGCACAATTTTCATTAAAGAAGTGTAATTCATCCTTGATTAATCACATCCAATCAAAATAGTGACATAGTTACGTCCTTTATTTTTAAAGTTGCAGCTTTGTCAATGAATGATCTGTTGTTCAAGACTATAGTTTAGAGTTGCTTGCACTTTATAATTATGTAAACTGTCTTACAGGCAAAAGTGTTCTTTTGTTACAGGAGCTGTCTTCCCCTAAGAAGCCGAAAACAAAAGCACCACCAGTAAAAACAAAGAAAAAAGGTTTGTCATATAACAGTCTTCTTGGATCATGTGTCAAAAGGTCTAAGTCAGGGTATTTTATACAATTTCAGCACTTATATCAAACAAATCACAGAATACCTGCAAACTATAGAAAAACTCAAGGTAAAATTGACATGAAAAAGCCTGTGAGCTGGCTCTCTTGTGGAGTGCAGGACAGAGAAAGCCAGAAGGCAGGCAGGGAGTCTCTTCACTCACTAAAGAGGAAAAAGCCAAAAAGCATGGATGGACAAAACTCACGAAGATTTAAATGAGCTACATGAAGGAAAACTTGAAAACAGCAGCCCCAGCTCGTATGAAATTATGGCTGACAGTGCTTGGAAATCTTTGATAGAGAGGTTTAGAATCAAGTTTACAGTGAAAATCACATTCAAATTGATGATTACTCAAATTAAAAAATGAGCAGACAAAAATTTTCTAAAATGATTCAACTTGTGGAAACAAATGGCAAAACTACTTATTCAAAATTTGTTGTTCCCTGAAATAACTATAATAGCGGTACCTCTTAGGTTTAATATTATTGTTTGCTATTTTCCTTTTTAGCAGAGAATAGCAAGAAAAAGGTTGTTAAAAAACAGTGCAAAACTAAAACATCAGTGTCAAAGGTGATTGTAACAGTTTTTTAACTGATAATCAGATTATGATAGTTTTATAATTTATTATAGTTTGCAGTAGGCAAAATATATTTACCCACTGGAAGTTCGGATTTGTTTTTGATCCTTGGCTGCATGACCTCCAACTTCTTGTACTTGAGCTTTTCCGCTTTATCTCCTAGTTCTTTATTGCGAACTGATACCGTCATCTTTTCTACGTAAAATAAGCCCCCCCCCCCCCTCGCAAATAAGCCCTCTGTCTCTATTAAGGCCCCCCTCGAATGGGTTTAAAGTAAATAAGACCCCCGGGGAATTAATGAATAATTTAATTAATGGGGAACTTACAGAATTAGGAGGTCCTGCCGGGGGGTCCTATGTCACCCGTCTGAATTTTAAAATGTCTCGTGTCGGTGCTTGTCGCTCTTATTGTCAGCTTTGCCGTCACTATCGCAATTTGGCCGAGGGAGGTTGTCTCTTGTCACGATTTCATTTCTGGTACTGTCGCTACTTTTTGGGCCATGTCGCTTGTCAGAATTTACCCTGGCAGGGCCTCTATGAGGATTTGACTGGGGAAATTTTGGTGCTTTGGATAGGTGGTTGGTTATGGGAGGTGGTCGCTCAAGAGAGGTGGTCACGCATAGAAGTTTGACTTATAAGCTCTTTGGGAGACTGCCAGCCCACCTCTTTCCTTAAACCAATGTTTATACTCACTTTTCTCTCGCAGAGCAAAATGTTGGGTTAGGGGAGGGGTAGGCGGGCAGGTTTTCAGTCTCTGATATTATACCATAATTTATGTAGGCTTTTTTTCCCCCACTTACCCTCCCTAGACAGTGATGCTCATTGACCACAATCTTGGACAAAACTGTTGAGAAAATTGTATACTTGGACAGCATTTTTCTAAACATCGTAGCTGTACCGGTTCTTCCCTCTCCCCCTTCCCCTGAAAGCAATGTTGTTGTGTATTCAAAAGAAAGCCTGATCCCTGGGCGTTTGTGGGAAGCAACATTGAATTGGGGGAAGGGGTTTTCTTTCCGCAAAGGCGTCGTTTTGGAAATAGTTTTGTTGCGTAGGAAAGTGGACATGATGGGGAAAACTTTCTCAAGTAGTTTTGTCCGGGATTGCAGATACCTGCGAGAAACAACAAACAAGGTTCCCTTGGTTGTGGAGGGAGACGTTCACATTTCATTATTATTATTATTCAATATTGTCATTTTTAATTTTTATTCATTTATCCTTTTTTTATCCGAAACTGACTATCAGACATTACCACACCCAAAAAAAAACGAAATTAAAGTTTAAAGCAAGGACAGAGTGTAACCACAAAATGTACAGGAATGTTGTTTGTAGCATGACAAATGTTATGTTTTCTTTCTCTAAACAGAAAGAACCCGTCAGAAGAAGTCTTCGCATTAAAAGAGCCCGAGAGAGGGACGGCTTGTAACATCACGTAATTAAGAAACTGTCGTGGGATGGTGTGAAATCATTTACATTTAAGTGTATTTTTCCAATTTAATTTTAATACAGTATATAACGTTTTTCTTATTGCAACCAACGAATTCTCCTTACCAGCCAAAAGGTTGGAATAATTAGGCGATTATAACGTACATTAACCCATTCGCTCCTGGAGATTTTGCCGAAAAACGCATTTTGAAGCTAGTCGAGTGGTTTTCTGGTCACTGTCGTGCTATAAAGAGCTAAAACTTACCACAAACCGGTTTACAGGTTGTACACTTGGCGGCCTTCTGATCCAGATGCAAAACATCGGCTTGCGAAGTTCGGGCATGCGCAGAAAGCAAAATTTCGAGTTTTTGGGTTTAAAAGTGACACAGCAGTCTTGACTTTTACTTTTCGCTTTTTCTCCTCCCTTCTTTTTTCGCTTTTCTTGCCTCATTTTTTTTTTCCTCTTGCTGGGCATTTAGTAGGCTTCATTTTGGTGGGAAGAGTTTTTAGGAAAGCTTTAAGGAACTTAGGATTAGGTGAAAGGAAAGGTAGGTGGGCAATGGAACAAGATTTTCATGGAGATTTTCAGGTCAATTTCACGTGGTTTTTTGCTTCTTTCTCCGGTGTCCTTGACTGATTTGTGCTCATTCTGGTATTGTTTGAAAGATCTCTTCACTCTACACAAGTTAGCGAAGAAAGTTGTCCTTGACCGTTAAAACTGATGACGTCACAAAGGGTAGAAAGGACCTGGATCCGCACGGGCGGTTACGGGCGGTTCAGGGGCGAATGGGTTAAGTACAGTTTTATTATAGTTAAACAAAGTCGATGTAATTTGACTTACATTAGAGAAGAAAATATATTACATTTTCAATGATAACCTGTTTACAGTTCTTCAGCTATCATATGCTGCTTTGTTATATATACTAAATTCCCTGGGGGTTACTTCCTTATAATTGGCTAATGGCGATGTGCCGCTGGATGGGGTCGCATTTTCACGACTGGATTGACTATAATGGGGTTACATTTTCAACAGAGTCACTAGAATGGGGTCGCACATTTCCTGATTTTTGGGGTAAGAAAGCTCTCCGTATTTACGGTTAGCAAAAGTACCTGGATGTTTGTACTGTTTGTGAAAAGTAAAGAGTTGTTCCTTCAATTTAAAACTGAATGTGTCAATGAACTTCACTGCTCTGGAACGAATGTCATTCCGGAATGAAAGTCATTCCGGTAGCATATAAAAAGCCCCTAAGAATCGAACAGAGACTTGCGTGCTTATCCCTACCCTTTCATGTACCTGAAACCTGAGAAAGGTACCCCTTTCAGGCGGAACTTCCCCGTATTATCCCCGCTATTATATACTCATTTTCACAACAAAGGTCTTGCACTTAGCCTCGTTTTGAAAGGGAGGGTTTTTTAAACTCGGAAATGGCCTACTAACTTCATAATATATGCTGCAAAAAAAGCTAGTGAGTCAGTCCCCCCCCCAAGTTCTTTGGCGAATCAAGGAATCTTTTTTTGACCTTGCTTCCGTCCATAACCAGCTTCAGCAGATGATGGACCTGGCCAAGATGCACTCTCTTTCCGGCTGGCATCAAGAAGAGGAGCACTTCTTGTCTTTGACACGGTGCGTTTTCTCTGGGCCTGAGGGAGGGGAGGCAGCAGACAACTTTTGCCTGAGGGTGGATGAGGAGCAGAGCTAGTTCTCTCCAAATCCTTCTTTACAGACGAGTCCGGAAGTAAAGTGAAGCCTTTGTTACGGAGATGCTCTAAAGGAATAGCTGGCAGGACAAGAAGCCTCCCGTCTTTTGTTTTACCCACCAGCACTTTGCCCAGAACACACGGTCCGCTCTGTCCAACTGACCTCTGACGTAAAACCTTTCCAATTTTAGCTGCGTTAGACCTGGGGGAGGTAGGAGGGCGCTGTGGCTTCGGGCCCCACAGCCCTGGTGCTAAACACGAGGAGCCCACGTGATAACGTGATACTTTCCGCTGCCCAGATTGATGGATGATTTGCTGCCTTGAGCTTGAATTGTTCTTTATTGCCGGCGGGGTCTGAGGGGGCTTGCTTAGGCCACCCATTGGCCTCGTGAGAGTATCCCGCGTGGATCTTCGCGGAACGCGTAACGTCCTCGGAAACCGAAAACGGTTAACCGTCGGGCTCCTCGGAAGCAGATTGCGGTCGGGGGGCGGCTGCTTAACCTTGCGGGTTGTTGACTCGCGGGACTTTCTGACGGACTCGAGAGGTAAAGAGGAACACGCATTAATTTTAGGGCTTTTTGGTCCTGGATATAGTAGGTGGTGTGTAAGAGATCCTGCGGTGCTCTCGCTTTCTTCGGGCGTTTTATCAGGCAGTTGACACGAAGCTTGGCGTTTGAGTTTTCTGCGCAAAGCAAGATGACTTGTTGGGGGGATCGAAAAAGGCACCTGAACACCATTTACCTGCTGGGAGTCTTTATTTTCTGGATATCGTGAGCTCTCCTTTTTGCTTGTTTTCAGCGGCTTTTCAGCGGTCGCCTGCTCTTCAGATGTGTATTTGGTCATCACTTCTTCTATGCTTGTTGCATCCCATGTATTGCTTTCTTCTAGCTCACACTGAAGGTTCACACCGGGCGAAAACACTCGATCGCGCGGAGTAAGGGGACAAAGGCTTTCAATGTCATCTCTTTCTGAACCAGATAAGCGAAGCAGGCTGAACAGACTTGAGGGACTCGGTAAAGGCTGAAAACCACTTACACTGATTTCATTACTGCCCGATTTTTCCTCGTTGAAGAGTTTCATAATTGAGAGACTTGATTCCTCGTGAACAACAGTGTAATCCTCGTCGTATTTGGTCCTTTCCTTTGGTTTCTCCATGTTTGAATCAACTCCAAGGATTAGCTTCCAAGTTGTTTTGGATCTTTCTGTGGCGATCACCTTTTATTTGTTCAATTCCAAATTAAAATTCCTCCCCATCTTTACACTGATAATCTTTAAGCCTTACAAATCAATAGCTATTGAATTCAATGCCATGTTTTTCTAACCACACCCGAAACAAACAAACATCACACACACGAACAAAAAGTAACACTTTAATAGCATACCACTGAGAGATACTTCCTTTGCGTTAGTTTGTTTTCGGAGTCTCGCTCTATCAACAATCTAATTTGTTTTTCTCTCTCAAATTTAAGTTCAAGCAAGAAAATCTTTCAGGTGAAAAAATGTTGTTTTTCAGACAGGTTAACGCAAACCACGCCCAAATGTGTTATTCTTTCAAGCTGATTGGTCCAACGTTAATGTAGAGTCTTCTAAGTATTGCCTTTGGGCGTTGCACTGATATTAAATAAAGCCTTTCAAATCAATAACCTGTAATTACACTGACACACCCCACACTCTTAAATGAACTTAAATCAGCCAGAGGTGAGATCTGCGATCTCTTCGTTTGTCAGTTCTTGACTTTCCTCTGAAATTGCAGTTAAACGTTGTCCGATGCAAGACCCTTCAAATCGCTAGAATTCGCGTTTAGGCTATAAGATTTTTTCAGGCTAAAACGTTTATTTGCCATGCAAAATGTGGTTGGAAATATTTGATCTATTTACAGTGGCGGACTCAGTTTCGGATTCCCTTGGGGGGCAGACTGGTACCCAGTCGCTATTTATGTGTTTTTGGGGTGAGAGAAAATTGGGGGTTAGGTTGAGGAGCGCGGGGTCCCATGGGAAGGTATGTACTTGGCCTCGTTTTGAAAGTGAGGGTTGGTTTTTGGAAGTTGTCAAAGGCCTGTTGACAGCCTGAGTATCGGGTGTTTCTGGACGAAAAAGGGGAAAAGAAAAGCGAAAATCTCCTGTCTCGTAGCCCCTTAGAAAAGCCTGATACTCAGACTAGCCTATTGAAGGACCAGTGTATAAGTGTCATATTTCGCAACTATTATTTTAAATAATGGAACGGTAGTTTAACCCGCCCAGGGCCCCCGCAGGGGGAGGGGCTGGGGGAGCCAGGGCCCCTCACTTTTGGAAAAATAAATAAATAAAATGAAGTACAGTGGAGCCTCGATATAACGAAGGGTCAAGGGAGCGGCAAAATATGTTCGTTATAACGAGGTTCGTTAACTTATATCGAAAATTAAAAACTGCTCCGCGGGCCCTGCCGTCTAATCTTTGTTCAAATAACCAACCCTAAAGTTTGAATGTCTATACTTTTAACTCGTACCCAGATCGCACTATGTCTTTGCAAGGATCTGCCTTTCACAAAGATGGTCAGCAGGTGCGTGAACGCGTTCACCGATCAAGGAGCGCGTGTTGCGTGTTGTTTATGTTTGCGTACTACAAAAGCGCCTGTTGGAACGTCTAAGGAAGACTGAAAC